AAAAAACTTGTTCTAAAAGTAAAAGTTCTAAAAGTTTTCAATTTGCTTCTATTATAAATAGTTATTTTTATAATATTGGCCACTGTTGTCAAATGTAAATAGATAAAATTTAATCGAAACAGTGTTGAAACAATCTGAAATTTAAATAACAACTAACAAAATTCCCTAAATTTGTAGTCCTAATAAGACGAAACTGATCATATTAGGATATATTTGAGTAACGCCAAATAATCCAAAAACAATGAATTAATACTTTTTTAGCGAAAACGAAACCAAAATGAACAAGAAAGGAAAGCTAACTTCGGGCGGAGCCGAAGTTGATATACCCTTGCAGAATATTCTGTAAATTATATTCTCCAAAATTATTTATATGATGCATTCTTAATACTCATAAAAAATCCCAACTTCCTAACTTTAAAAACACCAAAGTTATGTCATTTCCAATCGTTCAGTTATATGGCAGCTATAGGATATAGTCGGCCGATCCTTATGAAATTTGGCAGGTCGGATTGATTGGCCAAAAATAAAACCCATAGATAATCCCAACTTCCTAACTTTACAAACACCAAAGTTATGGCATTTCCGATCAATCAGTTATATGGCAGCGATAGGATATAGTCGTCCGATCCTTATGAAATTTGGTAAGTCAGACTGATTAGCCAAAACTAAAACCCATAGAACTTCCTAACTTGCTAACTTGAAAAACACCAAAGTTATGGCATTTCCGATCGTTCAGTTATATGGCAGCTATATGATATAGTAGCCCGATCCGGCTCGTTCCGACTTATATACTACCTGCAATAGAAAGACAACTTTTGGGAAAGTTTCAAGCAGATAGCTTTAAAACTGAGGGACTAGTTTGCGTAGAAACGGACGGACGGACAGACGGACAGACGGACAGACGGACAGACGGACGGACAGACGGACGGACAGACGGACATGGCTTGATCGACTCTCCTGGTGATGCTGATCAAGAATATATATACTTTATAGGGTCGGAAATGTCTCCTTCACTGCGTTGCAAACTTTTGACTGAAATTATAATACCCTCTGCAAGGGTATAAAAACAATAAGATGGAATATAGCACGCCGTTTATTTTTGTTGAGTGTATTGTAAACATTACATAGCTGTAAAAAAATGTATACATTTTTATAAGTGCTCAAACACACAATCATCTTTAAAAGAAACCCAAGTTTATTTGTATATTTAGCAGATTTTATCTCACTATTTATTAGAGCTACAAAAATAAATATTCCAGCAATTTTTTATTTTACTGAATTTCTGCCTCACCGGAGACGAAAATATAATAAAGTACAAAGCTGGCGATTCCTAAATTAAATGCCATTTAAATTGTACCACGGTACAAATATTGTAATATTTTAAAAATTAAAATTTTTGAATAGTTTTTATAAATTTTCTAAGCTACAATTTTGTTTTAATTGTTATATTTATTTTCAATTTGGTTCCGAAACTATTGTGCTGTTATCTAAAATGGATATAAAACAAGAAAGGAAAGCTAACTTCGGGCGGAGCCGAAGTTGATATACCCTTGCAGAATACTCTGTTATTATATTCTCCAAAATTATTCATATGATGCATTCTTAATACTCATAAAAAATCCCAACTTCCTAACTTTAAAAACACCAAAGTTATGGCATTTCCAATCGTTCAGTTATATGGCAGCTATAAGATATAGTCGGCCGATCCTTATGAAATTTGGTATGTCGGATTGATTGGCCAAAAATAAAACCCATAGAAAATCCCAACTTCTTAACTTTACAAACACCAAAGTTATGGCACTTCCGATCAATCAGTTATATGGCAGCTATAAGATATAGTCGGCCGATCCTTATGAAATTTGGTATGTCGGATTGATTGGCCAAAAATAAAACCCATAGAAAATCCCAACTTCTTATCTTTAAAAACACCAAAGTTATGGCTTTTCCGATCGTTCAGTTATATGGGAGCTATATGATATAGTCGCCCGATCCGGCTCGTTCCGACTTATATACTACCTGCAATAGAAAGACAACTTTTGGGAAAGTTTCAAGCAGATAGCTTTAAAACTGAGGGACTAGTTTGCGTAGAAACGGACGGACAGACGGACAGACGGACAGACGGACAGACGGACGGACAGACGGACGGACAGACGGACAGACGGACATGGCTAGATCGACTCTCCTGGTGATGCTGATCAAGAATATATATACTTTATAGGGTCGGAAATGTCTCCTTCACTGCGTTGCAAACTTTTGACTGAAATTATAATACCCTCTGCAAGGGTATAAAAATGTTATATAAATTTGAGCTATTCATTTTTTTTCTCTGCATAAAAAGTAAGCAAAATCTGTTGGGGCAAGGGGTCAACAGAGGTTTAAAAGGCGGGTCAGCTTTTGGGCGGCATTGGTCTGCGGCGTTTCCGGTTTTCGAGTGAACGTTATTAGCTCTCTGGGTGTGGATGCGGTCCAGGGCGGTCAGAATTTTACGATTTCATTCATTTTTGTGGCTGCCATTTGACGCCGCAAAGTATGCAACAAAATTTTATTTCCAGAAATAAGAGCTTGAGACCTTGGCTGGGTTAAAAATAAAATTATAGAAACTATTGTGCAATGCTTTGGAAGTGAGTGTGCACAACATTTTAAGGCATTTTGTTTCTCATCGTAATTTTCCAAAGAATTTCTCAATTAGAATACTCGCTGTAGAAGACAGCTCGAATGTAATAAAGCACGTAACAGAGTCAGGAAAAAAGTGTTAGCGTCGACCACAAAAAAAATCCGAATAGAGTGTGGTAAAATTGGGTGAAAGAGGAAACATCACACAAATCTGAAAACCATAAAAGTGTCGCTTTCAATTGTTACCCATACTTCGGACTACAGGCGACAATCGAAGCCAACAAGTGAAATTGAAACGTTCAATGGATAGTGTGGAGTCCTGGAAGTAGATATGTGGGGACAGGAGAGGATGAAAAGGAAACAGGATGGATGAGGGTGCTCTAGAGAGATCACAAACACAAATTGGTGATGATGTAGTATGTGTGGCAGGATGCCCAGCGAGATTTTTTATTCCGACTTGGGTTATACGTATTTTTAAAGGGAACTTGTCGTCCTAGAAAAGATAATATTAAAAGAAGATAAATTATGAAGTTGTTTAGTTAAGTTAGCAAAATAATAACTTACTATTATTAAATTAAATATAAAAATTCTATTTTGCAATTAAGAGTATCATAAGGGCGAAGACATCTTCAGTGATTTGTTTTCGACTCGCGCTTCTATCTTCGTTACTTTATTACTTTCTGAACTGAACTGAGAGTGATGCCTTCGATGATTGACACCACGCCCGGCAATAAATTTTTAATTTTCAATGCTCCCTGATAGACTGATGGTCTGATGGGCCCACCCACTCTCACATGCCCCTCATGCCCGCATCCCTGCCTCCAGTGAGCTTGTTAAATTCAAATTAGAACGATGCCAGGAGCTGCGTTCTGTGCGAGGAGTTGCCGCTGACAGCGAAGATAAATGACAGAGAACTGCGATCGCAACAAATTAACCTTGTTAGAGGCTGCAGCACAGGCAAAGTCGAGACCAGGACATAACTCGGGAGTAGTGGAAACGGCAAGGACTCCGGCCCGAGGACACCAGTTACAAGTGTATGTAATTTTTTATCGTCTGCGACTTTCGACTCTGCTTCCACTGACGACATCTGACTTATGAATGGCGTGTGCCTGTAGAGTTGAGGCGACACTCAGAAAAATAGTTCCATTCAATTTTGGAAGTCAATGTCAAAGTTTCTCTAAAAAACACATTGTTTTATTTTCATTTACTATTTAATTTTTGTAAGAAGTATTTTTACTAACTTTTTTTATCTTCTAAGGTTTCAGATATCATTTTTTAATTGCAGAATATTTTCATGTCGTTTAAAAATTTACTCTAAAAGCGTCTAATAAACGTTGAACGGCGTAGTTTCCAATCTATAGCTTTGCTGTTTTTTTTTAAAGTGTAACAGATATGCTGCTGCTGCCACTGCTGAGAGTCGATAAATCAGTTTGTGTATCAAATTGAATTCACGAGCGTGCACTTGACACCAACCCACGCACATTTATCAGCCGGCGAATCCTGTGAAGCATGAACTTTAATTCGGCCGGGTTGGAGAACCACAAAATTTTAATCTCAACTAAGAGCTCACAAAAATGAAAACCATCGGCGGGGTGCATTATAAATTATTCATTACGAAATCGTAACCGCGACACGCCCCCTTTTTTTTGCAAAGTAAATGAACGCCTGCCGCTGACGGGCGCTCGTTTGCACCTAATTTGATTTTTAGTTGCTGCTTCTTTTGGTGGCGAGTCTGCGGTTGGTTCCCTTGGCATTCTTCACTCGCCTGCCTCATCTCCACATCCCCAGCCTGCAAGCCAACTTGCAGATACTATCTCACAGATACAAACACCCACACGGAAAAGGACTTGGCAGCGCTTTCCACCGCCGCATCCTGTTTTCTTTTCATTCATTCTAGCGGCTGGCTGTCGAAAAAATGTCTGTTATGTGGCTGCAGAATTTTGCAGTAATTAATGGCAACTGTTTGATTAAAAAATTCCTCAGCATCTCCCTATGCAAGGACGTGTGTGGGTTTAGTTCTAGTTTTCCCTCCTTCAAGCCGCTTCCTATTGCCAACCGCGGTCAAAAGCTGTGATGCTGAATAAATCTATGCAAATTCCAGAGATCTCTTGAAGAGTTTTTATTTTTAGCTGTACACATAGAAAGGGGAAATTTTAAAGAGGTTTTTGAAGCTGTACAGGAAAAAAGGTGACTAGAATAATATTTTAAAATAAAATATTTAAGTCAAAAGTCCAACGGATTTGTTTAAAATATTAATTTATTTGATTAACTGTAAAGCTTTTGACACCATTATAAGTGATTTCATACCCATACACCCTACCTGTTAAATTATTATTAAATGCCCGTAAACAACAAAAGTATTTTTTTCAGTTGTGTCACATGAAAACATTGTCAGTTATTTCAACTTTGAAATAATTTAAAACTTGTACTGTGCTAGCTCTGAAGGAAGATGTGCTTTTGCTCTACGCTCGGGCTTAAAGTATTGCTTTTGATAATAATACCTATTGTTGCAGTAAGTTATACACTTTTTTTATTTCTAAAAATTCTTTAAAACTACTCCGCAGGGATTGAATGCCGCACAAGTAGCAAAGGACGTTACTTTGCTAGATAAACTAACGGGTCACCATCATGTCATTCTTATTATAAGTCTATCCTTGTGCGTTTTCATACTAGTTGTCCTTTTGGCCGCAATTTATGCGGCGATTCGCCATCATATATTGATTCTAAACGCGGTACGTATGCTTAAGTATATTCATAATCACTCACTTAACTATTTGGTGGAATTTTTAGACTCTTATTTCCTTAATAGTAAAGTGCATAGCAAAGGGTATCATTTTAATCGTGTCTATATCCACTGAAGATGACATTGAAAAGACCGCCGCTCACTTCTGGTTTATTTTATGTTGGATATTTACGGTAAGCAGAAGTCATCATATTCCAATTTTATTATTTATTTTACTAATCAGTGTTTTTGTTCAGAACAGATTTTCTGCATGATATCAAATCTTTGTTTCTGGTTGCGGCTAAAGGAGTTCACAAGAGCAGTCGATTAAGTTTAGATTTTGTAGAGATTAAATTTTTTTGTATTCTACAATGCCATTCATCAACTAATCATTAAGGTACGAATAAATGTTATTATAAGTACATATGATTTAATGATATTTTATAAGTGCACGCTCTAAATTTTAAAGTTTTTGCCCAGGTACTTTATACCTATTGGAAATTTAACAATAATTAAAATGTTTTTTTAATTCCCTACATGAGAATAGTGTCAGTTCCGTCGAAACTGATAAAAATTCCCAAATTTGAATTTGTTAAATTCTTTAGTAGAATGTGCTTTTGCCCCACGCTTGGACTCAAAATCGGACTTTTAATTTTAATACCATTAACTGCAGTAAGTTAAATGCATTGTCTTTTTGTTTGCCAATTTGAAACCCACTCCGCAGGGGTTTAATGCTGCCCAAATAGCAAAAGACATCAATGTCTGGGATGTAGTGATGGGTTACCATCATGTTATTCTAATTATAAGCCTCTTCATGTCCTTAGTCATATTGTTTGCACTAATTCCCTTAACATATGCGACCATCCGAAATAGTTTACGGATTCTCTACGTGGTGCGTCCTATTTGGCTTAATATGAATCAGTACGCTAAGTATTTGTTTGCATTTTCAGGTGCTCTATTTTTTTATAGCTGACGTATCGGGAAAGCTAATCATCCTATTTGTGTGTTTATCTACTGAAACAAACCCAGATAAGACGGCAGCTCACGCCTGGTTCATTGTAGGCTGGTTTATTTCGGTATGTACAGACCTCGAAATTACCAATGTCAAAATTCTTCTTTTATTCAGAACAGTTTTTATGTATGGCCTCGATTATATTGTACTGTATCCGGCTCCATGAGTTATCCAGGGACGAAGATCTTGCCAACTAAGTTACTATTATTATAATTAAGTAAGTATTACAAGATTTTAAAATTAATTTGATGACCACCAAATAATAATTTTTTTTACTAAAAAAACTAACACGTGCGATCGCAGTGTCACTATCATGACTTATCATTGTTTAGAGATAAGTTCATTGATATGGAAAACAACCTCCCGGAACTTCGGAATCGGGAACCCCACAAATGGAAACTGAGGACCTGTCGCGTGGTGATCTTCGTCTCGTGGGCGATCTCTTTCGTAAGTAGTTCCACAGATGTTGAGAAGTAAACTAATTTAAAAACCATAAACACGCAGGGCTTCACCTTTGCTAACATTTATATATATTATTTCCACCTGCTAGATAACTTGGAATGCCGGAAGTGCTTGTACAATTCATATATGGCCATCGGAATAGCCACTTCGGTTTTGATTTTGCCACTCCTTTTATTTTCCCTGCCCTTGGTGGTATTACAAACTGCCCGGGGAATTCGCATTGTGAGTGATATAGGGATATATTTATGGGAAATCTAGTTTTCTACTACAATTCTCCAAAAATGTTTCAGTACTTGCCCTTTCTCTTTTTGGCCTCCGTTATGGAGTTCATGTTGGCTGTGGTTTTCACCCAAGGATATCCAATCATCGTTGATGTTTCACAGATGTGGAAGGACCACAAGGGTCTGGAGTTCTTTGAAGTCAGAGTGAGACTCAATAAAACACTGCTGAAAAGTAGAGTTTAGTTTTAAAAGAAAGACGAATTGAAAACGATCTCATGTCACATTTCATAGGATGACTTATTATTAAGTTTGTTTTGTTTCCTGTTAAGATTCCTCAAGTTTTTGGCATTTTGTCTTTTCAATTCAAGCTAATTCTTAAATCAAACGTCCTTAGAATATGTATTGTTTAAGAGAATATTTATTTAATAATCTTTTTCATTTCCAGTATGAGTGCTGCGGCGTTTTGGGGCCCGACGACTACGCGGTGTCCCTGCTGGAACTTCCGAAATCCTGTTTCAAGGAACGCAGTGGCCGCAGCGCAGACTTATACACCACAGGTTGCTCAACCCGATCCTACAATTCACCCCAGATCCCTTTTAGCGAGTATGTCTCCGGGCTAGTAAGGGTAAGCTACTCTTCGAAGGTCCTTAACAACGTCTAAGGAGTTCTCTTCAGTTAGGATTGGTCCTGGCCTTGGTTGTATACATGATTATCCTGAAACGGACCAAAACAGCTCGTCGCACGCTGCGTTCATTGAGCCCCCAAGTTCGTGTGCGATATTCTAGAGGTAGTTCTTCTTTAGCAGATGGAAATATGGAATTGGTATTGCCAGTCCCAAATGTTTAAACACATTTTAAAATATTCCTTGCTTTGACACTTGTGAATCGAATAAATTGTGTTTTTTTTCTAAGTAGTTATACCTTTGGATGCAATGCCATTCGAAGTAGACTTATTGTAAGGCTGAAGTAAATATTTTTTAGATAATTCGGATAAGTATGACGGATTTTCGGACGTCGTCAATACTTCGGAGGCGAAACCGCAAGTTGAGGCTGAGAATCTGCCGATACGTGATCTACTTCTTCTGGGTTCTCAATTTCGTAAGTACAAAGACATAATCTAAGGAAGAAAGACTGAGGGAAACCGCCAACTAGCAGATTTTCACCTTTGCGGATATTTATATGTATTCTCTCAGGCTGAGTAAGAAGATGGATTGTTGGAGGTGTCTGTTCAAAACCTATATGATTATAGCGATTTGCGTATCTGTTGGGAAGATTCCACTGCTGATCGTGGGCATACCCATGGTATTTCTCAAGTTAACCAGGAGACTTCGCATTGTAAGTGGTATTTAATATTTGTTTTATTTATTTTTTTTATTTATTTATTTCATTTATTTGTGCTCCCATTTTTTAGTACGTGACGGTTCTCTTCTTGGCCACGTGGTTGCAAATGATGTTGACTATTTTGTTTTCACAGGAATACCAAGCTATAAGCGATGTGCTACGATTGTGGGCAAATCACAAAAGTCTGGAGTTCTTCGAAGTTCATGTAAGAATTGTGTCTAATTAGGATAAATCTATAATAATAGTGTTGAAGTACAATAGTGTAAAAGGCTTTTTAACCTTTTGTACCATAACATTTCTATTTGTAACTCCAGTGCAAGAAATATTCTGAAGGTTTCTTTCTTTAATTTTCCATAATATATACTTTTGAGTTCGTAACAAATTAATAAATAATATTAAATTGATTTTATTTATTGCCAGTCCACGTGCTGCGGCGTGGTAGGACCCGACGACTACAAGCTGGCTAATATGATGGTACCCCCATCATGCTTCAAGGATCGCAGTGGAGAGCTGGAGGACCAGTACCAAGTTGGCTGCTCTACCCGCTCAGTAAAGCCAGTTTTTCCGGTTGTCCAAGTGGTTTCCGTCTTACTTCAGGTGAGTTACATCCCAAAATCACCAGACCAAGTTTAAGTGCCATTCCAGTACGGGTTAGTCCTAGTGTTGGCTGTGTACCTAGTTATCCTGAAAAGGACAGAGATCCGCCGTCGCACTATGTGGTCGCTGAGTCCCACTGAAGTAAATTCTGTTGACAGTGATGAGTAAAGCAATAGGCGGAACTGGGAAGTAATGCCAAAGAGACGAAAGTAAGTCAACTTTGGTGTTACTTTCCAGCTCCGGCTAGGGCTTAAGCAGCAGACTTCCATGTGGGATTGAAATTCGGAATCGGTTTGCATTTCACTTCGCTCTGGGAATGGGTATTGGCATTGGCGTGCGAGACAAATTGGATGCTGCTGGCCCTCGTCATATTTCACGGACTGCAATCAATAACGATAAACACTTGAGTCGCAAATCCAATGTCCAGAATCCGATGTCCGATGGCATGCATATGGATGAGCCAATAAAGAAATCAACATAGCATGTCGGACAATTGAAAAAGTATTGCAAATGCCGGGACAGCCGGGGATTCGGACATGGAATAGGACTCCAATCCGGACAATATGCAAATGCAGTTAAGCAGAAAATATTCAAGGACAATCCAGACCCACCTCCCCGCACCCTCCGGAGTTTATCTTCTTTTTATGTCCCTCTACCCGCGCATAAATTTTATTGTTGTCAACATTAAATTCTAGTCGTGAGAAACAATTTTGCAGCATTTGAAAATCCATAAAATATGCATACAAAATTGTCCGGCGGAACGACCAACTTTATGGCTAAATAGTTTGCTCCGGCCCACATCGTTAATGCCTTTTTTATGCGTGTGTTTGGGTGTTGGGAAAACTTTTTAGCCGCCATAACAATAACGGCAGCAACAACCACACTTTGGTCAAGCTGCTGAAATACCCATTGCAAAGTTTTCGTAGGGGGTATGATATAAAGATGGAGTCGGGGGCCAAAGGGTCATGTGGCTCATTAAACTTTGGCCAACAATTTTTTGTGGCACCCTCCACCGACAAAGACAAACAAAAAGTTTTGCACTAAATATTTGCGCCCTTGCCAACCAAAAAAATAAAAAAAAGAGTGCAGAATAAAAAGGGGTTTTCGAGGTGAGTGTCCAGGGCTTCAAGGGATTTGGAGTGGTTACAAAATTTCTTGGCACACATATGCCCCATTAAACGCTAGACAAATGGCATGCTGAAGGCAACAAAAGGGGTGAAAGTGTTGCTTTAAATTGTCCTTACAGAGACTTTTAATATTGGGAATTACGATCCTTAAAAGTAATCAGATTTACTTCGATGATAATTTCCTACTTTCTCGGCTTACGAGTACTTTTTCTTTAAAGGTAATAACATTTATTGCAAGCATAGATGATAATTTCCTACTTTGTTCGGCTTAAGAATACTTAAAAAAAAACGAAGGCATTGACTGGTATCTTACAACATTAAAAAAGAGTATTCAGAATACAATATATTTCATATATAATTAAATGTGTTCTAAAAATATGGATCTTATCCATCAAAGGGACATTTTTTTCATTTAAAGAGACAGGAACATTTTAATAAACACGACATGGTTGGACCCTTGTGTCCCTATCTGCACATCATTTACCCCTTCACCCACATTTATAATTACAGGTAATTATAATTAATTTAAAAGCAAGTTCGTGTTATACGCAGCTACAAACTGACTGTCTTTATTTCGTACGGACAAATCAACAAAGTGTCAACAAAAGGTTTATCACACCCTAGTATCCCCAGTGGGAGCCGAATCCATCGAAGCTGGCATGGGCGACCACAGCGGCGGGCGAGTACTTCACGAAGGCGGCGGGAGCAGCGGAGTAAACTGGAGCAGGAGCGGAGTACACAGTCTTGGCCAAAACGGGAGCAGGAGCAGCGTAAACTGGAGCAGGGGCAGCATAAACGGCCTTTGCCACAGGAGCGGAGTAGACAGTCTTGGCCAAAACGGGAGCAGGAGCGGCATAAACTGGAGCTGGAGCGGAGTAGACGGTCTTGGCCAGAACGGGAGCTGGAGCGGAGTAGACAGTCTTGGCCAGAACGGGAGCAGGAGCGGAGTAGACGGTCTTGGCCAGAACGGGAGCTGGTTCAGCGGTGTAGAAGGACTTGGTGATCACGGGAGCAGGCGCCGAGTAGAGGGTCTTCGGGGTGTACACGTTGTTGGTGGTGCGGGAGTCCACCTTGCTGACACTCGAGTACGGGGTGACCACATTCTTGGAGTAGGTGGACACAGTGCCTCCGAAGGAGCGCACCACATTCTGCTGGGTGGTGCCGACGGCATCGTAATGGGGCTGAGCCACCTTGGTGACCACCGGAATGGAGGCAGCGGCATAGGTGGTGGCAGGAGCCAGGAAACCAGCACTGGCCACGCCCACCAAAGCGCAGAAGGACAACAGGACGTACTTGAAAGCCATGACTGGGATTGGATTTGTAATTAATAACAAATTAAAACTGAAAGCTGATACTGATGTTTGTAGTGAGCTGCAGTGGCTACTGATGCTAAACTCTTGCCAACCGGCTGTTTTTATAGCCAAAAAACCCGCAAATGTCTTGCCAAATTTCACGGCCAACTGGCAAATTATTGTGTGTCCGTATGACAGATTGACTTAGGCCTAAGCCCCAAAAACTGGTTCAATGGGTCGACAAATGACTGCGCTCTTTTCGCTGCTCCGACTCTTTTCAGCGATTGGAGGCCAGCTCAAGTGCCCCACACCCTGGTTATCAGGAAAGTGAATTATTTTGAATACTATCAGCAGCTCATAAATTTTCCAGTGGCAGCGAACAAAAAACTTTTATTTTCCCGGCGTATTTTTCCATTAAATTGAGTTCTACTCGAGCAGCAAATATGAGGCAGCCCCTCAATAAGGGGATGTTCCTTGTTGCTGTCAACTTTATCAGCAGGGGTGTCAGCGGTTTTTCGGGGTGGTGGCAGTCAGTTGTTTATGATTTTGTTTGTTTTTACTCTGAGGGGGAGCCAAGAAGTTTTTCTGCCCTTCAAGAAGTTGAAATTAATGATCAAAAGTCGGAAAGTAGGTCCCACAAAGGTGGTTATGAAATTGGTTTAGCCGAACAACAAAGATCAGAAATCTATAAAAAACTTGGAAGTTAAGGTTGAGTATTGACTAAAACAAAAATATATATTTTTTTGGGTCATTCAGAACTTTAGCACTAAATTAGGAAGACGAGGGCATCTAACACTTCGTCTTGTTTGCAGTTTTTTTTAGCTTTTGTTTTCCTTTTGTTTCGACCAAGTTTTGAAAATGAATTTTCCTGCTTTGTTGCTCACGGGCGCATGATGAATATTTATTGAAATTACCAAAGTTGACGCTGCTCCAAATTGAATTGTGTTGCCAACTTGGGATGCTTCTTACTGCCACAAATTCTGCTCTTGTTTTCCTTCTTCTATTTGCGTTATTTTTTGTTTTTGGCAAATTGTTATTAATTTTACACGGGGGCCCTGAAGCTTGTGGGCCCCACACCAAAACCTAATTACCGCGTTTAATTTATGCCTGCAAATTGGCTTTCAAGTGGTTACGCAGGTGAACTGCCATCGCATTGTGGGCCGTTCAATTACCGAAAAAATCACGAACAGATCACCGAAAAACCAACAGAAACTGGCACGCGTCGGATGCGTATAAAAGCCGCAACATTTTGGCCAAATCAGCATCAGTCGCAGTCCAGCTAGCCAGCTTTCAACTACCGCGATCCAAACCGTCCAGTCATACTCCAAAAATGGCTTTCCGCTACCTCATCCCCCTGTGCGCCCTGGTGGCCTATGCCAATGCCGGTCTTTTGGCCAGCCACGTGGCCATTGCCAATCCGTCGGTGGATGCCGTGGCCTCCACCCAACACGATGTGGTGCGCTCCTTTGCCGGCACTGTATCCAGCTACTCCAAGGCGGTGGACACCCCGTACTCCAGTGTGAGGAAGAGCGATACCAGGATCCAGAACAACGTCTACACCCCGGCCATTGCCAAGACCACTTATGCTGCTCCGCTGTACACTCAGGCCACTCCTCTGGTGGCCAAGACCCTGGTCCATGCTCCTGCTCCCGTCGTGGAGAAGACCGTGTATGCTGCTCCAGCTCCCGTTTTGGCCAAGACCGTCTACTCCGCTCCAGCTCCGGTCTATGCTGCTCATGCTCCAGTCTATGCCGCTCCTGCTAAGGTTTATGCTGCTCCTGTTGTGGCCAAGACTGTGTACTCCGCTCCTGCTCCTGTTCTGGCCAAGACTGTCTACTCCGCTCCTGCTCCTGTTCTGGCCAAGACTGTCTACTCTGCTCCCGCCCCGGTTTATGCTGCTCCTGCTCCAGTTCTGGCCAAGACTGTGTACTCCGCTCCTGCTCCCGTTGTGGCCAAGGCAGTGTTCTCCGCCCCAGCTCCAGTCTATGCCGCTCCAGCTCCAGTCTATGCCGCTCCCGCTCCCGTTGTGGCCAAGACCGTGTCCTATGCCGCACCACTGGCCACCACCAATGTGAACCACGGACCCGCGGCCACCACCTACACCCACAATGCCCCCGCTCTGGGCGTGTCCAGCTATGGTAGCTCCCAGACGGTTCACTACTCGCCCGCCGAGAGTGTGTCGCACATGAGCTTCGATGGATTCGGAACCCACTGGGGTTTCTAAGCGCGACTTGGCCTTTTTGGGCTAAGCAATTGTTAATGTTTGGTGGTCAATAAAGACGGAGATCGATTGTTGCAAATTAAACATGAGCTGAGTAGACTAGACCTTCCGGGGAACAATGGCCAAGACTGGTTTCTGCCACATCATTGCTGAGGGGGCCTTCGATGGGGTCTCACTTTGTGGGTAGAGGAGGGGGGCGGTGTAAGCGGCTTTGTGATAAGCTGCGGGGGCGTGGCATGTCGTGTTTTATGGCTCTTTAATTGGATTTAATTTTATATTATTTTTTTTGCACACCTTTTCCCCGATCCATAACCTTTGGGCCCACTTGTGCACTTGTTATAATTATTGTCAGTTAATTAACGGATATTTCTGCTCGCATAACCGCAACGCCGAATAAATGGCTTACACGCTGGGCCCCGAAGCTTAATCTTGACATTTGCCCAGATATGTGATACATTAATGGGACCGAGCTTAATGGGTTCAATTGGATCCATTGACAGGCGGCAAAGAGGGAGAGATCAACAGATCAAACGCGTGTTTTGACAGTGATATTTTAGCGGTGCAGCTTGAACAACGCTCGAAATGCGTAATGAAAGGTAAACGATATATAGAGTGAGGTAATAAACCAACCACAAAGTGAGAAAGTCTTGCAAAGCAATCACTTTGGTAAGGAGAATAGGAATCAGAGCAAAGCAATTTCTAATTGAACTAGTTTTAAAGCCTTCTATTTATTTTAATACGTATATAAGTTGGAAAGAACAGGATCGGACGTCTATATAATATTATTTAAAAAAAATTGTAGCTTCGATATGTAGTTATTTCTTTTGATTTATGATATTTGGTTTTAATTTTATAATTATTACCAAGTCCTAAGAATGATCTGATAATTGATAAGAAAATAATAGAAAAATCGACATGATTTTTTTTTAACATACATGTAACTTGAGATTGTCTTCGTGATTTCAAAAATACATTTTAAATTTTATGGGAACAAAAACATTTAATGGAAAATCTACATCATTTCTTTAAAATTAGTACTTTTATAGAAAAATTTTTTTTCTGCACGGTTACCTGAACATTGGGTTGTTATATTACTTTAAAGTTTATATATATATATATTTTTGCAATACTTACTTTTCATTTGTCGAATCTTTTAAAGCTATTCTTCTATTGATCCGAATTAAATCAATTTCATATACATCAAATTTCATTGCTAAATCTTTATTTAAATATTACAAAAGTTTTATTAAAATTAAGTGTAAGAATTAATTTTTGTTTACCTACATAATAAACCCTAATGTGCCTTTTAAAATTCGTATTGAATAAAACCGAATTAAGGTGAGAGGATTTACAAATTAGTAATTTAGTTTCTTTGGCCTTTTAAAGACATGACACTAATGAGACATGCAATGGAGCTGATAAATTCCCCTTAGACCAACTGACAAGCCAGACAATAACAATCAAATTAAATGAAAACGTGTCCAAAAAGCGTAGAACGAGGCCTCAGTCTTGGAATTTTTGTCAGCCAAATTAGCTGCATTTGTTGTTCTTGGCCGGAGCTTTGATTTGCGATTTGATTGCGCATACGCCCTGTGCCCCATGCCACATGCCAAAATGTGCCAGATTGTCCTCGTCTGAGTTGGCAATTAGTCAATAATTTATTTCAATTTCATTTCGCATGCCTAGCACACTCACACACCCCCAAAAATGGGGCCTAACTGCACTTTAATTACATTTACATTTCGGCTTAAGATTGTCGCTTTAGTTTTTGCCACAAAACGAGACTGACAAAGGGGGAAATTGGAATGGCAGGTCCAGGCAGATCCACCCTGCAATTGTTGCAATGCAATTTAGCTAAGCGAATTTTCATGATTTAAATAACAGCATTATGTGTGGCAGATTGTGTGTATGTGGCTGAAAAACTGCAGACAATGTGGGTTTGCTGTTCGGTATTTTGTGTTTTGTCTGACTGGCCGGCTGTGTGTCCTGCTATAATTAAATTATGGCTGGACATAAGACGCATAATAGGTCATAAATCAAATTTACCTATCCCATGGGTCCATGCCGGGCATGACACTCCAGACGCCGTCATAGACACAGTTTCCTACGGCCATAGATGCACTGAAACAAATTATATTATTATGCAAAAAAAAAAAAAATATACAAATTATCAAACATACGATTTAAAAAAACTATTTAATCAAAAAAATGTAGTTTATGAAGGTCTGATTTCGTAATTCCTGAGCAAAAGAATACAAATTCAAATTTAAGAATATGAAAAATGAAAAAAAATATTCCAAAAGTAAAACATAAATTTATTTAATGCACTTTCATTTAATATGAAATTAATCTTTGGTACATTTTTTTTTGTGGAACAAGGACAGACTGGATCCTGGGCCCCTTTTCCCACATTTTGATGGACAAACAATTAGACAATTGATGCATCTGCTGTGGCTGTTGTGCCCGTCTGTTTGAATTTGCATCTACGCCAGCGTTTCTATTGCAACTTTGACTCCACGGAACCACAAAAGGGCCGTCCCGTGGTCCGGATTCTGTGTCCGTAACTGCGACTATAACTGCCGGACTGTGACTGCATTTAATGTGACTTCTGTCAGGGGCAGTCGCACTTTGAATGCAATGCAATTGAAACATTTCGGCAGCAGAAAATGCAAATTAGTTGCCTTGTTTTCGGCCTATTGTTTTCCATGTTTAATTTTTTTTTGGATGTAAATAAGTGTAGCGCTTGAAATTTCTGTAAAAACGAGGAGCGAAAGTGATTCAACAATTTCTATAAAATGTATTGGGTTAAGTTGGTTTGAATGACTGAAAAATTTCTTTTAAATTCGATAGGTATTTTTGTACCGAGTTTAACTAGCTTTAAGAGATAACATTTTCTCAGAATTGGACATAAAATAGTTTTATTTTGGCCAAAATGTCGATAGGGAAGAGCAGAATATAAAAAAATCGTATCTATTATAAAATGTTTTTTTTTAACATTAATTTAATGGGTAAATCAATTTCGTCATAATTTACTGAGACTGCATCTAAATAAATGAATCGTAAAATGAAATGGACAAAATGGTAGCGCTTATAATTAAAATTTGGATTAAAATTTAATTTTTAATTTAAAGACTGTTTGTATTCTATTTGCTCCGCGTGGCGAAACAAATAAGTGCAGCTGTGAGGAAAACGAACACAACTTAAAGGTCGTTTTTTCTGTTGATTTATCATCGCTTTATGCAAATTGACCGCTTACCTTTGAGCTTTATCGGAGTACATCTGTGGAAAGTTTAAAATGGGGGGTTTTCTATTTCTCCTTTTTTTCCCTGGATTTCCGTGACTTTTTGCCACCCCGTCTTTTGCTGCCACGTGCAATGTCAATGCCAAGCGATTAACATTCAATTAGCTTTTGGCTTCATCAATGATTTTATCGCAGCCAGGAGGTCCTGTTGCTGCGGCTGGTTTGAGTGTAAATTGTGGCAAATTATCATTAGCCTGTTTTGGGGGGTATTTGTGGGCCCCAACAAGGACTCCAGCAACGACATCTTCAAAAGGTTTTTATGACATCAGCAGCTGTCGTTGACAGATTATTGTGGCGATTATTTTAGCAGAGAGGCAGGACACACAGAGCAGATACCAGATACAAGATACAAGACGGCAAACAACAAACAGGACCCGAGGACGGGAGGACGGGATGAGGGGAGGGGATGTCCCGGCTTTTGTGCGTTCAACTGGAAATTGTCAACACTGTTGTTGGCATTGCCATTCCTGGTGGCCGCTTTGTCGTCCTGCTACTCCGACACACATGTGACAGGACTGCAAGGACCTGCGGCCCGTCCCCTTTCCGCCACTTAGACATCTTGCGGCTTAGCACTTGTAAATAACTAGCTGAAGTTGGAAAAGTTGTCACATTTTTATAAACACCACAGAACAAGTAATGTGTTATTATATGGCAATTTTGCTGTCAAGAACCGGGTGTTTTTATACCCTTGCAGAAGGTATTACAATTAAGAGAAATAACAAGTATAACTTCGTTGTATAACGTATACCTATATACTCCGAAATATAGCCGTTTTTACCGATTTCAGAATTACGGTTTTAATTTTATATCAACTGGACGACTATATCATGTAGCTGCCATAGGAACAATTGATTGATCGGGTAACCAAGGTTAATTGTTTTTAGGCATCGAAATCGAAATACAGAATATTAAATTTTTGTAACAGCTGCAAGGGTATATAAAATTCGGATTGCCAAAGTTTCCTTCCGATTCTGGAGTATGGGTCTCCCGTCTGGAGTCCACAATACGGAATACATATTGGTCGTATTGAATCTGTACAAAAAAACTTCCTTCTTTTTGCTTTACGGCGCCTAAACTGGGATGCAAATCTTATCTTACCTTCTTATTCTAGTTGACTTCTTTTGATTAATTTACCATCCCTAGCCAACCGTAGAACGATGCTTGGTACTATCTTTATTTATAACCTTATACATGGTGATATTGACTGCCCCGACTTGTTAAGTCGGCTAAACTTTTCTGTGCCAAGTAGATTAACTAGAAATTATATTCCCTAATTTTAAATCATTGTAGATCTAACTATGCCTTGCATGAGCCTTTCAGAGTATTATGTTCTGACTATAATAGACTTTTTCCTGTAATATCAAATCTTGACTCTCTGCCGCTCCTAAAACGATTAATACTTGCTTCATTGGCACAAGATTGATCTAACTATTACTTTTTTCCCCGGACCTTTACCTTTATTTTCCTATCTCGCGTCTATCCTATCGCGAATCGTGCCGTACGATACACGGCTGCGCCCCTCGGTCGGTTGGGCGGGTAAGTGGGCCGTGGGACTCCGCGCGAAAAAAAAAAAAAAAAAATATGATCATCACACCATTATATAGAAATAAAAAATTCGAAAATTCAATTTGAAAATACTTATAGTGGAATTTTAAGAAAGTTTCATAAATATTTCTTATGACAATTCCAAACAGATTTTAACTATTTAAATTCGAAGAAGATGTATTTAGCTTTAGCTTGGTTGGCCATTTAATGGTAAAATACCATCCAAATAGTTACTTTTATAGTTACACTACCTTTTACTCTTATGCATTATATTAAATATTTTAAATATTTATATTATTATTTTCATACTTAAATTACATTATCGTCGGCAAAGACATTTACTATAAACATAGTTAGTTTATAGGGTACTTAAAATTTTATTTAGTTTAAAAACCATTTTTAATGGTTTCGCGTTACTTAAATTATTCTAAAGTTTATTTTCAATCAACTATGGAACTATTTAATCGGTCAATTCAACGAATCCCTTTTTTGTTTGTAGACTGAAACTAACAGACAAGACAACAAACAGTCACAACTGAAATTAAAATTGAACCGATTTTCATTTTATATTTCGATGCATGAAAAAGCTGTCATCTCTTTTCGGAATTTTATACATTTTTTCATTAGGATGTGCAATTTCCCAACTATAGCACTCAAAATCTCACTGCTGCTTTTAATACCCATGAACATAGTGAGTTGGATACCTTGGTGCTCGATGATCGAATACGCATGACCAAATCCGCAGGCGATAAATATCGGGGAATTAGTATTCACCCGTATACGCTTTAAACCCAATACGAATGTGTTTCTTCTAAGCATAAACATACTAGCGTGCATCATTATGCTGGGTTTTCTAACAGCGGGAATCTATGGGACTTTTCGGAATAGGATCAAAATAATAAGGACGGTGCGACATACAAACGTTTTTCTGGATCATTAACATTAATATTTTCAGGTTCCTCCAGCTGATGTTTTCCATGGTGGCGTTCTGCTTGTTTAGGGTGGTCATGTGGATAGTGTGTGGGAATCTGGAGGTAATTTTATCCGAAACCATCACTCACGTATGGTTCCAGATCAACACGGCGGTCTCGGTAATGGAACTTATCGAATGTATAGAGTTCAATAATCAAAATTTATCCATTGCAGATACTCTGTCTGATTGTGACTGTCATGTTCTGTATGCGGCTGCATGAGCTCTCTCGACAGTTTCTACAAGGCGTTTAGTCTATAAGAAAAATATGATCTTAGTATTCTTAACTATGCCAGTACTTATCGAATTTAATTCAATTTAATTTTGATATCGCACACTAAATTTAAGATAAGTTTTTAAAATTTTAAAATTACTGTACGCAAAAGTCTTTGTTTTAATAGAAATAAATAGAAATAGCTATATAACAAATGTCTTTCAAATAACTACATTTTATTATCGAAAGATATTAAATTGGTTGTTATAACAGGAGTATTCAAATATAATTAAAAGAAATATAAAAAATTAATTTCTACATTTTATTTTTGAAAAATATTATTTAGTTCGTTTTAGTTCGCTGATTTAAATCAGTCCTTTCATACTTTAATCTTAAAGTTTTTCCCTCAAAATGAACTCAAAGTACCGATGAAGTTGTTTATATCGTGAGGCGTGACAATTTGTGGGTTGTGTGGGTAATCAAATTACATGCGGAATTATGGACACCCGCAGGACGATAATGGCAGCCAATAAAGATGACAATGACAAGATAAGCGCGGGCTGGAGCAGAGGATGTGACCCCCGCCGGGGTCATCGGTTGGGTCCGTTTCCGCAGCTTTAAATGAAATTTAACGATGCCCACAAATAATGATACTTTGCATTTTAAAACACTTTTGCCAGTCGGTCAGAAGTCAGGGTCCTGGAGTCCCGGAGTCCGCTGCTCATTACACGCATTTCACTTGACACTTTTATTGGCAACGGAAACGGAATTGGTGGAAATGCGGGTCATTTTATGGCCACGAACGGATGCCGATAAGGGCATTAAATTTGTTCAGCCATAAAGTCGCTGGCCACATCACTCAGCATTTGGCCAATTACGCAAATAAAAGCATATACATATACCCTCCTGGAAAAACGGAACGTGTCAAAGTGCTGGAAAATGCAGCAGGATTCAAGGATGTTGTGGAGTGGCTCATTAGAGGTGTGTGCGCTGCCCCGAAGGTTTTGGCCGGGAAATTGGGTGGAAAAACGCTCTCTAAACTGGCACTTTTATACAAAAAATTCTCAAAGCCCTTGGCTAAAAACAAAGCGAAAGTATGACTAACACTCCTTTGTGGTCTCTAATTTAAATGCGAACAAAGATATGCCTAAAAATGAGTATTTCATTTCTTTTTAATTCTCGCAACTGGCGTAATTAAAGGCGAGGCCTGAACTGCCCCCGGCGATTCTCATCGGATTCTGGGCAGGAATTTCGACTGTCGCCAAGCGATTTGGGGCCATAACAGCATGTCGTCGACGTTGTCGTTGTCCTTGTCGTCCAGGCGCATATCCTGCGGCTGATTAAAATCTATTAGAGTCAAAGAGATGTAAGACACTGAGCAGGCGGCGGTCGTCCTCCATGGCGGTGGGTGGTCGACCGGCGGGGGGCACACTTTGGCCAATGACTTGCCATGTAAATGTCGACGGCGACGGCTACGCAATTGAAATGCATGCGGCGGAAACTTTCAACTTGTCATAGAAGGGTATTTCGGGTATACTGAATGTCGGACTCTTGAATTCTGAGGAAAAAAAATATTTACCACAAAATTCAAAAACAAAATAATAAAATAATACTGATATTTTGGGAAATAATTATTTGAGGCACACAAATAAATTTAGTTAGTCTTCAAATTAGTTTAAATAATCTTTGTTTCGTTACTTTACCTTAAAGAAAATCAACGCTTAATGTAGAGTTTTTGCATTCGATATTGTATATAACAAAAAAAAACATTAAGACATTTTAATGAAGAAAAATTGTGTAATCAATTTAAGTTTAAATTAAACATTAACTAACTTATTATTATTATATAATAATATAAAAATTTTAATAAGCTACGAACATGCCAATAAATTCATAATCATAAAATAGAATGTAATATTCAATTGATCATACAATAATCAATACATTTTTGTGAAGCCCCATTTACAAAGGTAAAAACATAGATAAACATATATCACATATCTTAATCGTTTACCCTATGTTCCCACTTCTTGTTATAGATTTTTAAATATATTTCGAGATTAGGGTATTCCGACACCAATCATACCTCAAACTTCATTTTCCCCTCCCGAATCTCACGGCTCTTGTTGTTGTCAAAAGTCGCACACAAAAACTTTGCAGTGCAAAGTTTTCAACGGAAATTGTGCAGCTGTTTTGTGTGTGGGCTTGTGAGTCTCGTTGGCCTGCTCTTAAATATACTTGTAAAAGCAAATTTGTTGAAATATTCATTTAATGGCTGCCACGCCCACTATCTGAAGAACGCCTCCCGCTATCAGCACTTGCAGGGCGGTTCATTCAATATGATTTTTCATGATTAAAGCGCGTGCCGGGTATGTTCTTATCGGCCGAAAGACATTTCCCCAACGATGCCGGAGTTCGATCGGAATTTTCTTATAAATTGTCGCCCCCAACAAATGTGTCCGCACCGACATTGGGGGTAAAAAATACTCCCACACGTCGACGTAATAAAGTGATTTTAAAGGGCACTTTCCCGCACTTCCCTTTCACTTCGATGGGTATGCGTAAAATTTCCATTTGTGCCAGGCACTCAACTTTATTGAACTTGAAGTGGAGACTGCGATAATGTTTGTCTGATAGAGCAGCAACAGCACATGTGTGCTGCTCCAAGATGTCCTGGCTTTACAATTCATTAAAATTTCATATAAACGGAATGAACAATGGCCAGCTAACGTAATCCATTTTGCAGCTACAACAAGAACAGAGAAAATAAATATGTGAAACACTTTGGCGTATCAAATTTTGTCCCTTAGAAATGTAAGTTTTGGATTTTCTAATTTACATAGGCACATATAAAATTAAATGTTGAAATTCTTATGTTTAAGGAATTTTTTAACTAAAAGTTTATTCTTTTTGAATACAATTTTTTTTTTTAATTTTAATATTAATAGTATTTATTTTTAAAGACTATACTTCACATGATCAATGATTATTAATAACTATAAAAGTTTTGTTTTTTATTCTTAAATTTAATTCAAGAACAATATCAAGATATTTTTATAGATCTCTTATTTAAAGCAAAGTTATTTTAATCAAAAATGTTGTCATAGAAGTTAAAAAAAAAAACAAACATGAAATTAAACTATATTTTGTAGATTTTAAATGTCCTTTTTTCTGTGTGCACTGTTATTAACTGCTAGTTACAAATGCGCCACAATAACGGTATTAAATGCACTGCAAAAGCGTCAAGTCATAAACAGCTCATCAGTCTTGGGCGGGCGGGAAAGTAACCGCTCCCATCCCGCCCCAACGGTAATTATGCGCAACGCGCGACGCCGCTGCAAAAGTTGTGCTATCACAACTCATTGTCTCGGCGGGCAGGAAGTGGCAGCGGCAGCAGCCGGCGGCAAAACATGCCACCAAAAGGGGGATCCTTTGCCTTTTGACGCTGATAATGCAATTTCCGCCAGCTCCCCCTTTTCCCCCTCCCCACTGCCGTAATTTACAGCCGTGCAATGTTTCATTTTTGTTGCGTCCTTCTGGTCGTCCTTAAAGCCAACTCAGACAACACTGCCAACGGGGCTAGTTGCGGCTATTTATCTACATAAAGTTAATTGAAAACATTCAAATGCCAGGGCGACTGCGTGATGTGTCAACATCTTCTGATGCCGCATAATCCCACAACGTCCATCCAAGTCTTTCCAGACACCTATCCCTTTAACCTTTATAAAGAAGTAGTAAGGCTTTTCGACTAGAGGATACCCGGTAACCAATATAAAAAACCACTGTCGCATTTAATTTAAATTCTGCGATCGTAATACTCTTATTTTATAACGAATTTAAATTTTTTTGGTCGAAAATAAATTCTCTAAGGTATTAGATAAGCAGCTCAGTTCCCTTGCTGATTTTGTTAGAAATGAAATTGTTTGATAATCAAAGTTCTTGAAATCAAAAGGGCGAAAAAGGCGGGTTAGTGTTTGTTTTACTGCAGAAATTGCAAATGGCATCTATACCGACTCGTTGTCGAATTCCCCAATCCTGAAAGATACTATTAAGTACGAAGAATTATGTTATATGGTTTTCCAAGTAATTTTCTAGAAACTATAGCAAAGTTTTAAAAAAACAATGGCAACTAAACAGTAATATATTTTAGATTAAACATTTAAACACCGGTGAAAAACAAATATTTTTAAACAAGGATTTTTTACAAATTTTGTATAATTTATTTAATGTAAGGCCAAATGAAATATCTGGTATAGTATGACTAGATATGCAGAAAAGTAGTAAAATTTGCCATATATCTGGAAATGGTTGGAATTCCTGAAAATCCAATATGCCTTTAAAATCTCTAAGTACCGTGTACAACAACAAAGAACAATGAAATGAAGGCACTGCGCTTTTTCCCTGTTTTCCTCGCCATCGTCGTCTTTATTACAAATTGGTTTTGTGCACTCACCACTCGCATGTTTCGTGCGCAATTTGCACCACCGAAATGAATATGGAGCGAAGGGAAAACTCTCGACAAATGTGCAGAAAAAATAAATTGCGGAACACGAAAAGGTGAACGGAAGGGCGGAAACGTGTCCAACTCGCCACGTTAACGAAGTGAAATCGAAAGTTTGACTGCGGTCAACGTTGGGCATTGTCATTGTCTATCGCTCTGCCATATCACTATATCCCAGTCCCGGTTCCTGGTCGTATCTGTATCTCCCCAGCTGGTTGTCAGATTGAATGGTTTATGTGTGACACCTTTGACCGGTCACCGAGGTGTTTTTCCGACGGAGGTTCCCCTCAGCCAGACGAAATAAATTAAAATTCACCTGCGGACCAGAGAAACTAAAGGCATTGGCTTGAAATCACAGGCGAACATTCGTTAACATATGAGAGCTGCAGATTATGGGGTAGTAGGTGCTCAAAAACAAAAATTATTTTAGTTATGAAACACTTGTATAAATTACTTAATTAGTCTTACATTTCTGTTTATAAGTCTATTTTTGATCAAGTAAACATCATATAAAACGTTATAAAATATCTTTAAAGATGCTTACATTTTAAAGAAAATATTTAAATATAAAAGTCGATTATCTATTGACCCACAAACTTATTGTAATATGTAAAATTTAATAATTTCATCTCGAACCAAAATTTAAATTTAAGATGATTTGTATATCAATATTCTATTTTCACACTGACTCAGTTTTTTAAATGCGATTATTTCGGCTTGGCTTAACACAGAAAATTCCTGTAGCCTGATTTCCGTGTTCTTTTATTTGCCCAAAAGAAGTCACGTGGCATTCATAATTCTTAAAATGACGCCATCAGAAATTATGTAGCAATGCTAAGTGCACCCAAACAGCTGTCCCCCACTTTTCCAAGGGGCTAAAGTCTACGTGACCAGCATTTGTCGTTCCCCAAAGTATGCTGGGATTTTCTTCCGTTTTTTTTTGGAGGACAGTCGAGTAACAATGGGGAATTGATTTCGGGTTTTGGCCAAGTGCAAGCTGATTATGGAATTAAAACATATTTCTGTGCTGCGAACTTAAAACTTTAAGTGGCAAAGGTTGTCGCTGCGTTCTTAGTACGTGACATTCTTTTGCTTTCCGAGTTTATCACGTGACAAGTTTTCCAGTTTTGCGCTTACTCTCCGCACACCCATTTTCATTTTCATTGTGGGATGAAAAAATAACTTTTCATGTGTACGAGTATGTGGGAAAAGGGAAATGAATAAGCAAACGCAACTACAAAGAAGTTAACTACAAAAGCGGGCTGCGAAAGTGAACTTGGGTTACAAAGGAGAAAAGATCGGAGGAGTTTGGCTAGCAGGAAAAACGCAGATAAATAACATTGAATGTGAAAACACAAGGGAAAAGGAAAAAATAAACAATACGCCTTTTGAAATGCTAAACGTGCCGCACTCACACACACACACACACACACACAAGACCAGGGCCAGGAGCGTTTTTCACACATTTCACAAGGACGCCTTGCAGGACTCGTGTTCGTGTATTTTTATTAGCACACCCACACATCCGTGGGATACTCCGCCATCAGTTTATCTTGTTACTTGCCACCCGCTCAGTGCCAAAAACATTTATCTTGTCGTATTTATTTTGTAGCACATTAATTTCGCTTCGTGTTTCAACTCAAATTGACTTATTTGCATTCAGTTTAATTTGTACGAACATCAATACTACCCCGAAAAAAGGACAAAATATAGGGATGTTGCGGCTAACACAGCCACAGGTGTTGCAAGTGTCAAATTTGTGATTGATGGAAGGCCTAGCTTGGCATAAAAAATTATGAGATTTATTATTAAAAGTTTTCCGATATGGAGAGGGATGAAATGATTTTTTTACAATCTGTATCAGGGGTTAATAACTAAGAGGGGAATTACATTTCCGCCTTGATTAGCACTCTCCTTGATTTCATTAGGTATTCTAAGCATTTTAAATAAAGAAAATATGAGGGATCATAAATAAAGTACTCTCAAATTTTATAAAAGTAAATTAAAAATAAGTAAGCAGCATGATGGCCCCATTTGAAGATTTTGCAGCACTTTGATATCTTAATTAATGAATGTTATTCTACAAATAACGTTATCCCTCAGAAAAGGTCATCTAATTGTATATTAATTTTGTTTATAGTAAAAAGAGTTTTACAATTGGTAACATAAAACATATGTTTGATTTTATTCTTGACAATTAAAGCTTTATTATAAGTTTGATGACTGTTCAAACTAAATTGACATTATAAATTATAATTTATAAGTCTCAGTTGTACTTTCATTGGCAAATAACTCGATTTAATTTAAGCTACTTAAATGAATAGATATTTGCCAAAGCCCAAGTGAAATATGAACTTCAACTAACGAATTCCAAAGCCAAATAAAATGAAATTAGCCACACGGCCGCAGTTCGCTTCATGGACCAGCGACGACAGACAAAATGCATTTTTCATAAAGCAGACGGCCGTGGAATGGGGCACACATGTCTGTTTTTTGGTGGAGTTGGGGGGTGGTTAGGAGATACTTTTGGGGGCGGACTACCTGTAGACGTCTATCGACAGCCAGAGGCGGGGCAAGTTGGAAAATGGGAAATGGCCGAGAGCGCAAAATGTCAACCGAAATTGCGATTGCGTTAAAACTCTATAAATACCAGAGTAACATGCAACAATGGTGTGCGGCCAAAGGACATGCCGATATGGCAACAACACAATCTAATCCGGTTATTGCATTTTAAATGTGCAACACACAACCGCCCAGGGGCGTGGCCTGCCATGATTTCGCATTAAATTATTTGCCAGGCAATTACTGCCGCCTGACATTGAAGTTCCAGTTCGGTTTTGCCGGGTTATTCATTGGATCACGTGTGAGTATGCTGGAAAGTACGAGTATCTCGGATTGCGCCTCGTAATGCGCTTATCAGGAAGCCAACAAGCGCCAGCCAACTCTTTTCAAATTTTAATGTAATTTAACAGCATATTAAACAGCAGGAGTCTGCGGACGGAAAACCACAATGCCATTGTGGATGTGAATGTGGGCTTCGCCTAGGAGTGCTGCAACAGTTGTTAGTCCTTGCCGCAAAATTTTAGTGTGGCACACTTGGCAAACTTGCAGATGAAGATAGCAGCTGCCGCCAGGCATACTCCCAAGGTAAGTACACAGGGAAAAATAAAATAGCAAACTTTATTTATTGTTACCAAATTGCAAGATAAAAGAAATAATAAAATGAATAAAATGATTAATGAGGATCTCAATAAACTTCTTTTACATAATCCGATTGAATTTATACATTGATTTTTTTTTATTTTATATTTAAAATTTTTTTTTAATTCTGAGTCAGTCGAGTTTGGCTCTCCGTGTAGCAGGTTACTACATCTTAAAAGTAGCCATCTTAGAGATATTTTGGTACAATTCTACTCCATTGCTCCTGCAACAATTAAATGCGGATATTCCCGACTGCGAGCACTTCGATACAGTGGATATATCGCATAATTAAAGCCTGGGCGATTCCGACATATACGATAACTAGTATTTCCTGATCACCTGACTGGTGGATATAACTTCAGTGAGCTGCCGGTCGAATCCAAAGAGCCGGTAGAAAATCGTTTGAGATCATGTGCCTGCATTCAAATGATGACCAATGACGAGTGCAACGATGGACTGAATGAGGTGCTTTTCCGGGTCATTCCCTGCCTGAATATGATTCAGATTCGGGGTGTTTGAAGTTTGCGCTGCATCTGAAATAAATAAATATTTAAGAAAATTAGTTCAAAATCAGGCTTATTTTCGAAAGTCGTTGCACTCAATGAATACGGACATTCATGAACCGGCAGAATGGCTAATCAATTGCGCGCACATTGAAACACAAATCAAATTGCAAACTTGCCGCGTCCAACGGTTTTTGCAGAAAACTTTTCTAGCTTTCCTTCTTTTGCCTCCTTACTTTCCATTGGCTTCATCCTGTTCGAGATCAACTTTTGCTCAATTTGATTTTTCAACAAAATAGGAAGAACTTTTTGCCTTTTTACCTGCCCTTTTGTGTGTGCGTCTACTTTTGCTTGTCGTTAAACAAACTTATCCAATAAAACTTTTGTCAACATTGATTTAAGGCTAAAGAGGGTGCATATTATGGGAAGGTACAAGGGGTGTAGGGATTGGCAAATCATTTGACATTCGTTTGCTTTTACCATAAGTCAAAAAATGTTAAGCGCCAAAGAGATGAAAAAGTGTTATCAGGTGCTCTAAATACTTTTAAGAAAGTTGAGCCAGCAAGGTGCTGGATATCAGGTGGAAGCAAATCTTTTTGGAAACATCTAAATGAAATTATTACTTTAAAGTCTCAGTTTTGGTAGACAAAAAATTAGGAGATATCTATAAAGCTTTATAAAAAAAATTGCTTAAAATTGTTTATCCTGCTCATGAAAAGTATAAAACTAAGTACTGAGAAAACCCAATGAAAAATAATTTAAGCTTAAGATTTGTAGTCAGACCTTTGTTAAAAACAAAAATACGTTCCCAAATATTTTAAAATTATATCTAATCATTATGGGAAATAAATATTTAACTTTTTTTAAATAAATATGTTTAATAGTATTTATCCTGCTCATGGAAAATATTACAAATTATTAATCTAAAATCCCAAATAAAACAAACTAATTCTTAGGTTCAAGGCTTCAAAAACTCTGATTTATGAAAATACTTTTAGTACAACCTATTTTTGAATCTCTTAAATGTTCCCAAACATCCCTGAATATTATAATTTTAGTTCCATTCAGCACACCTGGTTATACTGGAGTAAACATACCCTTTGACCCTCACAGACAAACATCCATACATATATATTACTTATAAAGTGGGCTTAAGTCAGTTTTTGTCTTGTTTCCCGCACAAACAAACGGAAAGTGTTGGCCAGGCCGCATAAGTAGAACAGTCCAAGGCGAAGTTTTCCCTTGCAACGTGATATCCTTGTTGTTTTTGTGGAAATGCATTTACAGTTAGCTGACTGTGGCAGCTTCTCTTTATCCACTTCTACTTAAGACTTTAATAGTTGCAAAAGTTTTCAACGCGCGCGAACTTAAGTAGCTGTTCTTTGGGGTAGTGCTTAAAATGACTGTAAAACTGCCAACATAAATCTGGCCACAACATCTTTTATGTTGCCACTAGCCAGAAGTTAATGCTGGCCACGTAAATTGAAGATTTAAAGAATCGGCAAGATTAAAAAGTTCTGCAGACAAGCAACAAATTGACGCGTATCTTTTGCATATTGAATAAAAGTCAAATTGTGTTTGGCATATTAAGCGGGAATCATTCGGCAATGTCGATGGAAAATCGAAAGCAAATCCCAGGCCACCCCAAAAAAAACCGCCCTGTCCGTCTGGCGAAGAAAAGTGATTTTTCCTGTTAGACTTACGGTTTAGCGACGCAGCAATTTCCACAGCAGATTCAGCGATTCTGGCCAATAAGTTTGAACGAAGTTGGCTTAGATGACCGCCTCTTGTTATAAAAATCCCTCTGAGTATCTGAAATTAAAAAAAAAAAATTCGTTAATCTCAGATATCTCGAATGATTGTGAAACTTTAAAAGTATCCACATTAAAATTATTCATATTTCAATGGTTTTGCTCATTCAAATTACTGTTTACTTGATTTCAACAAATGCGCCACTTTGTCTGGATTTATTCTATTGACATTTAATTACTCGTATTATTATTGCAAAAGTAGCCTCATTGAAAATATTTTAAATAAATATTTCTCCGCCTTTCGTTGTAATTTAAGCTTATGATATATATCCGACCCATCGAACAAGAGCGAAACCGCATTATTTTGTCAAATAGCGAGTTCAACGAGGTGAGCTTTAGAAGTTCAAGCTATGGTTTAGTCATTTATTATTTTGTGAAGTTTTTTCTTTACTTAAATATGTTTATTAAAAATGGAGATAAGCTTTAATTACAAATTCACACAATAAAAATATTTAATCCACAAAGACGAAAAAAGACACTTCTTTTAGAATTATAAAAGGAAATATAGTTTTACATTTACACAGAGAAATCGAATATTTTTCCTTCTTCTTTTTGAAAAAAATTTATTTTTCTTATTAAAATGTGTTAGCTATGCTTGTCACTCAAAAACGTCGAATTTTTAGATAAATTTTCTCTGTGAATTATATTTTTACTGAAAAATTCAATTTTACAAGATTTCCCTAAAATCATTACTTTTAAAGACTAATAAATTTTGATAATTTAAGTATTACCCCTCTCTGTATCAATGCCATCTGCAAGGCTATAAATTTTCAGGATATTCCCATATAGACAAGCCAAATTTACAAGTGGTCAGTGGCAGCGACGCTAATGAGCCAAACGCAATGCAAATTGATAGCCCTCTATCTGACAGCCACGCCCCTTTTATATTACTGCCCCCGTTAACAGTTTGGTGTGGCTTAAGGGATTAGCATCGTTATGCGCACTTTATTTGTTCATATATACAGAAAGGAACGCGGCGGTGGAAAATGGAGTTTCATGCAATTGTTTTTAATTTGCATGCATTTATAATTCAACATTCTCGCGGCCTTATGAAAAGCTCATTTCGTTAAGAGTGTCCTGGGCCCTTAAGTCCTGTCTACTTCAAAGTGTTAATGAGCTGGGAGGCTGGCGTAATTATGCAAATTTTTAATGAGTGTGAAAATGACTTGTACCGAGCAACAAGTGTTCGCGTCTGATTCCTTTAAAACAACCCTCCAGCACCACCCATCCGCCCACTGAAATGGCGGCTAATTCCATTTGACCCAGAAGCCCCAGAGCAATCCATTTACATGGCTTCGAATACCTCGTCGCTTCCTGGATCCTTGCCACTCCATTTTCCACCGACCATTTTCCCCTTTAATCCTTCGGATGTCAGAGCTCTGAGCTAAGTTGACTGCTGGCACTTGGTCTTTAGATTTATACAGATTTTGCCAAACAAAACATGAATTTGCACTTTTACACACATATGTGAGTGACTGAAAGAGAGAGCACCGAAAGCCGATTTGGTGTCATTCAGCTGAAACGGACCTGCAATACGTTTAAGCCCTTTAGACCATTATTCGCATAAGGCGCTCCTTTTAAACTCATTTAAGCTGCGATGAGCCACATTATAATCGTACATATACGAGGTTAAAAATAATAAAAACGTCTTCACAAAAGACCCAAGTACATTTGAATTAAAACAATGACATACAAGACTAATTCAAAAAGTCAAAGGAATACAAGATACAAAATGATACTGGATAGAAGTTATAAAAAGATACAAATGAATGTACAAAAAGTCATAAAAACTCATGAATATAAAGGCATTTGGACCTTTAACATAGGGAATAAATAAAAAACAATTCGCAGATCAGAAATTAAACCTCGAAATTATAGATATTTGCTCTCATGATACTAACCTTTTCAAAGATTTAAGCGTCCTTTTCACGATCAACCTCAAAATCTCGTGGAGGATGATTTTCAAATAGGAATAGGCCCGGGAAAATTCCTCCTTCAGTCAATCACAACACTCGTCATAAGCTATCACTTGCTTGGAGACACTTGATCTTAAGTGATGTTAAATGACTCCCTGAATGCGACCGGCACCTGACTGAAGTTATTTCATCTAGACAGATGGACAGGAAGTACCAGTTTAACGTATGCGTTGGAATAGATCAGCCTTCAAATATGCTATATCTCTACTGTATCAAAGTATTCGCAATCGAAAATTTCCGCTTTTGATTTTTACTGGGTTAAAAAGACAAGAACTATACCGAACTATTTCAAAGTCAGCCGCTTTCGAGATGTAGAAAGCTGTTACGCGGAGAACCAAACTCGACTGACTGCCAATGGACTGAGCTCATGGAAATATATAGTTTTTTTTCGATACCAGCCGAATTTCAAAACTAACACCAGAGGAACTAAGTGGTCCCTCGAGAAAACGCAATCAAGAGTACAGGGCGATTTTATTGAGTTTAACAAATGTAAGAAATACAAAAAAGAAGAAAAGAATCGACTATAAGATACCCTATGCATTTCGACAGCACCACAGGCTGAGATCACTTATGTTACTTTCTTAAAAGCTTCTAAAAAATAATGCGAATGAAAAAGTTTTTGGTGTGTCGATAGATATTGACCAAAGATTTCAAAGGCGGTGCTAACATATACCGCCCAAAAACAGGGTTCGATCATGTCTCTACAGATTTTTGTGATTTGTGGTCATCAGAATATGCATAAAAAATCTTAAAACTCTATATATTGTAGTTTCCGAGATCTCGATGTTCACACGGAAGGACAGACAGGCTAAATCGACTTAACCATGGATTCCAAACATGAGATCTATTTATTAATACTGTATACCATTTTACTCTACGAATAAAGGGTATAAAAATACATTTTAAATTCGTGATTACAAAATAGTTGTTATAGTTGTTATCGTACATCTGCTAATGGGGCTTAAGGGAATTTGTCAAAAATATTTTCTTAGAAACGCAGAAACGCAGAGCATATTCACCAGAAGTTGAGAAATTTTTTTAGTCCCAAGTTGACTAAAGTCTTTGTGGGACTTCATCTCAGAGATTTACAAGTTTTTAATTTTTCTTCTAATTCTGTTAAATATCTTTTTAGTTGGTGCTTTTATGTTATAATTGTTTGAATCAGGAAAAGGGTTTTCTTCCATAAATGCTTAGATATTCTTTGGTTCTTTAATTCATATTATTAATATTTTCACAACATTAACGTAACATAAAACATAAAACTTAAAAATTAAATTTGTTTCTTCACAAAACTAAAGTAAATAGTAAACGCAGGTTTTTTTTTTAAATTAAAGTGAAATGTATTTTAAAGTCTAATGTTAAACTATGGACTCCAAAATCATTTCACGCAATCATTTCAATAGTTTTCATACTTTTTAGTTTACCTAAGCTAATGAATTATTTATAAAAAACTATACCCCTAAATAGTTTTTAAATTAAATGTTATATATTCAATCCATACGACATTTTTCAAAATATTAAATGTCAATTTTGATTAACAAATACTGTGAATAAAATGCAATTCGATATGGAAGTGTGCTCGTTTATGGAAACTGTCTTTTTCAATTAGTCCATGCAAGGACTCCAGTCCTTCCTGCCCCACAATTCCCGGCTGGTGTCCGAATGCAAATGCAGATTTTTAAGCCTGGCGGCAGCTTTTGCGCAAACAGATTGTAAACAAATAAATGCCGCCGGCAGACACACAGATGCATTCGGTGGTCAGTGACCAGATTCCAGGTTCAGGAATGCATTCGATTCTTTACTTCACCAGCACTCAACTTCACTTTTGAGCCACGTGAAGTTCAGTCTGCTGAAACCTTTTTCGCACTTAAGTGGTTAAATTGGCTGTGATAAATTGTTGCCGAGTCAAAGTTGTTGCCGCTGCGGGGCACCTCAAGTCACATGCGGTGGTGCGAGTGGGTGGTGCGTGGTTTTGTGGGCGGAAAGTGCGTGATAAGCCCACAAGGACGCAGAAGTGAGAGCCTGACACTCTCTCATCTGCTTATTCATTGAGTGCCTGCCGCTGACAGTAATCATAACGCAGTCATCAGCTCGTAATATTACAGCCGCCTGACATATGACATCTGGGAAATGGGGAAATGGGGACCAAAGAAATGGGATGTGGACTATTAATATGCCAGTATGTGGGGGTACTCAGTGAGAAAAAACAGTTCAGTTCTCTGCTCAACTCAGTTTTTATCAGCATCGTGTTTTCGATTACAAAATCTAAATTGAATTCCAGGAAAGATTAAAAGTAGCCATGTGCCCTGTCCGCTGGATTTTCATAAAGACATTCAAATATAAGTTTTACCAGTTTTTTCGTATTTAAACCGTAAACTCTTAGAAAACTCTATTTTTGAGTTAAAATTAATTATTTTATTTATATATAACTATAGCAGGATAATGTAATTCTAGGTTTCAAACTCAGTTTACCATGAGATTCGAATACTAATTTTCTCTGTGCAGTAAAAGTAATAATAGTACCCAAACCCCAGCTTATAATGGGTGGTGTCTAATGGGTGACGGTTAATGGGGTGGTGGTTAAGGTGTGGGTTAACCGCTGGTTAATGGGCGGAGGGCGTGCCTGAGACTGATGGAAACCTTTTAGCTGCAGCGACCAAATTAAATGTCTAGCCAAATGCCGTTCGTCTTGATTAGCACCGTGGAGCTATGAGTGAGGAATACTCCTACCTTAAAGTTTCCAACAATTCGCTCAGAGTGAGCTGTGGTAGTAAGCAAATTTGCACGCTTATCGCAAAACTCACATCAGACAATCTTGATGTGCATATCATTTTTATGGCCAATTCATGCAAAATGCTTCCTGTAGCCAACAACACCAAGAAAAAACCACAATGCCAACATCGAAAATGGTGAGAAAAATATTGGCTTACATGCTTTTCTAATACCCTACACTGTCATATAGGAGATTTTTAAACATTTACAAGAATTATATGCTAAACAATTATAATAAATACAAGGATTTTTTAAAAATATATTTTATTAATTTTTTATTAACCTACATTAAGTATAAAAAAAGCAAAATAAAAAGTTTTACTTTTAGTAATAGATTTTAAAATTTATATTGTATTTATTACTTTTGGGCTTTAAAGATTTTTCCATACTTCGTGATGGCGGCTTCATGTCCTTACCTCACTAGATTTGCAGCTGTCCTTTCAGTCCTTTCAACCCATATCCCATACTTCAGTTGTCGTCGCTTTCCATGTGTGTTTGTGCCTCGTTTCTTCTTCTAACTTGCCGCCTGAGCGACTGCATTTGAAATTTATAGGGAAATGTGCCCTGCGTTTCGAAACTAAAAATTTATTACTTTATTTTTTTTAAGTATACTTTCTAAATTTAAAAATTTTTCTGGAAACTCCTTTTCATTTAAAAAAATTGTCTCGAAATATTTTTAAAAATATTTTGAAAAAGTATTTGTTTTCGGCACGGTTAACAACGCATGCAACCCATTGAAGTACACATTCCGAATTCAATAACATTTAATTTAATTCCTTTTCTCTTTATTATATTTAAAAACGGTTTGCCTATAACGAAACGCACTGTAACCATGTGTATCTATGTATCAAACTTACTGCCGTTTTTTGCCAACTTGTATCTGCTGCCGAGGCAAACAATGGGAATGTAAATTGTTGCAATGTCTTTGTTTTAATTTTTTCGCAGGAGCGCATATTCGGCAGGCCTGTGAAAGGATTTGTATCCTGCCGCCGTTTGTCGGTCTCGAATTTGTTGTTCTCTGTTCGCTCGGTGTTTTCTGTTTTTGCGTAACACTCGGTCTGTTGGCTTTGTAGTTCGCTTACTTTTCATTGTCACCGGCGACGCTGTCATCAAATTTTTTTGTTCATTTGCATACGCGAGACCGTGATGGCGGTGGTGAACGGAGTACTTGGTGTTGGTCACGTGGCCGCTGGCCATTGCACTCGACTCCGCCGGACAGTCCGAGTCCTTGTACTTGTGAGTCGTGACATTGACGTATGAATGCCAGAATACCTGGGCCTCATAAATACATTCGCACACTACGGCCAACTTGGGAAATTGGGAGTGCTTCTAGCCGGGTTCAACGGCCCACGAAATCCCCAATAAAACTGGCTTCATTAGCCGCCATTAGCCGGCTTTGTCTGTTGCCTCAAAGTGAAATTGTGCATAAAAATACCGGGGCAGGAGGCAACCAACGAAGCTGGACACATGGCCTTTCTCTTGCCCCTCGAATGCGTGTGGAGTGTCATTAAAGTTTCATCAACGCCGCAAAATGAAAATGGAACACAACAAACTCAGCTCGGCTCCTCGAACTCCCCAGTTTGCCAACTCCCCGAGGGCAAGGATATATACAAGATGTACAAATGGTTCGCAATGGGTGGAGGGGGGTGAGGCCTTTCCTGATATTGTCATTACATGCTTGGGGGATATTTCTGTGGCGTAACCAAGGCAAATGTACTTTTGACAGTCCAACTGCCGAAACTCCTGAAAGGGTTGACCAACCCTCGCCGGTGACCCCGGCAACCGCAAACGGACAAAAGACAAAAGATTTGTTTGCTCGCCGGGACAACAGCTGCTTATGCCCCCAAGTCCTTCGTCCTTCGTCTTTCGTCCTTTGTTGTCCTCCCCACTCAATTGCCCCAAATTGGTTTGTTTAATAGTTTTGAATCTTGGCCCCCCGGATCAGCAGCAATAAATGTTAGGTAAGAGTTTAAATATTTATCAGTCAAAACTCTCGCACAAGTATCTTGTATCGCACAGATGGCGCATCTGTTTATCTCAATCCCCACGCCTCCACTGGGTATTGGTAATTTTCCTCTTGGCCAATCAAGTTGACTTCCTATCGGGTATTCTAAGCCAACGGTTTGAAGGTTTATAAAATAATAAATAATGTAATCTTTAAAGTTAATTCAGAAAAATTAATATATTAACTTTAACAAGAAAGGAAAGCTAAATTCGGACGGAGCCGAAGTTGATATACCCTTGCAGAATATTCTGTAAATTATATTCTTCAAAATTATTCATACGATGTATTCTTAATACTCAAAAAAAGTCCCAACTTCCTAACTTTAAAAACACCAAAGTTATGGCATTTCCAATCGTTCAGTTATATGGCAGCTATAGGATATAGTCGGCCGATCCTTATGAAATTTTGTATTTCGGATTGATTGGCCAAAAATAAAACCCATAGAAAATCACAACTTCCTAACTTCCTTACAAACACCAAAGCTATGGCATTTCCGATCAATCAGTTATATGGCGGCTATAGGATATAGTCGTCCGATCCTTATGAAATTTGGTAGGTCGGATTAATTGGCCAAAAATAAAACTCATAGAAAATCCCAACTTCCTAACTTTAAAAACACCAACGTTATGGCTTTTCCGATCGTTCAGTTATATGGCAGCTATATGATATAGTCACCCGATCCGGCTCGTTCCGACTTATATACTACCTGCAATAGAAAGACAACTTTTGGGAAAGTTTCAAGCAGATAGCTTTAAAACTGAGGGACTAGTTTGCGTAGAAACGGACGGACGGACGGACAGACGGACGGACAGACGGACAGACGGACAGACGGACAGACGGACATGGCTATATCAACTCAGGAGGTGATCCTGATCAAGAATATATATACTTTATAGGGTCGGAAATGTCTCCTTCACTGCGTTGCAAACTTTTGACTGAAATTATAATACCCTCTGCAAGGGTATAAAAATTACATTATTTATTATTTTATAAACTTCAAAAAAAAGGTATATTTATTTTAATTCATATTCTAAAACACAGCCTCCACCATATATATAAATTGTGTTTGTATGTTATCCGAGCAACATGTTGCCATGTATCTTAGCAACATTTTGTGGAACTCATGTTGCAAGCAATGAAAGTGAAATTCTTAATAAAAAAAATTTTATTGCAGTGAAAGGTTTGTTTCAAATAACCTTTATAAGTTTCTGAGAACCTTAAAACCAAGTAAATAATTAAATGATATTAGAATAATTCAAATTTTTGTTTTATTGGAATAAAATTATTAACAATTTATATCTATATGTGGTGAAGAATAAACACGGTTTATTTCCGATTTGAGTGGACTGTATCTTAAGCTTTATTGAACCGACATGTTCCGCTGTAGTCGTCTTACTTATACATACATAAAAAACCAAAAAATCTCATAGTGATACAAAAAATACCTAAAATACTAAAAAAGGGCAAAAATACTATTTTGCATGGCACAAGTATAATATTTTGAATTCAAATTGTGGATGCATTCCGTTCATCAACATCCCGGGCCACCCTGAAACATGGTTTCTGAATTAGGCAGCAAAGCTAGCTTGGTGATGGGTCGCGTCATCTCTCCGGTAGACGTCTTAAGTTTCACAGCGCGTACAAGTCCATCTGGTCCATGATGAGCCTCCAATACACGGGCGAGAATCCAAGCTGCGGGTGGGAGATTTGAGTCCTTTACCAGGACTACATTGCCGACTGCGATGTTATGTTCCTTGTTGTTCCACTTTTGACGTTGCTGCAGCGATGTTAAATATTCCTGGTGCCAGCGCTTCCAAAAGCCCTGGTACATTGATTGTAAATGCTGCCAGTAGTCTAAGCGATTGATCGGCAAATGAGTTAGATCACCCTCTGGAACTGTTGTGAATGGGCGGCCAATTAAAAAGTGGGCCGGAGACAAGTAGGTGAGGTCAGTGTCAGGTGTGTAGCATAACGGTCTTGAGTTTACCACTGCACTGATCTGAACAATCAGAGTTTGCATCTGTTCAAAGGTTAGAACGGCTTTTCCCACAACGCGTCTCAGATGTAATTTAACTGAACGTACTGATGACTCCCACTTCCCTCCCCAATGTGGCGAATGGGGAGGTATGAAACTCCACTTAATTCCATCATTAGCCAACGATTGAGTTACGGTGTGTTGATGCTCCTGCGAAGATAGGTGTTGCTGCATCTCATCTAGAGCCCGTTTGGCACCAACAAAATTCGTGCCGTTGTCGCTGAAGATTTGCGAACATTTTCCTCGAAGGGACATGAAACGCCGAAGACATGCCAGGAATGTGTCTGTGCTAAGATCGGTGGCCAGTTCCAAATGTATGGCGGATGTTACAAGGCAGACGAAGAGACATATGTAGCCCTTAGTTTTTCGGGGATTGCGCCCTCTCCTTTCCTTGAGGATGAATGGTCCAGCGTAATCGCAGCCTGAGTGCTGGAAGGGTAGAGCCTCCGTTATACGAATCCCTGGTAGATCGGCCATGAATTGGTGCTCGGTGATATTGCGTTGGCGAAAGCACTTTATGCAGTTGTGTACCAGGTTCCTTATTAGGTTACGCGCGCCGAAAATCCAATATTTTTGACGCGTAATTACAAACAAAGCAGACACTCCTGGATGTAGATTTGCAATGTGTTCGTGTTCCAAAATCATCCTTGTGATGCGGTGCGATTTCGGAAGCAATATAGGATGTTTGACGTCAGCTGGTAATTGTGAGTTGCCCAAGCGTCCACCAACTCGAAGGAGGCCATCCTTGCCGGCAAACGGTGAGAGCTTGATCAACTGGGAGCGGCTGCGAAGTTGTTTATTTTCCGCCAGAAGATTACGATCCTCCATGAAGCATTTCTGAGCCTCTTGCAGGCAAAGAATGCGAGCAGCCTGAATCTCTTCATAGGTGAGTCTTGCCCCATTTGTCAGCGCTACAGTTTTAATGGCCCTGGTCCTTTGGATGAAGCGTAATGCGTAAGCTACAACGTGAACCAGTTTTGTCCAGGACGAGACCCGCTGAGTCAACGCTTCGATTGGTGAAAATGAGCCGCCTTGCTGAGTGGTTAATGCGGTGGACTTGACTTCTTCCTTGCCAGGATTATCTGAAAGGGAAGAACGGAACTTTGTACAGCTCAACTTTACCGAAAGCTTTTCTGGATCTTGCAGCCATGAAGGTCCCATCCACCATAAGTCGAAATGGAGAAGGTCTGCAGCAAGCATTCCTCGTGTGGCGCAGTCCGCCGGATTCTCCTTTGTGTTTACATGATGCCATGAACTGCGCGGCAACGCGTCGAGTATTTCTGAAGACCTGTTTGCTACAAATGTTTTGAGCTTCGATGGTGGATGTGAAAGCCAAGCCAAAACTATGGTTGAATCACACCATGCGTGTATTTTGATGTTCTTGTGTTGCAGAGAATCCTTGACTGATAATATTAGTCTGCTGAGTAGCAAAGCGCCACAGAGCTCGAGACGCGGTAAGGATTGCTGCTTCAGCGGAGCTACTCTGGTTTTTCCCGCTATGAGTGAAACAGATACGGTGCCATCTGCTCGTACCACTCTGCTGTAGATGACTGCGGAATATGCCTTAATGGAGGCATCTGAGAATCCATGCAGTTCGATGTGATCCCCATTGTTTTCTACAAATCGTGGCAGGCGTAGTTCTTGAAGTATGTATAAGTCGTTACGGCATTTGTTCCACCAGTCAGTAATTTTTGGAGGAAGCTCCGTGTCCCAGCCGAGATCCAGTAACCACAATTCTTGAAACAAAATTTTAAGCTGCACCACCACTGGCGACAGAATACCCAGCGGGTCAAAGATGCGTGCCACGTCAGAAAGCACTTGGCGTTTGGTGTTGTCCGGGTTTGGTGTAAGGCAAACTTTGTAGGATAACGTATCCTCTTCTGGATTCCAATGAATGCCAAGAACCTTTGCTGTAGGATTGGATCCTTTGTCTTGTACCTCGGTTGTAGAAGTAGCTCGGTCAGTGATACGTGATGAATTGGAAACCCATTTGCCAAGTTCCATGCCTGCACATTTCATTAATTGGATCAGCTCTTTTTGATTGCGAATTAGCTCTTCTTCTGTGTGTGCTCCTGTCAGTACGTCGTCCACATAAAATTGCTCCTTCAAGATCCTTGCAGCTGTGGGAAACTCGTGTTGGTGGTCGTGAGCTAACTGATCCAGGACTCTCACTGCCAAGAATGGTGCACTAGACGTGCCGTATGTTACCGTGGAAAGCTCATAGTGCTTGATAGGTGTGCTTTCGTCTTCTCTCCAAACAATACGCTGATAGCAACAATGGTTGGCAGCCACAAAGATTTGTCGATACATTTTGACAATATCTGCTGAAAAGACGAACTTGTACATTCTGAAACGCATACAAATCAAGAAGAGGTTTCGAAGAATGCTGGGTCCAATGTGTAGAGCATCGTTTAAGGATTTTCCATACGTATCCTTGAATGAGCCGTCAAATACTACCCTTAGCTTTTGGGTAATTACCGGATGATGAGGCAAGTAAAAATTTGGCCCTTTGTCAATGTCTCCTGGTGATAATTCCCGCATGTGACCTAACTGTAGGTACTCACGCATAAATTGTACGTACTGTGAGTGCAGATCGGGGTCCTTCTTTAGGCGTTAGTCCCGAGAATGTGTTTTCACAAAGTGCTATTCAACTTCGTCGTCCACTGGTTTTCCATGGAATTCCTGGTTGACATCCTCCAGCTCCCAAAAGCGCCGAAGAGTTGAGTCAATGTCAATAGCCGTGTGCATTGTTGTTGTGGATGAATAGCCGGTAGTGATGATAGATGTTATGACCCATCCAAAAATGGTCGAAATGGCGATGATGTTGCCCTGAACGTCGAACATCTTTTGACCGGTGAACACGGTCCAAACGTAATCACTGCCCAAGAGAATATCGACTGGCGCCAACGATTGATAGTTAGAATCCGTAAGCTCAAAGGCAGCGAATACCTTGAGTGCTGAGGCGTCGATATCGTGTCTTGCTAACGTGGAGGTAATTTTGCTGAGTACGTGTGCACGTATCTTCATTGTATGATCGGAGATCCTTGACTGCATGTCCAGTGTGCTGCAGCCTCTAGTTGTCTCTGCCTTGATCGATGAAATTCCAGACACCAAAATGCGTGAGGGCGAGCGTGACAGACCAAGTGCCTGTACGCACCTCTCTGAGATGTACGACAGTTCCGAACCACTGTCCAAAAGTACCCGACATGTAGTGTGCGATCCTTGTGCGTTTTTAACAAACACCAGAGCTGTTGGCAATGCACTTTTCCTTAGCCCTTGGGGCCGTGTAGCCGTTGTTGATCCGTTGCACAAGGACTCAGCTGTGGGAGCCACTTGCGCACGAGCAATATGGCTGATGGTCCCCGCAGCCTCTTCGGGAGCGCTTAAGATGTGCTTTTCATCAGTGTGTGGCTGTGTCGTGGTCACAGCGGCTTGCGATCCAGAAATATCTACATGTAGGAGAGAGTGGTGGCGATTATGGCAAAACCTGCATGTAAATTTGGATTCACACTTGCGTGATACATGCCCATGCTTAAGGCAGTTGAAACACAATGATTTTGCCTTAACAAATGTGCGTCTCTGCTCGATGGATGCTTCAGCAAACTTTGGGCAACCGTAGATTTTGTGCTCCTTGGAGTTACATTTCGCACAAGCATTTTCTTCCATCGATACTAAAGCGTGTGACGAACGCTTTGCTTTGCTTGGTTGTGGGCCACCCTTGAAGTCGATGTCCGAGTCACTTTTGCTGAGCTCGAATTCCTCGCAGCGTCGGTCTAAAAACTTGAGTAAATCATTCACAGACGGAGATTCAAGTTCCCGGCTTCCCTCAATCCATTTGCGTCGAGTTTCAGCGTCGATCTTGGCCAGAATGAAGTGTATGATCCAGCAGTCCCTGTTAGTTTGCCCTGCTGCATCCAATCCTCGTACAATCTCCGTGGCTCCGTCGGTCACCTTGCGCAGAACTGTAACGTCTGCCTTGGATGTCGAAGGGAGATTCACAAACGTTTCCAGCAGAGTGTTGACAATGTGACGTGGTCTGTTGTATCGATCAATTAGGCAACTCCAAGCAGCCTCGTACGCAGCATCCGTTATTGGCATATGACGAATCAAATCAGATGCTTCTCCCGTAATATACGTTTTTAAGTAGTGGAACTTTTGAATTGCTGTCAAATGCTGCTTGCTATGGATCGTACTCTCGAAGATGTTTTTAAAGGCTGGCCACTCCTTGTAGTCACCAGTGAACACTTTGATGTGAATTTTTGGCAGTTCGTTGTGCATTACATTTGCTGCCGAGTTTGCCCTCAAAAACGTTGATTGTTGCTCAGCTAAACGCTCATTCAGTTCCTGTTGTTGTTGTAGAAAACGAGCCAGGCTTTCGTTTCCCCATCCAGATGAACTTGATGCGGCATCGCCAAGGTTGCCAGATTGCCTACCGCCGCTGCCTTCTCTGTCGCTCTCATTAGATGATTGACAGCGCCGTTTGATGGTGTGAAACAATGTGTTTGCTTGCAAGTACTTATCCTCGTATCTCTCGTTGTCGATGGCTGGATCGACATACCCCTCATTTTCTTCATAAAGGGCCATTTGATCGCTAATGGTCTCAAACTCCTTCCAAACGTTGTTGAGCCTTTCCAATGAGACTGTGATTTCATCAATTTCCCAGTTTGATCCCGCACGTGGATCTTGTGACGCCGTTAGCAAGCGCGTAATACTTGCCTTCGCACGGCTTCTTGCTGCCTTCAAAAGCTTTAATTGATCCATGTTAATCAATTGCTCGATCTGGCTCGAATGACCAAATATATGGTGAAGAATAAACACGGTTTATTTCCGATTTGAGTGGACTGTATCTTAAGCTTTATTGAACCGACATGTTCCGCTGTAGTCGTCTTACTTATACATACATAAAAAACCAAAAAATCTCATAGTGATACAAAAAATACCTAAAATACTAAAAAAGGGCAAAAATACTATTTTGCATGGCACAAGTATAATATTTTGAATTCAAATTGTGGATGCATTCCGTTCATCAACAATATGGATACTTCAAAATTTGTAGATACTTATTATTTTTATTTTATGAATATTATTATTTTTACAAACTGTAGGTGTGGAATATTTTTGTTTTTAAGGAAAAATTATTTGTATGTAATTTTATCCTTGAAATCAACTCAAAAGAATTCTGTAGAGGATTTATTTTTAACTATAGGCCTGTGATATTTATACCCGTTACTCGTAGAGTAAAAGGGTATATTGTATTCGTGCAAAAGTATGTAACAGCTAGAAGGAAGCGTTTCCGACCCTATAAAGTATATATATTCTTGATCAGGGTCACTAGCCGAGTCGATATAGCCATGTCCGTCTGTCCGTCTGTCCGTCTGTCTGTCCGTCTGTCCGTCTGTCTGTCTGTCTGTCCGTATGAACGCTGAGATCTCGGAAACTATAAAAGCTAGAAGATTGGCATTTTGCATGTAGATTTGAGCAGTTCCTACGCAGCGCAAGTTTGTTTTAAAATGGTGCCACGCCCCCTCTGACGCCCACAATCGCTTATATTTTAAAAATTTTAATATTTCGGAAAAGTAAAAAAGCAGTTTTATTGTGTTTATCAATACCTATCGAAATTTAGATGAAATTTTTCAAATCGGACCATTCGTTAAAAAGTTATGCGTGATCAAAGTTTCTATCTCCATCTCCCTCGCACTCCCTTTACCTGAGTAACGGGTATCTGATTTTGGTCGGGGCACCCGACTAAAGCCTTCCCTTTTTTTTATCCTTGAAAACAACTCAAAAGAATTCTGTAGAGGATTTATTTTTAACTATAGGCCTGTGATATTTTTGTCTTGTAAGAATAAATATTTATAACTTTATAGATTTGTCAGAATATGTTTGGTACTTAATATTTTTGTTTTTGTAATTTTAATCTTTAAGTAAACACAAAAGAATGTTTAGAAGACTTATCTTAGCTTATCCCGAGATTTAACTATCGCTTGGCTTATTTTTTGTGCTAAACAAGGGGGTCTTGACATCGATAAGATTATAAGAAATTTAAGGCATCCGTGAGATAAGCTTTGCCCCTCGAACGGCCATAAACTGAGGAGCGGATAGATGCAAGCGATTGCGATTCGCGAGGGCTGTGTTTTTGCTCAGTTGAAAACATGATCTTGACCACCACATTCGTGTGCTTTTGCCTGGCCTCGGCCTTTAACTATTTCAGGACCCGTCGGCAGCGGTCGCTGATCAAGAATCTCAAAGGACCCTTCACCTGGCCACTGTTGGGATCAATGCACAAATTGCTGTTCTTAAGTCCAAAAAGTTGGTGAATCTATAAAATTATTTTATTAACGCGATTTCTGACTAATTCTGGCAGATTTCTTTCAGCGCAATACGGAATACCTCACCAAATATGGTTCCTTGAGCCGCTGTTGGGTCTTCCATCGACTTTTTATTCCACTGGCGGATCTGGAGCTCAGCAGGCAGCTTCTGGAAAGTAAAACGCACTTGGAGACGGGCTATGAACTAATGAAGGATTGGCTGGATGGAGGTGTCCTCATGTGTCAACCGGATCACTGGCAAAAGCGACATGGATTAATCAGCGGGCTTTTTGGCAAGGAAAACTCAAAACAGCTGATGGAACTATGTCGCCAGCAGGCTGAGAAACTGCATCAAAAGTTGGTGGAACGCGCAGACCAAAAGGTGTTTGATATCTGGGAATTGGTGGCTCCCAATGTCTTGGAGCTCATGGTAATGACCACCTGCGGCGCAAGTCCCAGCGAGGAATATGCCAAGAACCTAGCAGAGTAGGAATCCATAGAAATCTCCTTATAAGATTATTATAATATCCGCCTTTTGATTTCCAGTTTATCAGAGCTCTATAGAAAACGCTTTCTCAGCCTGCAGTCTGCCAACAGATTTAACTATTGGCTCAGCTCACCTTTTATGAGAAGACATCAGAATCGTTTAATTAGAAGACTGAATGAGGAGCACAAGGATCTGATAGCCAGGCAACAAAAACCAAACAAGATGGGCGATGTTTTGGTCGTGAATCACTTAGAGCCACTTCCCCAAAAGTGTCATGATTCCCTGCTCGATCTTCTCCTGGAAAGTAAGGAACCCGAACTTACATCTGGGGAAATCTGTGGGGAGCTGAATACCTGTAATTACCTGGGATATTTGCTCTGCAGTTCGGCACTTTGCTTTGCCCTCGTCACCATTGCAAGAAATCCATCGGTGCAACAAAGGTGTTGGGAGGAGTTAAAACTAGCTCAGAGCAAGGATCAGGAATTGGACTTGGAAAAGCTTCCTTATTTAGAAGCTGTGCTAAAGGAAACCCTGAGACTCTATCCGCCACAGGTGATTGTTGGACGACAATTTAAGCAGGATTTTCCATACAGTGCGTATGAGTGATATTCTATTTTATTTGATGAATTTCCTAATTTAATTTCCAACAGCACATAGTATCATAGGAGATGGAGATCTACCCTTTGGTTCCGAGATCTACATTAATCTTTATGAGCTGCAGCGCAATGAAAATCGCTATCCGAAAGCTAACAACTTTGATGCGGAACGATTTCTAGACTCTCCCCCGGAAATCCTAAGTTTTAGTCTGGGGCCCCGATGCTGTCCAGCCAGTAACTTTAGTATTGGGCTACTGAAAACTCTGCTGGCTCCTATTATCACCCGATTTGAACTGTTGCCCTACGGCGATGAACTGAAATTGAATATGCGACTTATTTTGGGATCTTCCAATGGATTTCAGTTGGCTTTAAAACCACGATAAGGTTGTCCAAAAATGTATATATAATCCATAAAATATTGAAGAAACAGGAAAGAAATCTTAATTTGACTAGCCTTAAAAAATTTGTATAAAAACGTTATAATCCGAGGAAAAGTATTTGTGAAGTTACTATTCCTTAAAATTCTTTGGTCGATCATAAGTTGTTGAGATGCTGTATGTGATATTCCTTGATAAAAATATTTCTGACAGTATTTTTTCAACTAAAACGAGTTAATCTAGTCAGTAGAAATAAAAACAATTTAATATATAAGTCCCTGTATAATCCTGAATACTCATGTAGTGCTGCGCTTGCGCATTCCCAGCTGAAAGCCGGTATCCGATCGCAGGACGATGTTGACGACGCACTCCACCCGCTTGCCCATTGGCAGGAGTTCGTACTCCCTCACAATCTTGGCCAGCATCATCTTCATCTCCAGCTGGGCAAACTTCTGGCCAATACAATTCCGCGGTCCGGCACTGAAAGGTATCATCTTGAAGGGGGCCACGCGACTTCCGTCTTCGTGGCGCTCTGGGATGAACTCATCTGGATTGGAGAAGGTCTCCGGTTGACGGTGGACTCCGAAAATGCCTATTATAATCTCTGAGCCCGCTGGGATAACTCCATTTCCGTACACAGAATTCGCTGAAAGAAATAAAAAAATCCATTTAAAATATTAACATTAATCTATTTGAAAAAATATTTAAGTAAATAATTTATTTTTAAAGGAGACTTACTGTACTTAAAATCAGTCTGTAGTTTGCGACCCACAATCGGCACTGGTGGATACATCCTGAGCGACTCCTTGATGACGCACTCCATGTACTTGAGCTCCCCGAGATCTCGAATGCTGACTGCTCTGCTGCGATCGTTGCCCAGAACCCGCAGGATCTCCTCCAGCATCTTATCCTGGACCTCCGGATGCCTCGAAAGCTCGTGCAGGCAAAAGGACAGAGCACTTGTGGTGGTATCGTGGCCCTCGAACATGAAGGTGTCCACCTCCTCGCGGATCTCGTCGTTGGTCAGTGGCTTGCCATCAACAGTGGACATCAGCAGGACATCCAACAGAGCCATCCGTCGCTTGGAGCCCACATCTTCGTCCGCGGCATCCGCCAATCGGGATTGCTTCTGCTGATCCTCTAAAGCCTGACGACGCTGCTCGATCACCTTGATGGTAAAGGCTTGCATTGTGCGGATGAGCTGCGTCTGGCGCCACTTCAAGTGCGGATGGGTGAGAGTGAAAAGCAATTCCACTTGCAGGTAAACCGACATGAATCGCCAGCTCAATAAGGCAGTACATCTAAAGCGAAGGTGAAATTATTAATTTTTTCTAAGATTACTTAAAATATGAAAGGTAAGCGGAAGTTTTAATACCCTTTCTGCGCTAACAAAAACTAAATATTTTATAAAACTAATGTTTTCTGATTTTTACGCTTAAATGTATACAAAATAAGGAATGTCGATTTTCAGTATTAGAGATTATTGTAAAAATCAATATATCTCGTAATATATCCGTATATATTTAAAATAAACGAAGTTATAATTTAGTTTGATTATTTTTCCGATTGTTCCTAATTATAAGCTACCTGCAATAAAATGTATTTTCTATTAAACTTGCACTTCGATTGTTTTAATTTGAGACTAGTTGGCGCAGAAAAAAAATATATATATTTATTTAATAGGGTCGGAAGTGTGTCCTTCACTGCGTTGCAAACTTTAGAGTGAACTTATAATACCCTCTACAAGGGTATAAATATACTACTTACTCATTGACTGCCTCTGCGTAGGGTGTGCTCTCGTTGGCCTGAGCATATATCTTAGTGCCCATGGCTGTCTCGGCTATAATGTCCAATGCGGCTGCACAAATATTCCGGTAGACATCGAAGGTCTCGCCATTCGCCTTCTGCGCCAATCTTTGGACACAAATGTTCGACTGCTGATCGAACACCTCCACGAATTGCTCGAGGATCGAAAAGTGGAACGTGGGCGTGATGATCTTGCGGCGCTGGTGCCACACTTTTCCGTCGCTGAGCAGTAATCCGTTGCCCAGCCACTGACCAAGGACCTTGTAGACAGGATGCTTTACCAGGTGCTCCTGGCTGCTCAGCAGCTGCTCGTTCAACTCCGCATCGCCACTCATGATCAGCAGGCGATTGAAGACCCACACTCGCTGGAGGTGACCATACTTGGTCACATACTCACGACCCAACTTCAGAAAGGCTGAAATTAAAATACAATTTATTTTAAATTAAAAGCTTAAAAGTGATATTTTTAAAATATTATTATTGGTGCTGCCGACATTTGTTGTGCTCTGTTTTAAACAGAAGCAAAAGAAAATCATTTTTAACACAACCTGTCAATATATATACCATAGGATAAAACCATTATCAAAACATGTTTCATTATAATTAAAAAATAATAAGAAATATAAAATATGTAAAAAACGGATATATCTTGTTTTTCTTTTTCTATGAAGGAATTCGGATTGATAAGAGCTAAATTCTATTTATATTCACTGTTCGTTCATTAATGGTTTAGCGATAATGCAAAGTAATCTGTCATAAATGTTTGCTCAAATAAAAGTGATAAGTATTATTAGCTTAAGATTGCAATTTTATACCTTAGTTAGCGGTTTAGTGTTTGACTTTACCTGTTTTTTATATATTGTTACCAATAAAATTGTCCGATAATATTAAAGATCAATTCAAATTTTTCCGTTAACAAAAGCTTTGAAGTGGACATTTATAACATTGAAAAAAATCTATATTATAAGCTTTTATTAATAAATTTTGAATTCTTTCAGCCGAATAACAACATACTTCTTTATAGTAAAATGTTAAATCCGGTTTTTCAGAAACCGGTCAACTCTGAATATTCTATATAAAAAACTTTGCAAACTAAAATATGAATGGAATTTATTATTAAGATTTTATATAGCAAAACAAAATAAACAAAAAGAAGAGAGATAGAAGCGTATAATTTTGCATTGATATATTCTGAATACTTGTAATTCCTTATCAGTAGTGTAAAAACAGAAGCAGTCACGACAGCTTTAAAGCTTTCAGTGCTGAGTCAGTAAAACGAGATTGTGGTGAATACAAGTTAATATCTATTAGAGTATTATTAGTCATAAAATAAGAGGGACAGAGAGAGAATTAAATAAACTTATTCAGGCGTAACAAAATGAGTTAATTCAAGTACTATGCATATAACATAAAAGTAGACTAATGTACGATCTGTTTTTTTCTTTTTTCTTTGTTTGATTACATTATTATTTGTTTAGCTTATATTATAGACATCTTTAAGAAGAAGCAATTAAATATAGATGGTCGTGCATCTGGTCACTGATCGACCTCAATTCCATTTTGATGATAATCCAAGCTATCTTATAATTTTACTCCAATCAACTAGAGCTCACTAAACGGTCATTCAAATTTGTCAGATACAAATCGACATGCTACAATTTGTATTTGTATAAATCTACTGATTGATAGTTAAAAAATTCTGTTTTTTAGGCATAATAAAAGAAACTGTTAAATATCAGGTAATTTACTACTACCGTCCTCCGAATTAATATATATGTATGTATGTTTTTACTTTTGTATTGAGTGATACAATAAAGTCTTTTTGATTATGGGTACTTGCTTTTTGGGTTTAAACGGAGCATCAGTTGGAGGGCGCCAATGAGGGGCGGACACACGGGTCCCGGCAAATTGGCCACTTTGCGGCGGCGATCGGCCTGGCCAAGATGGACGATCCATCCCGCGGCGACAAGCAGCACAACCAGCAAGAACAGCAGCATTTCGCACTCTGAATCGCCGCTTAACCCAACCAAGACGAACGATCCAAACGATCCGAGCGATTCGAGAGCGGCAAACGCAAATCTAATCGGATTTGGATTCGAATTTAATTCAAAGTGCATGTCGCGAGGCTCGGGAGCAACAACAATTGCACTTATCTGGGTAGACTATTTAAAGAGAGTGCATGAGTGGGTCTATTAAGCACTCGTACTGCTAGTAATTATTCCCTTTCCAGTGGCAAGATAACGAGGCCCTCCAGGCGATTGACACCCGTCCTGGGGGGTAAACTTTTTTTTAAAGTAATTTCCGTTAGAGACATTCGTGCGGAAATTAAAACATTTGACCCAACTCCCGCGCAGAAAGTGCATGAATGAATGGCTAGATGGATAGATAGACGGTTGGACTCGTCAGCTGGCCAAGAGTTGCCTTCGAAAAAACTAATTAACAGCAGCTTCCTGGGGCCGGGCAACTTTGACTTTGTAATGGCATTTTATTATTTTAAATACTCACAATATCCACTGCAGAACGAAGGCTCACATGCAAGCGAAAAGTGTTTTTAATTGTAGACCGAATGTGGATTTTCAATTTTCACAATGACTGTTATAAATAAAATGCTTGGATATACCTCGCGCTTCGTTTCGTTTCGTTTCTGTTGCTCCGCCGGCACAGAAAGATTTTCCGCATTAATTTTGCAATTTGTTGCGTTAATTGCAGCATGTGAAATGTATCGGACAATGCGAGTGATATGCGGGTTCTCCCGTTTCCCCACCCGAAAAGCCCTGCCCTTTTCCACGCAAAACGAAGCAGCCAAGTCACGTTGATAGCAAGTGCAAACAAGCGGACAACGAGGCGTATGCGTAATGCAAAAGAGTGGAAGAGAGTGAGTGATAAATGGATGGGTTTGCAGAAGGAGTTTCCCACTGCCCACCGCTGGATATTAAATTTTTTAAAGATTGCATAAGAAAAGATGCCTGTGAGTAACGGAGAAGCCAACAAAATGTTTGTTTGGTAAATATTCACGAATAAATTGTTTACTTTTCAAATTTAAAGGTATGTCCGAACAACATGTTTAAATATACACTTTTTTATTGATAAATGAACTTTTCATTTTATAAAACCTTTGGTTTTTCATTAAACTTGGAAAAAAATAGGACGAAATGAAAACTTACCGAGCCTATAAACTTAATATGTTTTCACTTAGCGTCGATTTATTAATTTTTGTTATGTTTTGAAATTAAATTAAATCGCTTTTTGGTACACATTTATTTTCCTAAAATCATGTAACAGTTTATAGACTGGAAACTCTTAATTGGGTCTTAATTCCTAGCTAAAATTTTTGGTCGGTCGGTCTGAATTTTCAATTTGTTGTTCAATAAGTTAACATCACTACGAGAAAGCCGATTTGTGTTGCACAACAATTTGACTTCATATTTACGTTCACATATCTAACTGAAACCTTAATTCAGGTAATTTAGAGCTAATAATTAAGAAAGATTTAAGAATAGTATTTAGCTTTGACACATTTTTAATTTTAAAATATTATTGATGAAATGTACAAAAAGCAGCGTAGTTGTTCCAACCACGGGAGCTAAGTCCCAATTCCGTGATGCTGAATTTTTGGTAGGTCTGTGTTCCTCGGACTGATGTATTGGCCTGGATGGTGGATACTTTTCAATGGCCTTCTTGCCAAAGGCTCGTATACCCGTCCACGATTCATCAGCTACGCGGCGAATCTTCGAGGTTGTTGAAAAAACCCCGTTATTGAAGACAAACGATAAGGGAAATCCTATGTAAAAGGCGTAATCGATGCTAGTACCACCGGATTCTCTACCATATATAATTCCCGGCCATATATTTATAGCCTTACCAGTACTTTCTAATATTTTATCGGCCACGAACTTGCCAATTTCAATGTGTTCCCCTTGATTAGGAACCGGTGTACTGAAAAAAAACAAAAGTTAATAGGTATTCCTTTGTTAAATGTGAACAGTTTTTAGGCGGAAATCTCTTGCAACTTTGAAGCAAACATCAAAACAATTTGCAACTGAATTTATTTCGAAAAGATTTTGGTTACACCACTGATTAAAAAAGAGCTCTTACTTGTGGTATGCTGACCTCCGAGTGTCCTTATACTAATCAGTTGATTAAACATTATTTAAGATTTAATCTTCATATTTCGGAGAGAATAAGAAGTTTAAATTTTAAATATTTAATCAATTTATACCATGCAACTCACCTGTCATAGACCCAAGGATAGCTAACCGAACGGTGGGACTTGTGCAGGGAAAGATACATGACTCCTCGCTCACTTTTTACCAGGCTGTGCATTATGTCGCGCACTGTACGTGCCTCCACCTCTGAGAATGGTGCATAGCCCGCATAATTGTCTTCGCAAGGACCTCTTATTTCCCAAAAACCGAGTCCAAAGCCCACTTCAAAATTCCTGTCGAGATCGGTGCCGTTGCAGTTGCCGCCATTCGGTGTCCTCGTTTTCATCCACCTAGTATTCGTTTTGCGAGAGTACTCGTAACCGTCCGGATTCGCCAGTGGCATAATGTGCCAATCGAAATCGGCCAGAAGATCGGCATTTTCCTCGAACTCCACCACCAACTTATAGATGGTATAGAGGGCGGCCACGGGGGTCATCCACGCGTTGGCTTGCAGAGCGGCATCCATGAATATCACCCTCTTTCCCAGACGCCCATCTCCGTTTGTTACCATGGCGAGTATCAGGGAACGATTTTCGACCGTTCGACCCATGTCCTTTAATGTGATCCGATCGGCATATGCTCGTGCCAGCTGATCCAGGTACTGCATCACTCCATCGTAGTCGAGGTAGTCATCCAGTTGAAGTTGGTCAGAACTGAGACGAGACGCCTCCGCCAGCGGATTAACGATCGCCAAAAGAAAGACGATCGCGGACAGAGGTCTCCACATCTTGCCGGTGAGACAATAGACAGGGCACTGACTTTGTCCGACTACATCGGGATTATATATAGAGATTTGGAAAAGAGCTAAGTCATTTTTTTCTCTCCATGAAAAATTTAATGCTAGAAATACCCATCTCTCTATAATAACAATAGATAAGGCAGTAGCGCTGAAATTGTATTTTCATTTCCAAAAAATAGGCACTTAAAAAATTCCGTGTTAAAATAGTGTTTTATTGTATTAATTATCATCAACATAATCAATTTAAGCGTAATTTTTTAAAAACAACTCCCCTCGCGTTATAACTGATAGAAAATGTGTTTTAGAACACGTATTCTACAAAAAATATATCCTTTTTCCAGAAGTTAAACAGCGAACAGCCCTCCATATTACCCTTTTTTAGTATCTTAGCTCAAGTAACTTTGTATTATCTTCTTAATTCTCCAGATAAAAGTTTTCTTGAAAGATATTTTTTCAGATCAATACTTTGAACGGAACATCAACTTCTATGAATCAACTTCTAAAAGCAATGACTGTGGTGGTTTCTGGATCTTAATAAATTGGAAATACTTGAGAATTATGAAATTATTTAATTTAGTTTATTTAATTAAGAGATAAGCATACAAAGCAAGGAAATGAAAGTTCCAACAGCAATATGTTTAAAAGTCAACTTTTTTATTTACTTTTCATTTTATAAAAGCTTTTGTTTATTATTAACCTTCGAAAAAATGTGACGAATTGAACATTTTCCGAGCTTATAAACTTAATATGTTTTCACTTAGCGTGGACTTATTAATGTTATGTAATGTTTTGACAATAAATTAAATCGCTTTTTAGAAAACATTTATTTTCCTAATAGCTAGCTTAAATTTGTTGGTCGGTCGGTCTGAATTTTCAATTTGCTGTTTAACACGAATGGAGCGGAGCGGGCGTAGCCGAAGTTGATATACCCTTGCAGAATATTATGTAAATTATATTCTCCAAACTTATTCATATGATGCATTCTTAATACTCATAAATAATCCCAACTTCCTAACTTTAAAAACACCAAAGATATGGCATTTCCAATCGTTCAGTTATATGGCAGCTATAGGAAAAAGCCGATTTGTGTTGCACAACAATTTGACTTCATATTTACGTTCACATATCAAACTAGAACCTTAATTCAGCTTACTTAGAGCTAAGAATTAAGAAAGATTTAAGAATAGTATTTAGTTTTGACACATTTTAAAGCTTAAAATATTTTTGGTGAAATGTAAAAAAAGCAGAGTAGTTGTTCCAACCACGGGAGCTAAGTCCCAATTCCGTGATGCTGAATTTTTGGTAGGTCTGTGTTCCTCGGACTGATGTATTGGCCTGGAGGGTGGATACTTTTCAATGGCCTTCTTGCCAAAGGCTCGTATACAAATCACCAAATTATTAACTCGGTCCAATCCCGACATCTCACAGGCAAACGATAAGGGAAATCCCATTTTAAAGGCGTAATCGATGCTGGTATCACCGGATTTTCTGCCATATTGAACTCCCACTGCTTTTACTTTTCCAGTTCTTATAAATATTTGATCGGTCACGAACTTGGCGATTTCAATGTTTTCCCCTTGATTTGGCACCCATGTACTGAAAAAAACAAAAGTTAATAGATATTCCTTTGTTAAATAAGAACAGGAAATCTCTTCCAACTTTGAAGCGAATATCAAAACAATTTGCAACTGAATTTATTTCGAAAAGATTTTGGTTACACCACTGATTAAAAAAGAGCTCTTACTTGTGGTATGCTGACCTGCGAGTGTCCTTATACTAATCAGTTGATCAAATATTATTTAAGATTTAATCTTCGTAATTCGGAGAGAATAAGAAATTTACATTTTAAATAAATTATCAATTTATACCAGGCAATATAATGGCCGTAACACTAAATAATTTCAACTCACCTGTTATAGACCCAAGGATAGATAACCGAACGGAGGAACGTGTGCAAGGAAAGATACATGACGCCTCGCTCACTTTTTATCAGGTTCTGCATTATGTCGCGCACTGTACGTGCCTCCACCTCTGAGAATGGTGCACTGCCCGCATAATTCTGATCGCAAGGATCGTGTAGCTCCGGAAAACCGACTCCCCAGCCCACGTCAAAGTTCCTGTTTAGATTGGTGCCGATGCAGTCGACGTTATTCCTTGTCCTTGTTTTACTCCACCTAAAATTCGAAGTCAATTTGCGAGAGTACTCGTAACCATCCGGATTCGCCAGTGGCATAATGTGCCAATCGAAATCGGCCAGAAGATCGGCATTGTCCTGGAAATCTAGCACCAAGTCTTTGATGGTTTTGAAGGCGGCACGGACGGACATCCAATCGCCATGCAAAGCGGCAACCACGAATATCACCCTCTTTCCCAGTCGCCCATCTCCGTTCGTTATCATGGCGAGTATTAGGGAACGATCCTGATACGTTATACCCACTTCCCTTAGTGTGATCCGATCGCGGTGGTGTTGTGCCAGTTCATCCAGGGACTGCATCAAACCAACGTAGCTGTAGTCGTCATAGGCAGTTAGTAGGCAGATCGCCATGAGAAAGACGATCGCGGACAGTGGTCTCCACATCTTGACGGTGAGACAATAAACAGGGCACTGACTTTGTCCGGCTACATCGCAATTTATAAAGAGATTTGGGAAAAGAGCTAATTAATTTATTTCTCTCTATAAAAATTGAATGCTAGAAAACCCATCTCTCTATAATAACAATAGATAAGGCAGTAGTGCTGAAATTGTATTTTCCATTTTCGAAAAAAGACACTAAATTCCGTGTTAAAATAGTGTTTTATTGTATTAATCATCATCAACATAATCAATTTAAGCGTCATTTTTAAAAAACAACTCCGCTCGCACTATAAAATATGTTTTAGAACACGTATTCTATAAAAAATGTATTCTTTTTCCAGAAGTTAAACAGCGAACAGCCCTCCATATTACCCTGTTCTGTAACTTCGCATTATCTTCTTAAGGGGTAATATACCTTTTTCATTTTCAAAAAATTCAAAAAAAATTGTATGGCTTTATCTTGAAGAACAACTTCTTGAGAACATTGCCCCAAATTTTCATAAAGATCTCAGAAATAGAAAAAAAATCGTCCTCGCCCCAAACCTAAACTTGAAACTTTAAACGCGAATATCTCGAAATGGTGTTTTTTGCAAAATGACTTTGCGTGATATGGATTGGCGAAAAACTTCTGAACCGATTATCTTTTAATTTAATCATGAACGATCGATTTTTCATGCTCAAATTTTATATTTCGCCGAAATGAATTTTTTTGTAAAAAAAATATAAAAACGATCGTTCACGAAATTACTCTAAACTAATGAAATTTTTTTATTTTTACGGTTTTAATTGACCTGTTTGCCATGGGGAATTATCACCGCAAGGCTCTTCCAAAAAGAGACGTTTTGGGGAAACAACCACCCCTTAAAAACCATTCAACATTTTTTCACCAATTTTTGCACAAACATTGTCAACAAACTGAAACTGAAATAGAATAATTCATGTAATAAAAAAAAAGGCTACATACCTAAAAATTCTAACTTTCCTATTTTTTTTCGAAAAAAAAGGTATATGATTCTCCAGATAAAAGTTTTTTTGAAAGATATTTTTTCATTTCAATACTTCGAGCGGAGCATCAACTTCTATGAATCAACTTCTAAAAGCAATGACTTCTATCAATCAACTTCTAAAGGCAATGACTGTGGTGGTTTCTGGACCTTGAGAAATAAGAAATACTTGGGAATTATGAAATTATTTAATTTAGTTTAAATGTACTTTATTAATTTGAGACAAGAATACACTGTCTGGACTAGTGTTAACCACAAATTACACACTTTAAAAAACTTTTCGGTAAGACCACCCTGAGTTAATATTTTCTAAGGCCAAGAAAAGCCAGAGAATGCAGATGGTTAAACTAGTTTTCACCATTTTGTAGCATTTTTGCGCAACAACTTTATCTCGCTTTGCGGCTTTGCCATTTTGCGGTTTAAGGGGCCATTAAAAAATGTAATTATGTTGATAAATACGTCTTACTGGGAATTTTGCATTTTTATTTTGCCAACTTCCCTTTTGGACGATGTCCTGGCGATGGAAAGTGGGAAAACTTTAACCGCAACAGCTAAATAAAAACAACAACCAACGGCTCGGCCTTTCTTCATCTCTCGCTTTTTGTTAGCTGTTTCAACGTTTCAACTTTTCAGCCAACAAATTTACTTGCCTCGGTCGGGCAAATATTTTATCATTGCGCCTTTTAGCACTCAAGTGGCGGACAGAAGCGGTGGCCCAAAAAGGGGCGAGGCAGGAGGTCCTGCAGGATCCAGGACTAAGCTGAGTTTATGGCTTCATTTTTTTGCCAATTTTTCCCTTTTGCTTATTTTTTCAATTCAGAAGTTCACTCAAGAAGTTGCTGGCCCTATTCTGGTAATCATTTTGGCCATTACTTTGATGGCCAGCTAATGAAGCTATCATTTAGAGAAACTATGGAGCAAAAAAAAAACGTAGGACACAAATTGGTTATTGACTCTGAACGTTTGAGAGTTTTCGATTTGCTTCCGGCTTCCTGGGAGTTTTCTTTTCTTTTTCAAAATTAATGAGGCTGCAAAAATCTGATTTCAATTTCCCGATTACAGTTGTCAATGTGCATAATTTACGAGGATGGGGCCAAATCTTATTAGTTCATAAGGCACGCCAGTTGATGGTCCTTCGTCCTTTCAAATGGTCCTGGCTCCCTCGGTTGCCATGCGAGTCACGTAGCTTTCATGTCCGATTTTTAAGTTTGCGCTGCACAAATCACGTAACCCCTCCTCATCCCTATCCTCATCCCATGCCGTTGAACCAAGGATCACGGACTGGTGTAAGGACCAAAGCTAATGTCCTACTTGGGGCTATTTGTAGTGTGCACTTTCTGTGGATTTTTATGATTTGTTTACGCTGCCTCCGAACGTGAGTGATAAGCTGAGGGTGAACCGCAGGCAGGGCCTTTGTCCAAATGCAGCGGACATGATGCAAAAATGTTGGTTATTCAGGAACTATAGCTATAAGCATTTCAAAACGGGCTAATAAATGTTGGACATTTATGGCAGTCAAATATATAATGTAGTGATATATATTTTTTAATTTCAAATCGGAGCGTTAACGTTTTAGGAAATTGTTTTACAATTTATGCGATTTTAAAAAAGGGAAATATTCTGAATATCGAATATGACATTTTAGAATGTTGAATGGGAACATATTTAACGAGGACGGAAGCTAACTTCGGCAAGCCGAAATTTTCATACCCTTGCAGACTTGGCCGAAATTGGTAAAACTGAAAAAGTATAGAAAGAAATAAGGTATACATAAATAAACTAGATTTTGCATAGTTTCATGTCAAAAATGTCATAAACAATTAGCAAAAATGGGATATGAAAAAGTATCAAAAGGAATAAGGTATACATAAATAAACTAGATTTGCATAGTTTCATGTCAAAAATGTCATAAACAAATAGCAAAAATGGGATATTTTCGCAGCCCTTAAAAAGTTTTCCTGCGGAAGCTATAAGATATAGACGTCCGATCGGCAAGCGCTTTTACCCTGATAAAGATATGGAAAGATTCATGTCAATAGCTTATACACTGAGCGAAATATTCTGAAAAACATAAAATTTGGACCGATTTCACCCTATTGTTCCTATGGGAGCTATAGGATATAGTCGTACGATCAGCACGCGCTTTTACACTGATCAAGGTATGCATACAAAAATACAATTTGGAAAGATTCATGTCAATAGCTTTTACACTACGCGAAATATCTTCCATTCTTGCAAGGTATATCCGATTGTTCTAATGGTTGCTATAGGATATAGACATCCTATCGGGGCGGTTTTCAAACTTGATTTGCGTACAAATTAAATTAAATTATTATTTTACACTTCTCACAATACTCTATTTGTCAACTGATCAACAGACGCCACGAAGAAGAATACTGCACTAGTTGAGCATATTTTTGAGAATTTTCTAGACAAATCTAAATGTTATGAAACGGATTTCAATTTTATACATTGCATCGTCAAAGTTTTTGTAAAATTCTATGTAAAAGGTGGAGAGAATGTAATGGGGATATAAAGCGTTTCGAGGACAAGAACGGGCTGTATGGCTTCTTGGTTCACCATTAACATTCAGCGATTTCGCGAATATGCTTTATAAACTGCACTCATTTTTCTCAAAGCGAATATTATCAAAACTGTACCACTTCCAATCGGGATGTTGTCAGAAGAAGCCTTGGAAGCCCGAAACAAAGATTTAAGAAATGTTCGCTTTAACCATACGCGCAAAAACTCGCGGTCTAACACAATGGAGGATCTTTTGCACTTATTGTTAGTATCGTCGGATCCAGTAATAACAAGTTTATGCAAAAGTTCGGCCAATAACTCGAGCAAACAAGTTTCTTTTGATATTGAAGGTCAAATTTTACTTTTGGACTACAATGTACAACAAGAAAATTCCGATTCAGAATCGGAAAATTGAAATAGGTTTATTTTTTTTAATAACATCTTTAACAAGAAAGGAAAGCTAACTTCGGGCGGAGCCAAAGTTGATATACCCTTGCAGAATATTCTGTAAATTATATTCTCCAAAATCGGATCGGTTATTCATATGATGCATTCTTAATACTCATAAAAAATCCCTACTTCCTAACTTTAAAAACACCAAAGTTATGTCATTTCCAATAGTTCAGTTATATGGCAGCTAAAGGATATGGTCGGCCGATCCTTATGAAATTTGGCAGGTCGGATTGATTGTCCAAAAATAAAACCCATAGATAATCCCAACATTAACTACCTAACTTTAAAAACAGTAAAGTTATGGCATTTCCGATCGTTCAGTTATATGGCAGCTATATGATATAGTGGCCCGATCCGGCTCGTTCCGACTTATATACTACCTGCAATAGAAAGACAACTTTTGGGAAAGTTTCAAGCAGATAGCTTTAAAACTGAGGGACTAGTTTGCGTAGAAACGGACGGACGGACGGACAGACGGACAGACGGACGGACAGACGGACAGACGGACATGGCTAGATCGACTCTCCTGGTGATGCTGATCAAGAATACACTTTATAGGGTCGGAAATGTCTCCTTCACTGCGTTGCAAACTTTTGACTGAAATTATAATACCCTCTGCAAGGGTATAAAAACAAAATAAATATTCAATTAAAAAAAAAACTAAAAAAAATTATTTTTAATTTAAAAACAAGAAAGGCAAGCTAACTTCGGGCGGAGCCGAAGTTGATATACCCTTGCAGAATACTCTGTAAATTATATTCTCAAAAATTATTCATATGATGCATTCTTAATACTCATAAAAAATCCCAACTTCCTAACTTTAAAAACACCAATCGTTCAGTTATATGGCAGCTATAGGATATAGTCGGCCGATCCTTATGAAATTTGATAGGTCGGATTGATTGCCCAAATATAAAACCCATAGAAAATCCCAACTTCCTAACATAACAAACACCAAAGTTATGGCATTTCCGATCAATCAGTTATATGGCGGCTATGGGATATAGTCGGCCGATCCTTATGAAATTTGGTTGGTCGGATTGATTGGCCAAATATAAAACCCATAGGAAATCCCAACTTCCTAACTTTACAAACACAAAAGTTATGGCATTTCCGATCAATCAGTTATATGGCAGCTATATGATATAGTCGGCCGATCCCGGCCGTTCCGACATATATACTGCGTGCAAAGGAAAGAAGGGTGTGTGCAAAGTTTCAATTCGATAGCTTTAAAACTGAGAGACTAGTTTGCGTAGAAACAGACAGACGGACAGACGGACAGACGGACAGACGGACATGGCTATATCAACTCAGGAGGTGATCCTGATCAAGAATATATATACTTTATAGGGTCGGAGATGTCTCCTTCACTGCGTTGCACACTTTTGACCAAAATTATAATACCCTCTGCAAGGGTATAAAAATGCTCAAAATAATGTCTAAGATATTCGATATTTGTAAAATAAATTTAAACATACATTACCAATCTGTGTATAATTTTAAAATTACTTAATAATAAAGTTAATAAGCTAAATAGTTTATTAAAAAGTGACTATTGTTTTTAGCAAAAACAAGAGAGAACGCTATAGTCGGGTGCCCCGACTATCAGATACCCGTTACTCAGGTAAAGGGAGTGCGAGGGAGATGGAGATAGAAATTTTGATCACGCATAACTTTTTAACGAATGGTCCGATTTGAAAAATTTCTTCTACATTTCGATAGGTATTGATAAACACAATAAAACTGCATTTTTACTTTTCCGAAATATTTAAATTTTTAAAATCGTATATAAGCGATTGTGGGCGTTAAAGGGGGCGTGGCACCATTTTGAAACAAACTTGCGCTGCGTAGGAACTCCCAGAATCTGCTTGCAAAATGCCAATCTTCTAGCTTTTATAGTTTCCGAGATCTCAGCGTTCATACGGACAGACAGACGGACAGACGGACAGACGGACAGACAGACGGACAGACGGACATGGCTATATCGACTCGGCTAGTGACCCTGATCAAGAATATATATACTTTATAGGGTCGGAAACGCTTCCTTCTAGCTGTTACATACTTTTGCACGAATACAATATACCCTTTTACTCTACGAGTAACGGGTATAAATATTTAATGACTTTATATTGAATTCTAGTTGATAAATATGTAACAATTAACTTCTGAAAACGTTTTAAATAACAAATGTAAATGCCAAGAGTATTCAAGTACTCATCCACGACTTTTCATTTAAATTCGTGTTATAATCTCCATATATTTTTTTGTTCAACATTTTATTTAACAAGTACAAATGCACAAGAAGCTATTAACTTAGGTTAATTAAACTAATTTAGAATCCGTAGTGGGTGCCGAAACCATCGAAGCTCATGTGGGAGACGGTCTCCGCCGGGGAATATTGGATGACAGCGGGCTGGTGACTGTAGTGGGCGGTCTGCTGATACACAGCGGGGTTCTCCACATGGGCAGGCTGGTGGTAGACCGAAGGGGTCTGGACATGAGCAGGTTGGTGGTAGACCGAAGCACTCTGCACCTGAGCGGGCTGGTGGTAAACGGAAGGAGCTTCGACATGAGCGGGCTGGTGGTAAACAGAAGGAGCGGGCTGATGGTAAACCGGCGATGCCTGGGTGAACAGATGAGATGGCTCCGACTGGGCGTGGTGGGTGTAGACGGGAGCTGGGATCGAGACTGGAACGGGGGCTGGGGCATAGCTGAAGGTCTTGGCCACCGCCGGCTGGTAGACGTTGTTGCTGATCCGGGTGTCCTGCTTGTGGACCTGGGAGAAGGGCGTGGCGACCGACTTGGCGTAGTGGGAAACGGTGCCATCGAAGCTCCTGACCACGTTCTGCTGGGTGTGGGCCACCGCGTGCTCATCGCCAGCATAGCTGATGCTCGGCTGGGCAATCAAGCCCGCTGTGGTGGAGGCCACGAGGAGCAGCAGGCTGGCGGCGACGCTGAGGAACTGGATGTGGGCCATGACGATTGGAGGGGCTATTGGAGCAACTGTGCCGGATAGGTCGGCGGGTAGGCCATATATAGAAGCCCTGGCCACCGCAATGCCAATTACTCATAATCGGGCGCACTCCTCAAACTCGTTTCGGCTTTGCTGGCCGGCTTTGCGTGACTTTCAGAAATCCATTTCTCTATCCCTCGATCGTGGCAAATCAATTTACAATTGCCCAGCTCTCAGTGACAGCCACAAAGGCGGGGGAACATATACACGTTACAGTCGAGCAGGGCGTGTCGTCGACCCAGTTAAAAGAGCCCAAGACTTGGCCTAGGCATTGCATAATGCCCGGAATCGAGTAAGGTCTGTGCACTTGCCGCACTTGCTCCACATTCCACGGTCTTAACCCGACTCGCGGTGATGGCCACTCGCAACTCACAATTCACCGCTGAAGGGCCATCAAGTGGCCCAAACATATTGCGGCCAGCGCAATTTATGGCCCATCGGAGATGCATTAACGGCGCTGCCAAATTGTTAATGCATTTTCAGTTCCATCTGCTCTTCAAGCCTCTCAATCGGCGTGTTACAGTTCCTCATGAAGACACACGGGCCAAAGTGGATATTTGTATTTTTCCGCCTCAAGAGTGAGAACAATGATGCATAATAACCCATTAATAATATATATTAAGTTGTATTGTGCGAGGCTGGATGAAAATATTTGACTTCTGTGCTTGTAAAAAACGTACCTGTATATAAAAAGAGAAAAGGATTTAAAAGACCAAAAGTAACTTTAGTGTTTAAATTAAAATATGTCATATATTATTATTAATATTTTCTTAAAACCAAACAGAAATAAGAAATAAGTTGTCTACATTCTAAAACATATTGAATACAAATTAATAATGAGCCAGAAAAGTTTAAAATTCACACTGCTAAAATGGGGAAATAATTAAATGTTCTTTTATGAACATTTAAGCCACTAATAGACTACATTGCTTGTAATCTTCAATGGTTTTTTGATCGACCTGCACTCAAGTTCTTCTTTATAGTTTCCGTTTCCGTTTCTGTTTCTCTCTCAATGGACCGACACTCGAGTTGAAGTTTTCCTATTGATGCGAATGCCTCTCTTTGATCCTTTGGCTCGTCCGTAAAATCGTTCAGTTCACAATTGAGTCATAATGCAATTGGCAAACGTCAAGCAAATGTTGTTAACTTGCCAAACGAGACGGAGAATGGGAAGGTTGATGGTAGGATGAATGGATGGATGGATGAATGGATGGATGGTAGGATGGATGGATGGATGTACGGATGGAGCGGATGTCCGGTTTGCAAGTGTTGGGGACATTGTTGCCTTGACTGTCGGCGCAAAAGTTTTTCGCAATGAAAATGACACACACTCGCAAATAGCATCAGCATCACGGCGCCAAATGTGATTACGATTACAGCGATTGCGGGCCAACTTGAGAAAGTCACCTTTGTTGGCTCCACTCGGTACACATATCTTTATTGTGGGGATTAAGGAGCGGAGTGTGTCCTTGTGTCCATTATGGTCCTTATGAAACTCGGCACATAAATTGTATTATTGCATTTATGCTTGATTTTATTTCCCCCAGTATTCGGCAATGGTTTTCTTTGCTGATTGTGTTTGAGTGTTGAATTGGCTTTCGCATTACGTTATTTCTTTTTTTTTTGGTCTTGGCCTTAAGTGGATTCGTCTTCGTTTACGTCTGCATTGTCGTCTGACTGAACTTAACGTTTTATTGAACCGACAGGAATCACATGTGAGTGCTTACATTTCAACGGTTTCCTTTGCCTTTCCAACTCATGCGCCAACGCAATTTGAACTTCAATTAGCTGCATTTGGCCATGGCTAATAAACGCTGCTTTCGTCCCAGCTCCTCGTGCTGATATACAATTACAAATGACGCGTCAGGACCAGGCCGAAAGTCAATTACCAGAGTGCACGGCAAAAACTAACACCATCTCTTCTGTAATTCCGGATATAAGGAGTAAAAGTATTATTGAAAAAATTGATGACCCTCTTTTGGAAATTGTTTACTGGATTTCAGGACTTAAAAAAACTAGATGCCCAATTTACTGAATTAGTGGTCTAAAAGGTTTTAATGGGAAGCACGACATTTTAATTAAAGTTTTGGTGTTAAAAATAGTCCAATATATTTAATTGTTGTATTTATTGTTTTATTTTATTCATAATTATTTTTATTGGGGTTTAAAGATAATTCTTTTAAGACGATTAATAAGGCCTTATCTATTGATATTCCAAAAATAAAAAACAAAAAATATAGTTGGCATTAATAATATTTTACCTTAATTCCGGAATATTTCGAGAAGAGTTTTTAATCAACACAGTTTAATTAAAAACTCATCTCGAATTATTCTCTGTGTATTTGAGAGCGAAAAGAAAGAAAAGTAGCATAAAAGCCCGCGCCTCGTTGGCTAATTGGAATTGAAACATAAATTAAGCGTCCGATTCGAAGGCGAAGACGGCAGAATGCAACTAAAACTTTACGACTTCTTCACTTTGGCCAATTCCGAGCGCGAGTTCCGCATTCACGTGCCGTTCTGCACTTTTACGTTTTGTCGTAATCCCCGCCAATTACGATACTACTAGTTTCCCACTTAACCCCTCACCGCCCCCCTTTTGTTGTACTCGCTACCGCTGTTGCATCCACATTGACAGCTTAGATTAAGTGTTGACTATAAATTCGTTCGGTTAGTTGGCGGTTGTATTTATGAGGCAAGTGTAGTTGCCGTTTGGCAGCTCGAAATTATTTACTGGCAATTACAAGTGGCCAGCAAAATATCTGCCTCACTCCTTTCCGTCTTTCATATGTTCGGGGGTCCTTAAATCAGGTTATTTGATAATATTGATTGGGGGATTTTGTTCTGACTTACATAGAAAGGTTAGAAGTTGTAAAAAATAGTAAGATTACTATAATTCATTAGTTGGGTTTTGCAATTTAAACATATTTTTAAAACCCGTCATTTGTTTTAAATAACAAATAAATAAATATTTTGGGAAATTCAAAAGCGATTTATTTTGCTTAATAATTTTTGTTTGATGATTCAGTTCTAAGGAATTATAAATTATGTTATCAAAATATCAAAGCAATTAATATTGTTTAATGTTTTTATACCCTTGCAGAGGGTATTATAATTTCAGTCAAGAGTTTGCAACGCAGTGAAGGAGACATTTCCGACCCTATAAAGTATATATATTCTTGATCAGCATCACCAGGAGAGTCGATCTAGCCATGTCCGTCTGTCTGTCCGTCTGTCCGTCTGTCCGTCCGTTTCTACGCAAACTAGTCCCTCAGTTTTAAAGCTATCTGCTTGAAACTTTCCCAAAAGTTGTCTTTCTATTGCAGGTAGTATATAAGTCGGAACGAGCCGGATCGGGCCACTATATCATATAGCTGCCATATAACTGAACGATCGGAAATGCCATAACTTTGGTGTTTTTAAAGTTAGGAAGTTGGGATTTTCTATGGGTTTTATTTTTGGCTAATAAATCCGACCTACCAAATTTCATAAGGATCGGACGACTATATCCTATAGCTGCCATATAACTGATTGATCGGAAATGCCATAACATTGGTGTTTGTAAAGTTAGGAGGCTGGGATCTTCTATGGATTTTATATTTGGTTAATCAATCCGACCTACCAAACTTCATAAGGATCGGCCGACTATATCTTATAGCTGCCATATAACTGAACGATTGGAAATGACATAACTTTGGTGTTTTTAAAGTTAGGATTTTGGGACTTTTTATAAGTATTAAGAATGCATCATATGAATAATTTTGGAGAATATAATTTATAGAATATTCTGCAAGGGTATATCAACTTCGGCTCAGTTCGAAAGAATTAGAAATTATGCTATCAAATTCAACGATTTCCTAAGAAATATATTAGTAATCTTACTTTTTTTTATTTTTAATAAGAAACTGAACCACACTCGCGTTAAATTCTGCCTTAAGTGCTGAGGTTCCTTGGTGTTATATTGCCAATCAGCTGCGAAAACCACCCACTCCCGCCCCAAGGACAGCCCATTCCTCCCCCTTCGAATGCACGAGTTCCTTGGCCATCCGTGCTTTATGGCACAAAGGGGACTTGGCTTCAATTTTCTTTATATTACAGCTTGATTTAATTTGACGTGAGACTTGCTCTTGGGCCCTGTTCTTGACCAGACCGAAATTAGAAATGGAATCATGCAATGCGGGGTAGCAACTTCGAATGGAATCTGATTCGAAAGTGAAACGATTGCAGGTTACAATCGGGGAAATTCAAATGTCGCTTAATGAAAATATGAACAATTGGGGAAAGCAAATGTCATTTGCCAGCTGCCAAGCACAGCGAGTTAGGGGTGGCTGATCTGCCCGATTGATATAATTTCATTAAGCGACCTTTCCCCCCAAAACATTTCCAAGGTAGGGCCACGCCCACCGCCCAACGCCCACCCACTGTGACACTGCCAGGGTAAACTTTTCGCGCAAAAAAGGAATAAAAAGTAACGGAAAACGCTCGCTTAATAACAAATGGAAAGCGGAAAACGAGAGGGCAGTACTGGTCGACAAAAAAAAAGAAAATGATAATGAAAATGAAAATGAAAATGCATAAACAGAAATCGTTGACAAGGCGGTGGGCGGTGTGTACAGAGTGCTTAGATGTAGGACTGCTGTGTGGAAAACTCATTAAAACTTTTTCACAGCCCATTTAAAAGCAATTTGTAAATTGTAAAACTTGCACTTGGCCCGCGAAAAGTCGGTGAAAAAATGTTATAATTATTATTTATAATTTCAAGCCAAGCATAACCCATATTTCAAGGGAAATGTAGGCAAAAATATCTATAGAATTAATTGCTCATAATTAGTAAATTACTTTGGATAACATTTATAAACTCTTTGTTATTTTTAATTTTTTTTTTCCTAAAAATTTGTATAGATTCAAATACAAGCTAGTAGCAAATTTAAAGTAAAAGCTACTTTATATCATTAGAAGAATAATACAAAATTGCAAAATTGACCAATTGCCAAAGAAATTATTTAATTAAAATTAATATATTTATTATACTACTTAAAAACCTTTTAAATATTCTCACAAAGTCAATGGTGAGCTCAACAATCTGCCAGTGCCCATATCCGTGGCATCTTTTCAGCCCGGAAAGTAAGGGCTCGTCGCAATCACTTTGAGCCCGTGGAAAGGCTCACAATCGCAGACATTAAATCAAATTTCCGCACAATTCCGGCAAGGGGTATGCGAAAAATTGTGTTAGCTGCGGTTGGCTTTTCTCGGCATCCTTCTGCTTATTTTGCTGCCACTACCGATGCCACAGCGCCACTTAAATATTCAAAGCGAAAAGTTGCCCTACACCTTCACGTCTTTGGCTGACTTTCCCCTGTTTTCCGTGTTTTCTTTTCTTTATTATTCAAACGCCGCTTTTCATGTGCAGTGCCGAAAAATTCCCACAGGATGCAGTCAAAGGCAGGGGGTGGGGGTGGGTTAAGGTTGAAGAGGGGTTAAGGGTGGCAAGGAGGTTGGGTGAATTGTATTACACATGTGCAATTCTTTAAACGTTTTTATGGGGTTCATCTCGCATACACCCATGCTAGTTCGTTTTTGGTGGTATCTAGCTTATCCTCATGAGACATTTCAGATTTTGGTTAACTTAAGGCAGAAGAGAAAGGTTAAAGTATATTGCTAGTATTCAAATTTCAGAATTCCATACAAACTCAAAACAACCGCCAAGTTGTGCGATTTCCAACACTATTTAGCATGCTGCCAGATCTTAGAAAAATGTTTACCAATGGTTATGCCCTCTTCGGATTGAGTCTGCGGTAAGTATGGTGAATATAAATATTTGTCGGTTTGAGTCTGCGGAAGGGTATTTTGCTAGGCTTTTAGGGTATAATTTTGTAGCTAGATTTTGCAGCTTGTTGCGAATATAAAATTTTAAATTTTCTAACTTTATATAAAGCCATTTAGTAAGAGATATATTTAATTAAATCTAATGACTTTAACTGTAATTTTGTAACTGTATATATAGCCATTTATTATGAGACATATTTAATTAAATCTAATGACTTTATGAATACGTTATAATACTTAATCATTTTTGAAGATATAGCTAAGTTTCAAGTTATTATTACATACCAAGCTTAATATTATGTATATCTCTAAAGGTTCAAGAAATGTAATGAGAACTCTAGTAATGAATAAAATATATTAAAATAAATAACTGGTTACAAGGACGAATTATTTTAGTAATATTTTCAACACTTTTCAGCTAATTCAGCATATTTAGCTATTTGCAGTGCGGCATTTGGCTATTATTTCGTCGCGAGATGTGGCAACACCGCCACACTGTCAAATTCCAGTAATTATTCTCTGCTGTTGTTGAATTGCAAACCGTTCTCCTGCATTTGCATATATACCTAGCATATATTTGCCCGATCCGAGAGCTGGCGGTGATCTGTTGTAAAAGCATTGGTATTTCCCGCTTTCTGTGCAGTGTGAAAACGTGTCCGGAAAAGCTAAAGGCCAGCGTCAGCGAGTGCGAGCGAGAGAGCAGGTGACAGCGACACCGACAAGATTTCCCCCTCCTCTTCTCCCATTTTTGACTGTTTTTTTGCACGGCACGGGGAAAACCGAAAGAAAAAGTAAGATTTTCGAGAGATTTTGCGCCGCAGTCCAGCCGGAAAATGCTAATAAACCTTAAGGTGAAGACCTTAGATGCGCGCACCCACGAATTCAGCATCGACAATGAGGTAATATTTGAGGTTGTGTGTCCAGGTCTAGAGGCTTCTATATAGCCATATACCCCGCCCAATTCCAGCTCACGATCCGCCAGTTCAAGGACCAAATAGCCGAGAAGACCAACATTGCGGCGGAGAACCAGCGTATCATCTACCAGGGTCGTGTGCTGGCCGATGAAAAGCAGGTGAAGGAGTACGGTGAGTCATGCCCCGGGAGCACCCCCAAATCTGCTACATATATCTTTAACCTATATTATGTCCAGATGTCGATGGCAAGGTGCTGCATGTGGCCGAACGTCCGCCATTCTCGCAACGTGGTGCCAACTCCCGGAACAACGATGAACCCATGCGCACCTTCCGGAATGTGGCACGTCCTCCGCCGCCCGGAATGCGCACTTCCCCGTACTTCCGCGCACTTGATGGCATGCTGGTGGGCACTATGGCCATACCCGTGAACAACGGCCCGGTGGCTGGCGTAAGTCTCAATGCTAGGTGCTCTCCGGACTCCTTGAGTAACCCACGTTGAACTTTCAGACCCGCACTCCACCGAATCGTTACCCCAACTCCTCGTCCTTCTGCATCAACCGCATAACCGTGGCCCTGCACATGATCGATTGCGCCGACAACATAGCTGCATATCTGGAGAATCCCGCCGTGGGTCTAAACAATCAATCTCTAGACATACTGCAGCGTGGTCGCTGGTCCATGGAGTCCACCGTCGTCGAAGTGGGTGTCTCCTCGACCGACCTGCCGCGCAACAATAATATCATTGACATGGTCCAGGATGCCGTGACTGCTGCTCTTTCGCGAACCGGAGCCCGCAACTATACGGTGGTGCAACTGCCCACGGTTTATACAAATGAGAATGGGGAGACCAGCGAGCAGCGAGCTGGAGAAGCTGCAGGCAGCGAAGAAGCAGCCACCGGAGCAGCAAGCGATGCCAGTGGTGAGACCACTGCAGCCACTGTGATCATTGAGGATGTGATCGAAACAGACGACGAGGCCGCCGATGGAGCCTCAGATCGTTCAGCCACGCCTACACCAGAGGCGGAGGCGGAAGGAGCAGTTGGCGGACAGCCGGCGGCTGCTGCTGAGATTCCGAGCTCCTCGAATGGGGCGGCAAATGATGCTGGCGTGGACGGGGGAAACAACTCAGGACCCAGAAGGCGCACCCGCCCTCAGGTCTTGGCCCAAGTAATACAGCACTATCGTGGAGTACAAACGCGTTTGGCTCCTTTCGTGGATCGCTACTATGAGATCCTGCAGAACGATCCAACCTTCGAGGAGAGTGTGAGTTATCAGTCATGTTTTTAGTTCAAAAGTACACACCCTTATGCTTTACTAAAACCTCCATTGCTCTCTTTAGGACACTGCTGGACGTGAGAATGCCCAGCGCATTTTTGACCGCGTATCGGAGGCTTTTCACTACCTCTCGCATGCTCAGCATGCCATTTCTGATTTGATGCTGGACTTGTCACAGCCAGGACCGCGTGTGCTCACCTGCCGACCCATTCTCGTCGAGCAGAGCGGCTACATACGCTCCAACAACATTTTCACGCCCAACTTTTTGGCAATGCCGCCGGCTGTTCTCAACGAGCCTTTCCGTGCTAGAGGGCCCGCTGCTGCGACTGGCACTCAGACGCCCACCTCGGCAGGCACACCAACTGCTGTGCAGGCGGCCACCGACGCTAGCCGAAGTGCGGCGGCCATGGCGGAGATCGCCAGTCGGGCTGCTGGAGCCGCTGCAGAGATGGCCGCCGGAGCTGCCAGTGCAGCAGCCGCAGCTGCTCGTGGACTGGCGGGCGATCACGTGGAGGATCCCGTCGACGAACCCATGGTGGCGCCGAATGCAGCTGGCGCCGCTCAAGCTCAGCAGCAACAACCACTCGAAATGGGTAAGAAAGAGTTGAAAAAACCTATTCTTGTAGGCAAAAGCGGGTGTCGAAAATATGATTGATTCTGTTTCAATGGTATTAAGAACTTATTTTTTCGAAAACTTGTCTTTAAGTACCGTATCACCCTTTCTATACCTCCATTTTTTGTTGACCATTTTCTAGACCAAGATCAAATTCAAAATGAAAATCCCGAAAGAGAGCCTCGAGCAGCGCCTAGGCTGCGGGTCTACGTGCCAATGATCCTGCCACCGCCCAGTACGTTATGATTGTTTGGTTTAATCCAACTCATCTCAGTCATGGCAGACTAACTATAATTTCACCAAATCATTCACTGCATCCTTTGTTTGGTTCCACTTACACTTTGTTACGTTGACGCGTTTTCTGACCACCCCTTAACCGAATTATTCCCTGCTGCTAATGTCTTTAAAAAACTTAATTAACCCATGTTAAATTGCAGATCCCCAACAGGAGATGGCTCGTGTAATTCAGGCATTGGTCAACAGGGCCGCCAACGAAGCAAACGATCTTCATGATCACATAATGGGGATTAATTTGCCTGTGCATGTGATGACCGCAGCAGTACGTCAAGCACCTGCCCCTGGGGCTGCGGAAGGCTCTGCACCTTCCGCTCCTGCCGCTGAAGAATCCGCTGAAAGTGCTCCTGCCGCTGGCAGTGGCGAATCGCCGACGGCAGCTTCAACTTCGACCGGAACCCGCAGTGGAGATCAGAGGGCCAACACCTTGCCCACTACGGCCACCCAAACGCGGTCCACATCAAGACCACAGATTCAAATTGGCGGAAATAACAATTGGGGAGGGCGTATTGCTCCGACTCACACTGCTTTTGATCGCTTCCTGCCTTGCAATAGTCATCACATTCGGGAGCCAGAGCCGCTGCCCCACAACAACAACATCAGCGGTGCAAACAACAGCCGCGGCACCACCACAGCGCCAGCAGGAGGAGCCACCATCGTCTCGCCCACAGCGGCTATAGGAGTACTTACTCCTGGTGAGTACTTGCCCCTCAGTTCCACTTCATGTCCACGACCCCAGCCACGACCCACTTCGCACACAAGTCCCATTTCATCCGCACACTCACCAACCAGAGATGGGAAGCGCCAGTCGAATCAGGGTTCTTTCTGGCTCCTCTAGGAGGCTCACAAGAGTCGAATTCAAACATAGGAATTTAATTGGCTTGAATTTATTTTCACAAAAATGTAGGAATTTAATTAGATAAAGATAATATTATATGGTGTATCTTATTTCGTAGAATCCGAATTGAGTACCAACTATTTATTTTCCCTAGTCGGATATCCGCTAAACACATTAATAATATTTATGAAGCTCTGGAAACATATGGGGTTTGGTTAATACGAAATAATATGAAAATAACATCTGTATTAGCTTTTTACGGGAATTAAACATAAATGTGATTTTCATTTAAATATATATATTCTACTGTTGGAAATTTACACTATTTTACTTAAAAAACGTTGAACTTTATTTTATTTACTACTTTTCCTTAATAAAACTATTTTGTTTGTTTTGTTTTCATATTCGAATTGCATATTGTACGAATAATTTAGAAAAATATGATTACTTTTATATAGGGATCTAGAGCAAGACCCACTGCCCAGAGATTTGTCTACCGACTGGCCACCATCTCTGACATTAATCTCCATTCTATCCATGTCATCATTTAGTCTCCCCTGGCACCCCGCGATTCCAGCGCGGCAGTACCACCATCACCCCAATGTCAGTGTGGTCGCCGCGTCGCCAGCGTCCCGCCAGCGAGCAACTAAACAGTCTTCGGCCGGCAGCCTGGGCGCTGGCACAGACAGGGAGAGTTCGGCCCACGGGAGGATCGCCCAACAGTCGCGCTCGGCTGGCGGCTCGAGGGGCCCTCGTTGGTGGGGGCAGCACTAACAGAGGCCTTCCCTTCGCCCGGCGGTCGCGACGCCAGACCGCCACCGGGCGCCTGGCCAGACAATTCCCCCCATTCAATAACTTTTTGCTTAATAATCTGAGAAATAATGCGCAAACAGCTCCGGCAGGCAGCGCCGTCCCCGCCGCGGGAAGTTCATCAGCCCCATCTCCAGGAGAATCTGTCACAGTTGCTTCGGCCACCTCAGCTGCTCCACCACAAGCGGTTCCAAGCAATCCAGCTCCCGGCGGCAATTCGAGCAACCTTCGTTCGCAGCTGCGCAGCTTCCTCAACGACAGCCTTTTTGCCGGAGTGCCCATCAACGAACAGACGATCCCAGCGGCCATTGGTCGTGCCCTGGAGTGGTTCGGCGAGAGCCTGGTCTATCTGCCGCAGTACGAGCGACCGGAGTACAACTCTCGCGACTCGGTTTGCAACATCCTGCGCGTTAGCCTCCGCCTGATCATCGAGCTGTGCAGTGCGGCTCCCGGTGGAACGGACAGTGCCCAGTTCGAGCAGACCCTTAAACAGATCTGCGATCAGTTCCGCAAGCGCCTCTACAGCGTCCTCTTCCTGTGCCTGGGCAGCGCCAACGCGGAGCTCTACTGGCGCCAGCTGATGCGCTTATTATGCGCACCCATGCGATCCAGTAAGTATATTCTCTTTATAACTCTTAGTCGTAGAGTAAAACCGTAGATCTCTAACGTTTCCGATTTTATAAATCAGAAATATTCTTCATCAGAATCAACAGCCGAGTTGATCTAGCCATGTCTGTCGGTCTTTCCGTCAGTATGAACATCGAGCTGTTGGAAACTATAAGAGCTAATGAGTTGTAATTAGACATGCAGGTTCTATATAAGAATAACTCCTAACAAGTCTTGGAAATCTGTAGGGACATGGTAGAGACATTTTTTTTGGCGGTAATCAATCAACATCTTTCATCGCGTATACAATTATTTAAATTGAAAAATTATATCAGAAGTTATTTTAAAAGATGAATGACGTAAGCGCAACAGCTAATTTTACCTTAAGGTGTTTGACTCGCTAATATAATTGCAAGTTTGATAGTCGTGTCACTCGACTATATAGTTATCAATTATAATTTATAATTTATATATTTATATTTATGTTATTTTCTTCTCGTATTTGACTAGTTACGAATTTAAATATATCTTTACATTTAATTTAAATGTGTAAAATGGTCACTTTCGTCATAATCCCTATTAAATTATAATTTTTTGTTCAGATTTCCACAACGAAGCCTTGCAGTTCTTGTGCATCTACATAGACCCCACGATTCCCGCACAGACTGACACCGTCGATGCCCAACAGTTCCTAGTCCTGCGCAGCGTCCAAGCAGTCCCTCCCACAGCTGCCGAAGAAGTAAGTTTCCAGACTTACTTCATTAGAATCTAATGCAAGGTGTCACTAATAGCCATTCGTTTCGCCACCGTCGCTTTTTAATCCACAGCAGCAACAGCCGCAGCCGCAAACTCTGGACACGGATGTGGAGATGGCTGAAGTGGCTACCAGCAGCAGCAACAGTTCACCCGCATCCCAACTGCCCGACGTAATTGTGGGCTCGGAGCCCTGGCACATGAGTTTTCCCAATGACTGGTTGCCTGTGATAACGCGCGACCTGCAGACACAGACTGAGGTAGATACTTAATTGCATCTTCACACCTGAAACTAATATAAATTTGTACGTTGTGCAGCAGAATAACCGACCCCAGCCGCCCTTTTCGGATGCCTACATCTCGGGCATGTCCGCCAAACGGCGCAAAATTATTCAGTCAGAAAAACCGACGGCCAGCGTGGAGTGCCTCATCGCCAATGGAGTACAGCGGGCCATCCAAAGCGCCGGCTTGGGAGGAACCAGTAGTGCCGCCAGTTCTTCGATCAGTACGGATGCCGTAATCGGATCCATTGCCCACGATGCCGCCATCCAGGCCTCCTACACAGATGCAGTGCGGAACAGCTTAAAGGAGCGTATTAAGCAGGATACGGATTTTAAGTCCAGCAAGTATCCGCAGATCGCCAAGTTCGCCGAGCAAAAGTAGACGGCGGTTGCAGAGATGGAACCCTGGCCACCTAGTGCTTGTTGTACATTTTACTTTAAAGCATTGTATTTAATTTAGTTAATGGCTAAGTTCTGTTTAAATCGAGACGACGATGAAGATTGCGACAACACCAACACACGGAGAGGACCTTTAGCAAATGCTTCAAACTATATAGAATAATAATATCCAACTGATATGTATCCACACACTTTGGGACACGACATGAAGTCCAAGCAAAAAACGCTTTTGGGGCTGCGATAAAGGAGCAAAATAAACACACTTATTAACCGAAACAATGGCGATTGGAATTTGGATGTGGGACCACTCATCGATCGGAATGCTTTTAATTGTCCCAAATGGCTGTGGCGTCCCCACGTCGCATGACGTGGTGAAAAAGCAGAACAGAGTCGTGACGACAGCCGTATTCCAAATTCCAGCCAAATATTTTGAACGGCGCCAAATCGGCATTGACGTGAGCCAAAGGCACATGATTGCTGAATGGCCGATGACGACCGACCTGGAATTTGCAGAACAAGTCAAGTGGATAACCCTCCAGCAGAAGCATTACAGGAGGCATATCCACATCATACCATTTGACCAGCCCCACAACCAGCATCCCACACCATCCAATTCCATCGTCATCGAATTCCGAAGCCTACGCTACTCATGTTATTGTTGTCGCCTGCAATCGAAACACGAAAACGTGTCACATAAAAATGTTAAGAATATTTATGTGCAAAAATAAATAACAAATACCGAGAATCAGCAAAGAGAAGAAAACATATGAATAAATAATAATTATTAATATTTGTCGCTTTTCTTTAAATATTTACTCGAAATGATTGGACGCCAAAAATAGGTTGGCTACGTAATCGAAGTATATTTTTATACCCGCAGTTATGGATCTGGATCACAGTGCGGTTCAAATATGTAATCTCACATTTTTAAACTGTGCTTTCCAATAAAAACATACTTTTTTGGTTTTAAGAGGAAATGATAGTCGTAATTTTATTCCTCATAATATTTCCTTTACAATAGAATTTTTCTTAAAAAAAATAAAGCCATAGTAATATTTTAAAAATTTGAAAGGTCGTAGAGAGACCTATAAATATTCAAAATATTTAAGCCATGTCAAAAATTTTAATCGAACAGGAACAGGAAAACAATGATTTTCGATAAATTGTTCCTTTGCAGATATAAGATAATTATATACTACCTGCAATGCAAAATACACTTTTGGGAAAGTTCAACTTTAAAACTGAGAGACTAATTTGCGTAGAAACAGACAGACGGACAGATGGACGGACGGACAGAATAAGATTGAGTCTCCTGGTGATACTGATCAAGAATATATGTATATACTTAAAAGTTTGGAAATGCCATTTTATATGTCTATTATATTCCTGCAAGAGTAAAAATATGATCAGGAATATTGAGTTCGATGAAAATCCTGGCTTCATTAACTCATTCTGTAAATGTTTATGTAAATTCATTATAACCCCCTTAAATTGATAGACTCTGCTGTATGTAAAGTTAATCTTTCAGACAGCCCTAAACATAATCGTGCCAAGGTTTCTCGGGAGCTTGCAGTCTACGTGGAAAATGGCGATGGATGTGTTGGATGGGCAACAGAAGCTACTCAGTTACTTGTCGCCTCCCGAAGATCCCGATGATTAATTGCGGACAGAATTGCAGACGTGAAGAAGGAGGAGACATCGTTGGCACGCGCAATCCGGGGAATTTGCGGAATTTGTGGCGAGCGCATTTAAGGCGCCCAGTGGTTAATTATGCATGCGGGGCCCAGAACTTCGAGATAAATTAAGGCAGCGGACTTTGATGCATGGCTCCTGCCCCCTGAAATGCTGAATCGCTCTGGCGCCAATGGAAAATTCTCATTTGGCCCAATCTCAATTGGGCTGCAGGGATCCTTAAACAAGCCGGTTCCATTCAAACACTGCTAACGATCCGATGCGATCCAAAAGTCATAATTAAAAACATTTCTCAGCGAGGCGAGTTGTGCCAGATGTCTATGTAAAGGACAATTTATTGGGAGTGCGTAATACAGCTCTCTGCACATATGTAAGTACCAACATGTGTCCATGATAATGATGCCCCATACATAGAACTAGGTTCTGAAGAAGTTCCCAACGGCAGCAGCAGTAGCAGCAGCAGCAGCAGCAACATCAGGCGAAGTAGCAACATCGGCCACTCGAAGGGGGCACAAACACGCACATCGCGATCGAGATTGAGTTGCAGATATAGATGGAGATTGATGCCTGGCGCCGAAAGAACAGGAACACATGTAATTGAGTGTTGTGGACAATTATAGCCAGATATCAAGTCCCCAATTGGCCGAAAAGCCGCTCTAAGTTCTCGACGGAGAGCCAAGAGATCGGAGAGAGAGTAAAACTAGCAGCAGCAGCACATATCGCACCGCAGCAGCAGCAGCAACAGCAACGCCGGCAGCAGCAGCAGCAGCAACAGAAAGCAGCAGCATATACGAATCCTCAGCGATTTTATTCCCACTCCCAGTCACAAACAGACCGTGTTGGAATCAAGACGTGATCACCATCCCATATAAGTACACAGAGATACTCGCGGTGTTCAAAAAACAAGCAATCGACCGATCAACAAATACAATTTTTTTAGAAGATTAATTCCGAGCATCGGCGATCTATATACAAGCGGGTCAAGAGGTCTAGCCAGATAGGAGAAGGCGGAGGCGGAGCAGCTCCAGCCCTCCATATCCCAGCCGTTAAGATTCGATACGATCAACCCAACCGATCTTGAAGTGTTGTGCGCGCGTGTATCTTCAATCTTGGAATTGAACGAAACTAGTGACAGTGTTGCTTTGAAATCCGATGCCAGCGGTTCATAGAATATAGAAAATCCTGCTGGAAAACCGAGCTGCAATGGAAACCCCCGCACACACGCATATGTGCGCCTAGTGGGAAAATTGCCGAGTTTGTTTTCCGAGCTGCCTGCTCGAACAGTTGGTGATCCGCCACCCGAGCGAGTGCAACGTGTCCTGTAATCTAACCCGAAAACCGTGATTTGTGAACTGTGAACCGAACAGATTTCCCCGATAAAAGTGTGCATATTTGTATCTTGCCAAAGAGTTGTGAAATCGAAACTACCGAGTGACTGATCATTCGGCAAAATGACTTCCCTCGTGTACACCGTCATCCACCTGGCATCGCTCCAGTGCTCGGTGCGTCCGGAGATCTCGCCTTGCACCTGCGAAACGGGAAAGGCCTGGAACCATGTGGAGCTCTCCTGCGAGAAACTGGAGTCCTTCAACTCCGTAGTTGACACCTTGGCCAATAAGTTGAATGCCGACGCGAAAATCGACCTGAAAATCACTCACTCTCAACTGGACGACCTGGAAATGCGATCATTTACGGATATGAACTTCAACTTGTACAAGCTCCGGATGCAACGGAACGGTCTAAGGTGAGTTGACTCATGGTTTCAGAGATGATTATCCAGGAAAGGAGCCAAGTCGTCTCATAAGGGGTTTTTTTTGGGCTTATTATCTATTTCAACGAGTTTGCTGAGTCACTGTTCCGCCGAAAAACTCTGGGTTTTCTCAATATGTAATTATCAAATTGTTTTGATATTTTTTTTTAAATATATGGTCGAATATTTGTATATAAAATGTAAAATGGCTTTCACATTTTTAAGCCTGGTTTTAATACAAATCCCTTGATAAAACGGCAATTTGTGAATAGAATTGGCCATATGTTCAGTAATCTACTAATGAAAAAAGGCAGTTTCTTAAGATAATTTTCAATATATTCAAGCCCAAAAACAACTAAATACCAACGTATTAGTATTAGTATGGGGGAAAAAAAGTTTGGGGGGATGATTTTTTCAAATAAACATTGAATTCGTTTTTTTTAAATAGTAGAGCGATTTCTATTGAACAAGGTACATTATTTATTGGGGAAAATTCGCGGTATAGAATCAATCAAAATATCTTTGCTGGGGAGTTCAAGGCCAGCTGGCGAGTTCCGCAAAAGGCAGAATTTTCCGTTCGACCGGCTATCAATTTAGGTTCCTTAAACCCAATAAAAACCGAGCGAAAAATAATAATGCAAAATGTACACAAATTTCAATGTGCTTATGTAAATTCGCGAAAAATGTGCTCCTCGGATCGGATCCCCAGGTCTTGTTTACAGCCATGTAGATACTAAAACAATAACAATGTCGTTTGTTTGCGTCAAAGAGCCCTGTGCCGCCTCATTATCTATGGCTCAATTGGGAAAAATTACCCGGGAGATGGATGTGGAGGTGGAGGTGGAGCTGGTGCAGTCGCATCTTAATTGCCGACCAGATGATTTAATTTTTCAATTAGGAAGTAGCATTGAATTGCCGCAAATTGCCAACGATTGGATCCTATCCTTATTCCCGTACACTGCCAAACTAAGCATCTCTGGAGAAGCGGCCGCAGCTCGAATCTTATTTTTTTTTGTTGAATTGATAACTGATAATAGCGCTGTCTTATCACCTATGAGGCATGTATATGGAAGAAGGTTTCTATGTACTCCGCCGTATAAGCTGGCTGTATACGGCGTATACTTAATGCGTACACAAAATTGATAATTGCAGTTTATTGAAAGCGCCTTTTCAACGGCGCCTGCACGTTTTCCCACTCTGACTCTGAATGAATTTCAATTCACTGTCGCATTGTGTTTTACATATTGGCAATTATAAATAACGAATAAAAATAAATGCTGTCGATCCACCGATCTCCCCCCGGCCTCCACTTGCGAATATAGAAGTAACATTCGAGCCTATTTCATAAGCGCCTGCCGCGGGTTCATTGATATTTGACTCCGTTGTTTTATAGCGAGTCTCGATTCAAAACAAAACACGACTCGAGATTCTTTGTGTGATCAAGCCCCGAAAATTTTTGGCAATACTTAATTTGGACACAAGATCGGATACTTACACATTTTAAATGCCACATAAGAATGGTCTTTGTTTTCGAAATAAAACTTATATTTTTCTTAGGAATTATTTCTTTATTCCATTCGATGAATTTTAATTACTAAACTGGACTCATTCATGATTATTCTTATTCTAAAGCTCATCTTTTTTTTTGCTAAAATTTTTTTTAAATATCTGTTGGACTGATCTGTTTTTATTACTTTCTGGAATTTTCGTTTTTAATATAAAGTAATTAAAATCATGTCGGAAGAAACTTTTTATTTCTGTTTTAAATTTAAAACAAAAATACGTTTTTTTCATTTAAATTTATAGTTTTCAAATATAACCTGTTAAGCTCTTCCAATTCTAATATGGCTTTTCAGTAATAATGGCACATGCTTGCCGGCCTCTTAGATTAAACCATTCGATTTATCATTCCCCGAATGCAATTTGTGTGTTTGTCTGTAAGACGTAATGATTTAATTACCCGACTTGATCGAATCAGTGTTGTGCACCATCTCCCCAATCGCCGATCTCCCCCAGATTCCAGAATCCAGCGGAGAGCGCGTGCCTCTGGTGCCACTGCCTCCGATTCTGGCTGCTCGGGGAACGCTTTTTACATTGATGTCAATTTATAACAATTGACCTATTGCCTTAATATCGCGCTTTGACCAAATCATGCCAACTCAGCCAGGAAAAGTACCGCTGCCACACATGCGTATTTGTAGGCACTGGAAGAAATTGAATGTTCAAATAGTTAACACTTTTTCGTTAGAAAAAATACAATTTTATTGATATATAGAATTTTATAAACAATATTAATTATTAAATTAATGAACATTTTTCTGTGGGGCGCCTTGATCACTTCTTTTAAAGCTGATGTTCCTCGCCTCGTGGAATTCCCGAAATATTTGGCTTGCCGACGTTATCTGCTCTATTGTGCAACAGGAAATATTAATTATTTAATGTACCTTCGATTAAATATTATTAATCTTATGCTATTTTATAAAACTAGCAAAGAAAATTGTACAAGAGTGTTGTAAGTCTTTTGGTATCTATATAATTTATTATATTTTTTCAATTCACTCTTTTTTATAATTACCCATATAGAGTTTGACCAACAAAAATGTACAATTAAAATAAAATATGGTTTTCTCCAGTACCAGACGGTTTTCTTTTGGTTATCACTAGATCGGTTCATCGATGCACCAATAAAGTTCGTCCAAGTACACTGCTATATAGCATCTAAGTCCAAATGTGGACCACAGCTGAAGGCAATCTCTGATAAGCGCTACTGTTTTCATGAATTGTTTTATGAAAACGTAATCTCTTTTATGACTGGCGCCAAAATATAATCAAGTCGAGTTTATGATCACTTTTTACGATCGCCCACAATCAGAGCCCATTCGAGTTAAGTGTGGACAACTACTGAATGGACATAAGGACATCTGGGGATCGGCTATTTAAAGAGGGAATGGGGTGCAGTACGAGTTATGTGGCCTTTCCGATAGATTCATGGCTTTGGTCTTGTGCTTTCTCAGGCGATAAGAAGGTCCCATGCTATGGGGTGTACTATATGTGCATTATATGTTCAGTCACTCGCGGATTTGTTTAAGGCTATTATTGCATTACCCTTGTTATTACCACCATTATCGGGGTGCAGTCACAGCCCTGGGAAAGTGCGAAAAGTGTTGACGTCTTCACTCGCTGGCTGTCTGACCATTAATTATGATAACTACTCGTACATAATTTATTGGGTCGGTGTCCCGTGGAATATTTCCAGCTCATCTGTCTGGGCCCAAAATCGAGATAGTGGTTCCGATGGAAACGGACTCAAGTTAGTCAATTGGTGCAGGAAGCAAAGTAAACAATAACAGAGCATTCAATAGCCGAAACCTTACTTTAAAATGGAACGTACGCAGCTTGTTTTTGTTTTCCATTTTGGGGTATTGATGGGGGTACTCTGTGGCTCTCTGTTCTCTCCGTGTTCCGTGGTCTTTGGTCCGGGGTCAGTCAAGAGCGAAGCAGGCAGTCCAATTGAATTTTATTATTACGCTCAATCAATGATCGAGGGGCCAGCTTAGGTCGTGTGACAATTATACCGCTGACGTTAAGGAATTGTGGATACATCTCTGCACGCTCGCACATACCAAAGCGTCCATCTATCTGGGCATCTGTATCCGTATCTGTATCTGTATCTCCATCTCCATCTCCATCTGCATCTAAGTGCTCAAGTTCAACGGGCTCATTATGGATACAGTAGCCGGGGAGGAGCATCCAGCCCGGCCAGCTTCTCTCATTACATAATCAAGGCTTGACAGGCGCAGCTCGCAGATAAAGTAGCACTCCTCCTCGGAGCCGGCAATCAATCAAGATCGTCTGGCTAAAAATAGCGCCTGCCAATCAATCTGCTGCACTGCAGCATACATCTACATCTATATAATGCCATGCCAATAACGGGCGCCAAGGATGCACTTGGCACGCCATCCAGGCCCAGTTCCCATCATGAATCTGCTGTTCTTGGGGGCCGTTTGGCGCCTCGACGGCGACAACTTAATAGCCACCTGCAGACGTCGATAAAGATACTGATCAGGTGCAGCGGAGCGGGGCGGCTTGGGAGGCCGTAAACCCCTGATAAGGCTGCGTCATCAGGTCCAAAGACCTGACCAGGGGTGCGAAATTCGATACGGGCCCATTCAAAACTAATTACAGATTGGCTTGGATCACTCTCATAGCGTGAATCAGATTTGAGGGCATTGCCCTCATACATAAGTCAAATTATAATTCTAAAATTATTTAATCAGCAGGTGTATACGTTAGCTTTACTTCTTTCAAAAGATTGTACAATTTTATTTTATCAACTGTCATTTTATTTCAAACTTTATTTTAATTAAGCAATGGGACTTAATTCACAAAATTTGGATTTCATTTAACACATTGTTCACACCGCAATCAACTTACGCCAGAGTTTTGAAAAATGTCGTGTGTAGACTAACGTTATCTGCTAAATATGTTATATTCTATGCCATTATAGATAAGAACATTCTTTTGCTATAAGAGTGCAAAAATAAGATTATCTATTTATGGGGAAATACCTGTCTCATGGTAGGCTTAAGAACAAAATTATGAAGGTTTAAGAAAATCAATTTGGAAGATCAATAATATTAATATGTTACTGTGTTCATTTATTTGATACACTTAAGTTAGTGTCTTAATTATACCCTTGCAGAGGGTACGTTAATTTTAGTCAACAATTTGAAGCGCAGTATATTATTAATTATTAAGTATACATATTCTTGATCAGTATTACGAGGAGAGTCGATCTAGCCAAGTCCGTCCGTGCGTCCGTCAATTTGTCCGTATGTCCGTTCCAAGCGAATAAGTCTCTCAATTTTAAAGCTATCTGTATGAAATTTTCCCAGAAGTCTTTTTCTATTAATTAAAAAAAAATGAAAAAAAAATCAATTCAAATTTAATTTCATAAAAATCTGACGACTTCATTACTATTAAGGTAATATATAAAATTGTAAAGATATATCCCATGATTTACCAATTGATTCTCGAGAGATTTCTTTGCTGTCAATATATTTAACAAAATTGGAAATTTAATTAACATTGATGGGGTAAAGTCTGATCCTTTTTCTTGGTAATAAAAGTTTTTTTTGTTTTAGATATTTGTAAGTGGGAAATCTGTTACCTCCAGTTCGGCGCTCTCCTTCTAATAATACGAAAATGTAATGGATTTGTTTTCTTGACGCTATTTATAGATCGCTGCCCGAGGTGCCGTTCCGCGGGTTATCGAATGTCACCTACCTAAGCATCAGCGACAACGAACTCGACGAGATCCCGAAGCACGCCTTGAGCCACATGCCGAGCCTGTTGACCCTGGACATTGGGCGGTGCAACATCCGGGCGGTGCAGCAGGAGGACTTGCGGGGCATTCAGAAGGTAGAGAACCTGATCCTGGTCAGCAACGTTATCACGCGCTTGGATAGAGGGTCCTTCCCCAAGAGCCTGCTGATCCTACATCTGGCGAGGAACCAATTGGAGTCCCTGAATGGGTCACTGCATGATCTGGACAAGCTGGAATCGTTGTTTATCAATGCGAACAACCTGACAACGCTGGACGACGAATTGCCGGATGGGAGCAAGTTGCGTCTCCTGATGGCCCACAATAACAGACTGGAACGACTGCCGGCTAACATGGCCGGAATGCACAACCTGGAGACGGTCCACATACACTGCAACAAGCTGAGATCCTTCGACCGGGTCCTCCGCAATGCCGTCAATCTCTCCGAGGTCCTGGCCGAAAACAACGAGCTGGAGTATTTGGCCCAGGACGAGTTCGCCTCGTGCTCCAAGGTGGAGACCCTGCTGATGGGCTTCAACCACATCCGATCCCTCAACTCCTCGCTGCTGCCCATCCTCAAGCTGAATAACGCCAATTTCTCTTCCAACGACATCGAAGAGTTCTCCATGGCGGAACTGCACGGGCTGCGTTCGCTGAAGACCCTGTCGTTGTCCAACAATCGCATCCAACGGCTGCTTCCCGATCCCCGGGGAGTGCAGGAACTGATGCTGGTCAACCTGGACCTGGATAACAACAGAATCGATTCCCTGAATGGAGCCCTGGCCGGTCTGGGCAATCTTCGGATGCTCAACCTGGCCGGCAACCGATTGGAGCAACTCCAGGTGGGGGATTTCGATGGCATGGTCCGTCTGGACATTCTCGACCTCACTGGAAACCAGCTGGCCAAGCTTAAGCCCTTGGAAATGGTGAGTGATTAAGCCTTAACTTGCATTTCAAATTCTCATTCGATGTATTATTCCGTAGACCTTGTTGCCCAGCCTAAAGATTCTCAAGGCTGCGTACAACAATATTACCAAGCTGGAGCAGGACTTTAAGGGCATGCCCATGCTGTGCCAGGCCAACTTGACCAACAACCAGATCTCGACCATTTCGAGCGAACTCGTTACCAACACGCGCTGCAAGAATCACAACGTTCCCGGCAAACTGGAGATAAATCTAGATGGTAAGTCCTTAATGGGGATAGCATTTCCGGGCTACGCTTTTTAATAGAAAGGGCTTTTAATCTATTCATATAATATGATAAATATAGGTATTGATTTATTTGAGGTCTTTTAATACACTTGAATTAAATATGATAAATATAGGTATTGATTTATTTGAGGTCTTTTAATACACTTGAATTTTGTAACTTTAGTCTTCCCATCTTTGAATACTTTGAATCAACATACAAAATAAAATTTGTTTGGCTTTTATCTTTGTAATATTTAATATTCGTGTATTTTGGCAGATAGTGTTTCTCATTGTAGAGACTTGAATTTTTTATTTAATTTGTTAGTCAGCTTAAGTATTTATTGGCTATTAAATAACCCTATAAATACTGAAAAGTACTATGTATATTCATAGGTTTTTGAGTGTCTATAAAGTTAATAAGTTTTCTTGATTAAGAGTTGGGTCATAAAAGATTGATATTTATCTTTACTGCATGTGTAGAATCAAACTATACCTACCTTTAAAGTATTCATACATATATAATTCCAGTGATCTTGATGTCTTAAACTCAAATAAAAGCACTAATTCTGTAATTTTTTACTAGCACTATATTTTGAGACTTGGAGTGAGCACAATAAAATCAATTAATATTCTGTATAAACCACAAGCTATATATATTAATTCCAAGTCACCAGATTTAAAGCCCTAATGAACATATAATCCCAATGATCTTGGAGTAAACTCTTAAACTCTAAAAACTAAACTCTTCTAAACTCAACCGATCTCCTTACCATCCCCAGACAATCCCATAATGTGTGACGTGCGCCTGAACGAGCTGTGCCGCCTGATGGCGGTCCAGGAAGCTCGAATCCGAGGCCGATCCCAGTGCTTCGAGAACGACCAGGAGGTGTGCACCGTGCTGCCAATGCTGTACAAGGTGGACCTGCCCATAATGGTCACCAGTTTGAAGTTGGGCGGACGCGAGGATGCCAAGCCAGTGATGCAGATGCTGCTCCCGCAGCTGATCAAGGCCAACGAGGATCTACTACCGCCGATTATTTCCACTCTGGGAAATCCGCTGATTATCGGCAACACCCTGATCAATCCGGTGATTTCGCCCATGCCGCCGCCACTCCTGCTGGCCACCAAACCTCCACCTCTGCCGCTGCCACTTCCACTTCCAGTGGAGCCGGAAGTGCAGAAGAACGAGTCCACCACGGCGGCTCCCGTCACCACGAGCAGCACAGAGGAGCCCACGACTACGACCACGTCCACGACTACGACCACGCCTTCGCCCACGACCACAACTACCTCGACCACAACAGAGGCCAGTAGTCAGGTGGGTCCAACCGAGGTGATAACCACCACTCCACCCACCACCACAACCACCAGCACCACGACGCCGAAACCCAACGAAACGCTGCCCGTGATTGTGGAACTCCAGGAGCCCAATCCACTGGGCACTCTGCCACTCAATCAAACGGATGTGGATGGGACGCAGGACAAGGGAGCTGCCCTAGTGCCGCCCGCTGTTCAGGATCCCCTGCAGCATGAGCTGGAAAGGGAGAAGGAGAGGGAGCGGGATCTAGAGCGGGATCTGGACCACGAGGCGGTGGCCAAGACCGAGTACGAGACGGTCGAGTATATCCCCAATCTGGTGCAGCCGCCGGTGGGCAGTGAGGCACTGACGCCGCCGCCCAGCAAGGCGAATGCCCTGGAGGAGGACTCCGAGTCCGTGCACTCCAACTCCGTGCATGCGGAATATCCGCAGAGCCTGCAGATACCCGAGGAACCGCCGGAGGAGTGAGTCCTCCGCTCGGGGGATTAGGCTCCTCGGGGAATTCACCCGGAAAAAATATTATTTTACTGTAAATCGCAGATGGAGGATGGAGAATGGAGGAGGCGGAATCGATGGAGATCGGGCGGAGCAGCATGCAAACGGCGGAAGGAGCGAGTTTCGGATTTGTATGCCTTAAGTTAACTTAGTTCTTATGTTTTATTTAAGCCATCGCTAAATCGAGCAGTTTGTCGGACCGAACGCTTTTTTGTTGAGTTTTTTTTCGTCGATTTTATGCCAAATTCGATCACGATTTCGGAGGTTGAATGACCCAGGAAACAGGACGAACGTACGAGGACAGTCTTATGATTTAAGCTTATTTGTTGGGGGCTCAATTTCGCGAATGTGTGTTGGCAGGCGGGCACTTTTCGATTTTCAATTTTAGGGAACACTTTTTGGGATCTTTCTTAACTATTTGTGTATTTATTACTAGCTCATTATTGATCATCTTAATTTGAAGATGATTTAGTTCCAATGTTCATAAGAATATGGCAAACAGAAAATTGGAAATTTGTGGTATTTAAAATTAATATGTCAGTTGTCTTAATTGACATCTTATGACAGAAAGTAAATAAATTGTAAATTATACATTTTTGAGGATCACAATTAATCCGTGAAATTGAAAACCGGAAAAGTCGCGTGGAAACCGGAATGTGGCGATATCGAATATGCAACTGCATATACACATTATCTATATTTAATAACTGTATACACGTATGAACGTTGAATATCTACAAGTAGGTACTTAGAGTTAAACGACAGCAAAAACAAATCGCATCGAGCTAATGCTAATAACAAATAGCACTCACTCACATACAAACACACAAAACCACACACACAACCGTAGCGTGCACATGCACAAACTGAAAAAAAACGAATAAAATATAAACGAGAAAAAAATATTGTTATCAGTTCGTTAACAAAATGAGAAAATAGATTTTAGCGTGTAATTATATGAAAATGAAAATGGTATTCTAAATAAAATCGAAAATAAAAACTGAGTATGTAGCAATTTTTATTTTATTTTTGGGTTATGGTGTTTAAAAATGAAAAACCTCTTTTTTTCAGATTTTAATATATGTACTTCCCTTTAACCGTTTTGAGACCAAAGCAAAAATCCACAAAATAGGAAAGTTTTATTTAAGTTAATAGAAATTTATTGTTAATTAAAGTATCAACAATACCTTAATTGGCTAAATACTATACACACTGTAAGCCACTGTTCGAATTACAAAGGTCAAACCTTTCTAACGGGTAAAGAAAAAAAATAACGATATCATCACGAAGTGGTTTGAGTCTAAGATATATAAACTCACCACATGTTGGCTTTAAAATTGTACCGGTGTTGTTGTCGGTTGTTATATACTTACTGATATGTTTTAAAAATATAAAATGAAAGAATATAGGTAGGCATTAGTATACATGTGATAAGCTTAGGCGTCGAACAGTATGAACATTAATCAAAAACAGTTTAAATGCTGCATAAATTGGTGAGATTCAAAATTCAGAATTAATTTGAGTTACCAGTATAGTTTTCAGTATTTTATTATTTTAGTATATTTTATGAGCCGGATGGAGTATTTCGACATTTTCCATCTGCGGTCTCACCGACCAGAAAAAGCAAACGAAAAGCGGAGAAAGAAATAATAATTCGTGTTTTGTGTGCAAAGTGCAAAGGGTAGATAAGTTGAAATATTCTCGCTGTCGAGACCCATAAAAACCCGAAAAAGTGGCAGGATTTTGGATATCCATATCGTGCGCGGAGCTCTACTGATTTTTCCTTTTGTTGACGTCGCATTGTCGTCATCGTCATCTTGTGACTGTGTCTATTCGAGTCCGAGTCCGAAAAAAGAAAGAAAAGAAAGTCGTAAAATATAGAAAAGAAAACTAGTTGGGGAGGAGGAGTCGCACACATACAAACAGACACACGGAGCCCCCCACTCACAGACACACACAGCAAACACTCACTCACACACACTCAGGCGAACTGCAGTGAAGCAACAAAAACAACAATAAACACAACATTGCAGGTGAGCGAAAGAGTAAGTGAAAGGGGGCCACAAACATACTTTTCTCTCTCTCTCTCTTTGGGGCTTATTTCTTATAATGATTTCCATAATTATACATAGATCCCCAATGCCTAAATGTAATTCCCCGCTAACAGTTTAAACTATGTTTATTGATAACGCTTTTTTGGTTTTTCGTGTTTTTAATTTGATAAGTGCCGTTAGCCGGTCCAGTGGTTAGTCATATTTCAAGGGTTGCCAGGGGCGTAGGTGGAAACGGGTTTTGGTATGCAAGGGGGGCGTATGAGTAATGAATGAAGTTTCGCACATTTCTGCCCCCCAACAGTTGTGTGTGTGGGTGTGTGTGTGAGTAGTTTGAGTGACACAAATGAAATCTAATCGCATTTCTGACTCGTTATCACACGCACACAAGCACAAATAGCACCCATGTAGCCATGAATATGTATTTACATACATACATGATACCTATGTAATGTACGCCCGCATTTACAACAGATGCAGCAACTTTGGGAAATGCAACAGGGGCGGTAGGTGGTGGCAATTGAGGAGGGGCCAGGCGATCAAGTTGCACAGTGGACAGCATCATCAAGCGAGCAGTGACCTTCGCCGACAGTGATTAACCCTTTTCACCTGCTTGTCTGTCTAATAGAAAAACATCTTTAAAGCCCAGATAACCGTAAACCAAAGGCAAACATTTCATATGCCAAAGAAGCTTATCTTCAGACAGCGACAAGTTCTTTGGAAGAATATAGATTTAAAAAATAAATCAGTGGAATCAGCAGAAGCAGCAAAAAAAATAATCAGAAGGGATTAATTCATATTTTTACTAATTTTAATTGCCTATTTTATGAACGTAAAATCCATCAAAGCGTTCTAACATTCATTTAATTATTTCTTGAATGTTTTTTTAATAATAAAATTCCCAAACTTGATGTTCTACTTTTTAACAACAAAACTTAGTCATTTTCAAAAAATAGACCATAAAAGGTCAACTGATAAGGTTTAATGTTAGCGATTAAGTTTAAAACGTTCTACATTTTATGTCGAAAAACTAAAATTTGCGATTAAATACGTTGTATGTTATCTGATTATCAAAAAAGAGATGTATTCCATATTGAAAACCAGTTTAAACAACATATGTGGATCAAAATATAAACAAGAAATGAAGCAAAATTTGGGAAGCCGAACTTTAAATGCCCTTGTTATTTTTTTGTTAATTTTTTCGATTGTTTATAAGGCAGTAGATACCGTCAGGCAAATAGACAAAAAGAAAAAAATTTCTAGATCGACTCTCATGGTGATGCAAACCTTTAATTAAAAATACTCTCTGCGAGGGTATAAAAAGAAAGGAGATGCCTATGTACATATATACCCGACCAGAACAATATTTAATGGGATCACTGACAGGCTTTCATCAATATTTCACCTTCGCGGAAGCATGCTAAAAGTCTGACAATAATGCTCATCAAACAGCCTCGTGAATGTGGAATATTTTGCTCACCTGCAATTGCCTTTCGGTACAACAAGCGATCCCGGAGCGGTCAGTTTCATCGCGCATATCAATCGGGCAACACATCGCACGGAGCACCTCCTCCTAAGCAGTTTAGTTCGGTGTTTGGAGCGTGTTGCGGAGCTTTTTCGCTTCGTTCATTGAACCGCTTCCGTCAAGGCTCTCTGCCTTGGAACAAAGTGAATCGCAACTCGTTCAGCATTCTGTTTGTTTTGATACCCACACAAACGCACTTATATTTTTGGCAATAAAACGGCGACGTTTTGCCGAAAGTCAAGTGCAGAAACACAAAGAAAGCTTTGCTACCTCCCTCCCACTCTTGGCTGCTCTGTCTGGCATTCAATTTGCTCAAGTTCAGGCAACCACCATAACAAAAACAGACCACGAACCTCCCCGCACCACCCAGTTCTACTTGACTCTTGCACTTCATTTGCGTAGTTTTTCGTCGTCTTACTGCGCGACATTTAATTAAATTATTTCGCCTTCTTCAGGCGAAATGAAAACAAACAAACAAGCAGCTCTCTTTCGCAGTGGATCGTTTCTACAGCTTCTTCTGTGGACCGGTCAATGAATTTCACTCCCCGGATACGAGAATTCCCCCACATTATCACTTGGTTCGCATAGCTGGAATACTTGCGAAACGGGTTTATCAGTGAGTTACAGTTTTGAGTCGGGTTCTCGATGGAGTTTCTTGGTTGCCGGTTTTCTTCGATATGTGTCAAGTGCTTTGTTTACACGTAAAATAAACAAAAACAAGAAAGGAAAGCTAACTTCGGGCGGAGCCGAAGTTGATATACCCTTGCAGAATACTCTTTAAATTATATTCTCCAAAATTATTCATATGATGCATTCTTAATACTCATAAAAAATCCCAACTTCCTAACTTTAAAAACACCAAAGTTATGGCATTTCCAATCGTTCAGTTATATGGCAGCTATAAGATATAGTCGGCCGATCCTTATGAAATTTGGTAGGTCGAATTAATTGGCCAATTATAAAACCCATAGAAAATCCTAACTTCCTAACTTTACAAACACCAAAGTTGTGGCATTTCCGATCAATAAGTTATATGGCAGCTAGAGGATATAGTCGGCCGATCCTCATGAAATTTGGTAGGTCGGATTGATTGGTCAAATATAAAACCCATAGGAAATCCCAGCTTCCTAACTTTACAAACACCAAAGTTATGGCATTTCCGATCAATCAGTTATATGGCAGCTATAGGATATAGTCGGCCGATCTCGGCCATTCCGACATATATACTGCGTGCAAAGGAAAGAAGGGTGTGTGCAAAGTTTCAATTCGATATCTTTAAAACTGAGAGACTAGTTTGCGTAGAAACAGACAGACGGACAGACGGAGATGGCTATATCAACTCAGGAGGTGATCCTGATCAAGAATATATATACTTTATAGGGTCGGAGATGTCTCCTTCACTGCGTTGCACACTTTTGACCAAAATTATAATAACTTCTGCAAGGGTATAATAAATATATATGTATGTAGTATATGTAATGAGGCGACAAAAACGGTGCTTACATATATCAGAAACCACAATGCTTCTCCAGTTATAAACTCGTTGATATACGCAATTCTTCGAGATATCTGCAAAGCTAGTGACTTTTTCAGCTGTTTATAATGTTTTGCACTTTCTGTAAAAACAAAATTATAAATGATACAAAAGAAATTTGATAAATTATGTCGTACAAAGAACAAGTGTTCCTCAGAGTTGGTTCGACTTTATCATTATCCTAATAAAAGCGAAAATACGCTTATCAAAAATAAAATATTAGGTATATAATGTAAAGAAGTTTGATTGCAGCGCTTTAATATTTGTTTTAATAAAAATTAATAACCTTATAAAATATGTAAAATAAAGCTGATTGAAAGATAAGTTCTGTGACGAAAGGCAGTCTTATCTACTTCCAAAAAGAGTCGTAAAACACGTCGTTTTACACACTTTGTACATATGCACGTTTTTATCTTACCACTAATCAGCAACCATTTTCAACGGTCAGCTGGCTGCCATATATTCTCGGATTTCTTTATGGTTAAAAGCCGCATTATTTTAAATTCCTTTCAAAGAACGTTTGCCACTTTTGCCAGCGAATCGATAACAATTTGATTATCTTGTGTGCATTTTTTGCATTTAAAAATAGATGTGCACCGCGGCAAAGAAAGGGGAAAAATCAATTCATTTGCGATAATTTCTCGTTGTGGTTCTTGGTTGCCGGTTAATGCATAATGCAGCTTAGTCTGAAAATTTGCATATCCAGACACGGTCGTAGACGACTGTCTGTCCATGGCGAACACTCTGCCTCACTTTTATTTCTTGCTTCTTGGCTATTTTGCATTTTTGCGGCTTCTTGCTTCGGTCTGCCATGGGTTAAGTTCAAGCAAATGGATTAAATGCACTGGGGTTCATTAGTTAAATGGGAGGGCTTGTCGTGAAAGGGAAAAGATTTTTTTTTGGGGTGTAGAACACCATCGAAGTTTTTTATTTGTATTATAGTAAAAGGATTTTTGTTATTTTGTTATTTTGTTATTTAAATATCAGTATACAGTATATATGTACATATGTATTTATTTTACTTATTTAAAGTTTCCTAAAATGTACATAATAAATAAAATACACATTCTAAGTTTAAGATAAATTTCTGTTTTAATTATGACAAATTATTGTTTAAACAATTATAAAACTAATTACAATTTTTTCGAGCATTTAAACAATGGTCTTACTATTGAATTCCTCATTGTATCATTTCGATATGTTCTGGGCAGTGTATTACTCATTCGCATTGGAAATGTCAAGGGAAATACTATTTGCTGTGTTTTGTTTTATTTTTTCGCTGTGTTGCTTTTCCCTTCTATCTGCATTTTGTTTGCCCGCAAATTGAATTATTTCTTCTAGGAGACCTCAAAACTGGGTGGGTCTAGTATCGTAAGGTCTGGTGCGGTTCTTAAAGCAGCGCTTTAAATGGACGGGGTTTTATTTCGATTTCTGTTTCAAAGTATGCTTTCACTGTTTTTGGTTGGAGCACTTGAGTTGGCCAATTTTTATATCTATTAAATTTTGTGTTTTGCACTACTGCAACAACCGACATTTGACTATATAAATATGTATTTCCGTATGTGTACTCTTTTTCTATGTATTTTGATTATATTTATCTTGTATCTCATATTTAGCTTGCTTTGGAGCACTTATACAGCAATAAACAAAAACCAAAACGAATAAAAACCTAAAGAGCAAAGATATCAATAGCTTTCTCAAGCAAAAGTCCAAAGTTTCTGTATAGAAAATAAAAAGCAAAGTCAAACGCAAAAACAAACGAAAAGTAAGTCTCAATGTTTTATCATCTCATTTAACTTCAATTTTTCTTCCAAAAACACCGCAAAAAATTTTACAAAATGGGATATATTAAAAACCGATCTGTTCCGATTCGATTTGAATTAGAGATTAAATTCTCAGCACACCGAGCAGCAGCACAGAGCAGCAAACTCAACACCCAGAACACGTAACACCTTCCACATTATTTCCATATCCACCGGAACCGATTTGTCTTCACCCGTTTCTGTTTGTTTTTGTTCAGATTTTGTAGTTCGATTCACATCCAACACAATAGACTCGGAACACACTTCAGAAAACTTAACAGAAACTGTAAAAAGTAACTTAAATCCCAAATTTACCCCATACCAATTTGCATTCTCATCAAAGCGGGACTTTTCAAAAGCAGAACTTAACCCGATAACAAATAACCTTACCCATTATCCGCCCCAAAACCCACGCTCCCACTCGAGGGTAGGATTGAGAAGATATAGCCATGTTAACACCTCTTTCCATCCTTCTCGTCACACAGTGAGAAAGCAAAAGGACGATATGCAGGTGAATGTCGCTGGTCTGCGCAGAAACATTAAGAACCTTGCGCACAACTACTCCGATGCCCAGGTGAGTTTTCTATATGGCCACAAAGCTTTTAAACAATTTTTTTTTTAAATAATGTACCAAATTAATTTGTCTTGAAATTACTTATTTTAAAGGGTTCCGTTTTTGCATAGAGTTTGTTTATACCCAAGATTATACTAGTTTTTTAAAATCAAAAGTAAAAGAAATATTGTAAATGTAAATGTGTAAACTGAGATATATTTTGCATAAAACAATAAGGCCTATGAATTGTCAGGTATATCCAGAAAAAAATTAATCCACTAAATGTTTTATTAAAAAATAATCATTCTCAATTATTTAACAGGTCAAAGTTCGGGAGGCCACCTCAAATGACCCGTGGGGTCCTTCGGCCGCCATAATGGGCGAGATAGCGGATCTCACGTACAATGTGGTCGCCTTTTCGGAGATTATGCAGATGATCTGGAAGCGCCTCAACGACCACGGCAAGAACTGGCGCCACGTGTATAAGGCACTCATCCTGCTGGAATACCTGATCAAGACCGGCTCGGAAAAGGTTGCCCAGCAGTGCAAAGAGAACATCTTCGCCATCCAGACGCTGCGTGAGTTCGTCTACTTCGAGGAGGGCAAGGATCAGGGCACCCACGTTCGCGAGAAAGCCAAGCAGCTGGTAAATCTGTTGAAGGACGATGAGCGGCTAAAGAACGAGCGAGTGAAGGCGCTAAAGGCCAAGGAGCGATTCGCTCAGCATCCAAGTGGATTCGGCAGCGATGGGTACATAGATGGACCATCACAGCGGGATATGCCGCCGGGTTGGCAGGAGGAGCCACCCAAATCGGTATCTGAGCTGGAAATGGTTCGCCCGCAGACGGCCGGCGAGGAGGAGCTGCAGCTCCAGCTGGCAATGGCCATGTCGCGCGAGGAAGCTGAGCAGGAAGAGGCCAAGAGGCGTAGCGATGATGTGCGTCTGCAACTGGCCCTCAGCCAAAGTGAGCAGGATTTCAAGTGAGTGGAGAGAGAAAAATTAAATATTCCTGGCTTTGATTCTAATTAAATATTAACCCATTAGGGATCCCAATGGACGGCCCATTCCTGCGCCCAAGAAGGAGGAGCCACAGAGTCATTTGCTGGACCTGCTGGACATTTCACTGGGCGCCACAAGCATCTCCAGTCCGCCGCTGGGTGCTGCGGGCGGCGCCCCTGCGGCCGTTGTCGATCCATGGGCTACGCCAGCTCCCCGTGCACCCAGTCAGCTGTCAGATCCTTGGTCGGGCACTTCCTCGCCACAAGTCGATCCCTGGCATCCCTCCGCCACGCCGCGAACCATCCTTGGCACCGGAGTGCCGATGAGTGCGGCGCCAATGGGCGGAGCAACTGGAAACGATGCCTGGGGAGGACGGACTCAGTCCCCTTCGGTGGCCTCAGGCTCCTCCAACGAAGGCTGGCTGCAGACCAACGGCAACGCCAATCTGAATGGACGTGGAGCAACTCCGGCGGGACCTCCTGCCGAAGGCTGGTTAATAAAGCCAACAACAGCCGGACCTTTGGGAGCTGCGCCTGTCAACCATGCGGCAAATAATGGCAGCTCACCAGCGGATCCTTGGCTGGCCGAGCCTGCAGCTCCGGCGCCACTAGGAGCGGCAGCCGCCGGATTAGCGGATCCCTGGGCGGCAGGAGCACCACCTCAGACGGGGGCGTTGGATGATCCCTGGAAAGCCCTGGGAACAGGCGCTATCAAGGTAGAAAGTCAAATTTAGTTAGGCTTTAGTTTTAATGAAATTGGAAATTACCGCTTTAGCTGAGCCATTTATTTAATTATAGGTATTAAGTAATTGAACTGCGTGAGCAATTCCAGTTACCATAACTTGTCTAATTGTATTTAACAAATTTAATTTTATAATTGGATTTTACGTTTTAAGATGGTTAATTGTTCAAGTCAAACAAAGGTCAAGTCAAACAAAGGCTTCTGTTGGCTTACAATTAGAATTTGTATTTAATTTAGCTTGCGATTATTCATTAAGTTAGCAGCTGATAGATTTTATATTTTGTACCACAATTTATCTATTTATTTATAATTTAAAATCTACTTTAACTCCAGAAACAATCCCCCGAGTTTGACGAGTTCGACCTTATTACCAACCGGAACAAGAGTGAGCTTAGCAATTCCAACGCCTCCAACAACAACAATGGTGAGTCTTTCTTAAAAAAACCATACATTTTTATCACCATGAAACCATTTCCAGCTTCTCTGCTTGATGACATGGATCCACTATCGGTAAACTACGGAAATGGAGCTATAAACAGCAGTATAGGCTCTGTGCATCCGTCGACGGGCGCCACGGCAAAGAAACCGCTGAAGGATGCCCACTCCTTCCTTGGCGAGAACTCCGCGCTAGTTAACCTGGACAATCTTATTAAACCCACTGCGTCACAGCCGCAAACGGGTAACGCTCTTGCTTACAATCCCTTCAGCGATAACGTGATGCCACCCAAGACGAATCTATTCCAGCAACAGCAGCCAGCCGTAAGTGGAGTTTTGGGAGTGATTGTATTAGTGTATATATGCTAATTGGGTTTCTTTATTTTTGATAGGTGCCGTCCATCAATCAGCTGAAACAGCAGGCTCCCTTCACAGTTAGCATGAACCAGGATCCCTGGGCACCCGTAATGGGTGGCGTTAGTGCGACCTCACAGGTGAGTTGCCTGGTCTTGGAGATTAAGTCCGTCTGCGGTGTTAGGGAGACTCTTCGTACTTGTAAAATTATATTGATTATTTTATTAAGGTTTTTTCTCTAATTTATCGGTATTTTTGTTTGCTTTTCGAAACTATCTTATCATTTCACGTGTGCATTTTGTTTACCCTTACTATTGTTTGTCCTTCTGTCATTTCGTTTTGATCGACTGTTGCATGTGATACCCGATATCCCAGCCAAAACTTCCGCCCCCCGTGCGACCCACTAGCCTCAACTTGGAGCCCTCGTCACTGGGGGAATTTCAGCTGTTGAGTGCGTTTAGTAATCCCGTCATTCCCTCCTCCAATATCCCTCAGCCACAGCAGAATTCACAGGTCTACAACTATGCGTATCAAAGCAACAGCAACACCAATATTCATGGCAACAGCAACATGAACAGCTCCAACAGCAACAGCACCATATATAGCACCTTTGTGAGTCCAAGTCCTGGCATCGATGGCATCCGCAACATGGATATACTCAGCGAGCGTCCCTATTTTAACAGTCCAACAGCACCCGCTGATGATTCCTATATGTACAATAATAATAATATCAGCAGCAACTATGGTACTCCGAAACTTTATTCAAGCTACGCTGCCAGCTACAGCAGTGCCCTATCCGATTCGCTGGCCGAAACCCCGGGAGTTAGTGTGGCTCCCATGGGCTTTGCGGCCGATCCTGTCATGAGTTTTGGTCCCTCATCTTCCGCGTCCAACCACTGCAAGCTGGAAGTGAGTTTGCTGCCGCTGACATTGTGGTTGCTGCCAATTCCACTACTACTTCCTCTGCCAGAAAATGTCGTTTTTTGTTAAGCTTGAGTTTTTTCTTTAGTTTTAAATTTATTCTTTGTTGTTTTTGGTTAATTTTGTTTAACTTGCAAGAATAAGAACTATGAACTGCTAACAGGGGAGTACAGCAAAGGAATCTGTGTTTTAACGTAACTCAGAAAATATGGTGATAATCAAGAAATAATATTTATAAAAAAAATTGTAATTTTAAAATTTGATTTTAATACCTACAATTTTCTGACTCTAGCGATAAATGCTTTTAACACATAAAAATAATCTTGCTTGCCGTTTAAAATGGATTCCTTTGCTGCTTCTCTGAAAAAAACGTATGCATCGTAAACAGAAGCAGGTCTGCTAAAACCCAGTTGATCCATAATATTTTCTAATTGTAGCCAACAATGGAGGCTTGGACGCTTAAATAAAACACATACAATATGCAATAAATGCAAATGGGTAAAATGTTTTTCGAATGTGCATGCTCCGCTATCTAACTCTTAGACTTCCCTTATAACAACTAAAACCACTAACCTAAACAATTAACCCATAAGTTGGCTAAAATAACTCTAAACTGTGCATGTAGTTCGCTTATTGCTAGTAAAATAGCTTTACTAAAATTCAAATATCGAATTTAAACTGATTAAAAACATACATTTTGCAGCAAAACAACAACATGCCGTGGATCAAACCGGAAGCAGCTACAAATCCATTTTTATCGTAAACCGGAGCGGATCAAGCAACAGCAATGTGAGCTGGAGCAGCAGTGGGATCATCAACTAAGGGAACGTCAACTAAATAATACCTGGCTGGTGTACGGAGCTGTCCAATAGCGTTAGCAACAATAGCAGCAGAAGCAACCAATTTTAGCCCTACATAACTGCAAAGAGAGAAATATGAATTAATTAATAAATTATGTGTAAGGAAGTATTATTAAACTGTAAAATATGTGATGTACGTGAGAGAGAAAGCCAAGATCCAGCGACAGAAAATGAGAAGGAGTAGAAACAGCAACGACACCCAGCCAAGATGAGTAGAGAAATCTGCCTGAATTTCGCGCAGGAAGCTTACATTCAAATAGAACTTGAGTCTAAACACATTTGCAATACCTAAATCTGTAAACCAGTCTTTAGGATAGCATAAGACATCTCCAGCGCCACTCAACTGACTTTGAAATTATTCTCCGTACGATTTACACTCAATTCTAACGTTTTTAAAGATCATTGGTAGTTATGCACCTTTAAGTTGAGTGGATGTTAGGGATCTCTCATTGGCAGTCATTATGTACTTCCTTAGTTGATCATTTACTGTTAAAAAAGTTGTATCCTTGTTAAGCCGAAAACCAAGAAAGCAACCGATAAAAAGAAATCCGATCGAGTCCAAATGAGAGAAGCGAAAAGAAAACTAAAAATTGTTATATAGCTTTAAAGATTGCATTGGTAAAAAATCATGTTAAAAACAATGGTAAACAAATTATGTGTGCTTGTAATTGTACATTTTTTACGTTCTTATTTTGTGAAATTTATTGTGCGCGCATGGTGCAGAAACCAAATACAATTATAAATGGCTTTTGGCTATCGATTTTTAAACACATTTGTACGATTTTTTCGAGTTGACAGTTGGTTTGTTTGTGCATTCGCTTTTGGTCCACCTTCAAGACACAATGCATACACGAGTTTGCTGTTGAACATTTTTATAGTGACTAGTTTAAAATTTACAAAAACCTTTGAACACATATACAAAGAACAAGATTACAAGAGCAAAACGAAAACTAAAACTAAAACAAAACAAAAAGATGGTATACATTTAGGCTAGAATACGTAACGAATTGTATAAGCGTAACTTAATAATAACAAAATATACATATACATAAAAGAAAATCCGATTCGGTGTGAATTTATGCTTAAGAGATTTTCATGCCTAACTAGCAAGCGTATACACCCCACAACGCTGATACCCTTTTATATATATGAAAAAACACACCCCCCAAATACACACATACACTTGCAAAGATGCAAATTTTAAGCATATTTTCATATTATTAAAACTTTATTTTAACTAAAAAAAAGCGAAGAAAATCCATGTAAAAGTCAGACCACTTTTGATGCTCCCATTGCACAACTAAGCGGGTGGCGACTGAGTGTGCCAATGCCCGGGGCCTCCACTTGACAGCCAGCGCCAGCATTCAACACTTTGTTGGGGCATCACACTCATGTCGGGTACATCGGACAAAGGCAATCCCAATCCCAATCCCCGAACCCGATCCCGATCCCAGCAGCAACGGCAGCACGATTATGTTAATTTCGGGGGCCGCCAGAGTGCAGCATTAACGGAGCACGCCCACCGCATATGGCAGTGATATTTTGGCCAGCTGGGATTGGGATGTGGATGTGGATGTGGATTCGGGATGGGGCTGGATATGGATATGGATTGCTGGATGTGGCTGTTGCGCAAGTGGCTGGCAGGCTGGTTTCGGTTTTGATATTTGACATGCGCCAGGGGCCATCAGGAAACTTCGTTTAAATGAAATCAAAATGCACAAATACATAATTTACACAAATTTACCGTCGACCGGCGGTACGAGTTTATCGCCTTGGTTAAGCACGAAGCCAGAGCGGCTCCTCAGATGGCTGGGAAAACGCTGGCGGATTGTATAATGCATCGAGTATTCCAGGAGCGATGAGCATCCACCAGATGCAGGAAGAACTGACTTCCGAGCAGGGTAATTTAAAGAGTGGCAAACTGAGCTATTTATTAGATGGACAAAATCGTACATATTTTAAAGCGTTACATTTACTAGAAAACTGAAGTTTTAAAAAGGCTCTTTATTAGTTTAAATATTCTACTTCTTGTCACTTAATAAATTTTGTTTATTATCAGTTTTCAGCACACTGAAGATCCAGTTAACATAGTTGGCCAATCTGGTGTAAACCCCTGGGAAATGTGGATCGGCACAGCCGTGGGCAAAGGATACAATCCCGTAGCTGCTTCCTCGATGCACCAAAGGCGCTCCTGAATCCCCGAAGCAGTGATCTCTTCCAGGAGCTGCGGCACACAGCATGTTATCAGTTATTCGCCGATTCAGATGGGAGTAAAGATGGCGGCAATGTCTTTGATCTATGGCCTCCACCAGAGTACCACGTAGTTCTGGTGCCGAGTCACTATCATTGGCACTTACAGTACCCCAACCAGCAAGCAAAAGATTACGGGGAAGGATATTAAGTCCTGGCAGTGGGAGCTTTACCAGTTGAACATTTCCTCCCAAAATGAAGGATTTTCTGATCTTTAACAAGGCAATGTCGTTTTCCAAAGTCCGTATTTTAAACTCCGGATGGAGGATAATCCTAGCTACATCCCTCTGCTGACCACCCTCATCAGCAGATACGGATCCTGCGCGAACGACATAACTATCCGGATAGTAAACACAATGTCCCGCCGTCACCAACCATTGTGATGTAATCAAGGCCGAGCTGCAACTATAGTTTCCATGCACGCTTATTGAAGCCAACCATGGTGACAGATGAATGGGCAGTTCCACACCACCTACGATCCGCTCCTGCGACGATTTAGCCCATGTTTTATGGTCACAAATGAGCAATAAAACCAACGCCGAAAGTTTCATCATCCGTAGAAAAACAAATCGACCGTAAAGTGGCATTCTCGACTGATAACTGAAAATCAAGTTCTTGACCTTCGGCCGCGAACTCGGTCCCAGCAAAAAGTGTAAAATCAAGAATGCTAATGACCCCAGGTATGGCATGCGACCTACTAAATTTCACATAAATGAATGGGCTATCTATTTATATGGGCAATATTCTCTCTGATTATGTGGTTTTTTTGTAAGAACGAGAAACTGGGATTTCATAAGAGTATCAAGATAATTCTTAATCATTTCATAAAGAAACAGTTGTGTATATTTCGTAAAATTTGGCTTAAGTTTTTATTCGTTCTTTGTTAAAAAATTTGAATACATTTATCTTCTTATCTTATCTATTCTTCTATCATAGTCGTTTAAAAATAAGTGAATACCTGTATACCGTTTAAGTATATTTGACAATAAAGACTAAACTTGTATATAAAAAACCGATGTTGATACTAATACTAACATATTAAGTAATTAATTAATAATTTAGTAAAGCTTTCTTTATCCAGAGTAGGTATTGAAACACATTCACATAAACACCTGGATAATTTTCACTAGCGCAACCGACGCCAAATGACGTTATACCATATAGTACTCCATTGTTGACTAGCGGTCCTCCAGAATCTCCCGAGCAAGTGTCGCGGTTCTTTCGCTTGGCGCAGATCATTTGCTTGTAGATCTTGATCCCGGCTTTCCGATAAGCCTTCCTGCACTTGCGTCGCTTCACTTTGCAGACCACAACTCCTCGCAGATATCGCTGGGTATGCTGGGCGTTGGCCGAGGTCAGACCCCATCCGCTGGCTAAATAACACTTGGGAAAGCGCTTCATTTTCCTGGAGGGAAGTCTCGCCCTGCGGACACACCGGCCAAGTTTCAGAGGCGACTTCAGCTTCATCAGGCACAGGTCGTTCTTCATCGTGTATTCACTGTAGCCCCTATGGCACACGGTCTTCTGGACACGACGCAGTTGACCACCTCTCTTCTGCTGTGTGGAACCAGCTCGCACTGTATAGCGGCCGGGTTTTCCAATTTTGCAGTGCTGGGCAGTGATAATCCACCGCCGGGCAATTATGACACACCCACAAATTAATTCACCGTCGTAGAGAAGAGCACACTGGTAGGGTGCTCTGGTGCACTTGATTTTCTTGCCATTCACAATCCGAGTAGGCAGATAATCCTGTGCTTCTAAGGCATTAATCGCTGGGTTACTAGATATATTTCTAAGCAAAAAACTCTGCTCCTTGATTCTTGGTCCCTTCCGTGCTTCTAGGGCATTTATCGCTGGGTTACTGGATTTATTTCTAAGCAAAAAACTTTGCTTCTTAATTCTTGGTCCCTCGTACAGCAGATAGTGGGTGCCATTGTCCATGTAGTAGCCACTCCAGGCAGGACTCTTTTGTTGGCCTCCTGCTACCAGGATCCACAGGTATGCAAATAGTGATATTCCCGAAAAACTTCCTATCTTCGTAAAATTCATTTCTATAACCGATCAGGGCCACGGTCGGCTCACGACTGAAAATTCTTGGAACAAGAAGTCAACTTTTGACCTCTTGGTTCTTTTTAAAAAATCTTGGAACAAGATGGCAACTTTCGACCTCTTGGTTCTTTTTTTCTCAGGCCATTTATTTTACGCTACGTTGAAGTAGGTTAAGTTAATTTACTGGTTTAAGCAACAAATTACATCTTCCCAAATTTGAAATGCTGTCAAATTTTTGTCAAAAAAACCACACTCTCATTCTTCTCATATTCCTAAATCCCAGCCAGCGGCTTCTTTTTCATTTATTTATTTATAAACCCAAACTGCTTAGCATGGTAATTAATAGCTTTTAAATATTGCGAACTCAGCTGACCAAATGTATGCATGATTTGCGAGTTATTATCTTTGCTAAAAATAACCAAAAACCGAGTTACCTTAATGAAAGGAAAAACGGAATTAGATCTATGAAAGGAAAATCACCTAAAGTGGTTAAGAATAATTAAATTCGATTTTAATTTCATTTTAAATTAATTTATTGACTAATACTTTTTTAAGACCCTTTTTATCCAAGGAATATATCGCTTGCAGTTGACAAAAACACCAGGATAGTTCCTATTGGCGCAACCAATGCCCCAGGACACGATTCCATAGAGGATACCGTGTCTGGTCAGCGGACCGCCGGAATCTCCGGAGCAGCTGTCCTTCCTCGTTCGACTAGCACAAATCATGTGCTTGTATATTTTTATGCCGACCTTCTTGTACTTCTGCTGGCACTTTTCCCTCCTCATAAAGTCGAGTTCCACGCGGCGAAGATAAGGCTGGGCATTCTGGGCATTTACCGAGGTGATGCCCCATCCACTGACCGCGAATTTTCTGGGAAATCTCTTAGTATTTGGCGAGGGCAGTTTCACCTGCTGGACACATTTATCGTAGAAGAGCGGTGATTTCAGTTTTATCAAGGCCAGATCGTGTTGCATTGTGTAGTCATCATAGTCTGCCAGTGCCACGATCCTGCTTACATCACGGAGCTGACCGAATCGTCTGTGTTGATCAGTTGCCACTCGCACCTGGTAGTTTTGATGTGGTCCGAAATAGCAGTGGTGGGCAGTCATGACCCATAATCTGGAGATGATCACACACCCACACACAAAATATCCTTTGTAGTGCAGGGAACCCTGAAACGGAGCTTCCTCGCAGGGGATCCTTTCGCCATTGACGATCCTAGTGTGGAAATCGTCCTGCGATTCCAAGGCGCTTATGAAGGGATTCGAGGATATATTTCCAAAAGGCAGGAAGTTTTGGTGCGTGAACTTTGGCCTTTCATTCAGCAGATGGTGTGCTCCATTGTCTCTATAATATCCTGACCATGAAGGATCCTTCTGTCGACCTTCTATTCCTGCTGACAGGATCAGCAGTCCGGTACATATGGTAAGTTCTAGTAATATTTGACCCATTACAATAACCGCTCGCCACAACGATCGCGAATTGACTAGAAACTATCAACCTTATCGGCCCATTAGTAAATGATTCGAGCCTTCTTTAATGGCCTTCACGCTCCAATAAAAACCAGTCTTAGCTTTTTCCATTTCTTTTCACGACTGTTAATCGAGTCTAGTTTTACAATTTACAAATATTAACCCACCTCTGCCGGATTGTGTGTGTCTTTACGAAGTTATTTTTGTAAATATAACTCTTCAAAAATTTGAACTTTTTCTATACACACAAAAATCGAAATTAACAAAAATGTTGTCAAAATGACTAAATGACTTTATTCCTAATTGTCAGGTTATTTTGAGAATTTTCCAACCTTTTTTTTTGTGTGTATTAAAAAGCAAAGAATGTATAAATTATTACAAATCAGTTTACATCTTTTCGTAGGCCATAAAACGTATAATATATGTGTTGCTTAAAATTATGCAAATTAAAATCTTCTAATTGTATAATTAAATATTATACTATGGTTAATGTTTACTAATATTTTGTGTTTTTAAATGGGGTTAGTTAACTTTTAGCTGACAGAATCAGATTAAAGAATCTTTTCATCTGCTGTTGGAGCTGCCAAAAAAGCGAAGTCATGAAAGTGAAACTAAGAGGGTCTTGATTTTGGCTTTGCATAAATTCCGCCATAATTTTACTGGTGTCTTGTCTTTGTTTATTGCCGCTAGTGGTAATGGCTTAGAGTGCCTCCCCGAGCCCCTTTTCACTCCTAATTTTTTGTGGCAGGTTTCGGCTGCCCATTTTTGGTAGGGCGCCGCTTCCGCATGACTTGAGCTCCGGCTCAGGCGGAGACAAAACAATAAAACTATTAATTTAATGTAAATTTTGCGCAGCGTAATTATGTGCGAAATCACAGGGAACACAATGGATGTGGACACGGCCAGGCAGGAATAATTAGGCAGGCACAGGCGCACTCGCACAAAAGTGAAAGGAGCACTGCACTCCGGTCTGGGCTTGGACTTCCCCAGGTCCAGGTCCAAGCCATAATGGTGCCGCCGATAATTATGTAAGCAGGCAGCAGAAATTCATTAGCCCGGCGCCTATGCAAATTTCTTTTTGGTCCCGCTACTTAAATTGCATTTACGCGGGAGCTGCCAGCTGCCAGATAGCCGATAACATTGGCATTTCACTCGACGCTGGTTGAGATTACTCGCTTATCGTCGACTGGAATGCCAGTTTTTCGCTTTTTCGGAGAAGGAGGAGGAACTCCCTTGCCGCCGGCTAAGTGGGCCAGCAATAATATCCGCCAGTTTCGTCTGGCGAAAAGCGTGAAGAATCGCAATTTGTATGGTTTAATTAAAAAATCTGTCAAATGCCAGTTTGTATGCTCATTAATGGGTTTCTGAGGCAGGCCCCCAAACAGCGAAATCATGCTTGACATAGCATGAACCCGGGCTCCAATAGACCATGCCGTACCACATCGCGAATCGCACGCTGGCGATATTATGCTCGATATGTGCGGCTCACGTTGATGTCTGGCGGCAGATGGGGGAGCTGCTGCTGCCTGCACCTCTTGACAAAACGCCAAACAAAAGACTGAGGCAACGAACCTGGTTATTACGAGCCTGTCGCGGCGGCTCTTGCATAATAGGAACTTTGGGCCAAATTGTTTTTTAATTATGACTTGCCAAGAAATATGTTGAAATACCAAATGACGGCCTGTCTGTTCTGAGAAGGTTGCTCCTTCGAGAACTACAGTCGAACTTCTGTAGGTGGAACTCAACAAGCTCTAATGATTTTTTGATGGTTTTAAATAATTACATTTTTAGGACTTTAAGCTGATTTTGCAAGAAAAGAAAGGAGGTACATAATAATTTATTTCTTACTACTCATTTTGAAGCTTATTTAAAATAAATAAATGTAAGTTTTTATTATTTAAGTGGTTAGAAAGGCCTAATACTTTTTACTAGACTGTCTTTTTTGACTCCAAGATAAATATAAGAATTAAACAAACCCAATCAAAAATACAAATAATATGTTTTGAGGTTTTATTTATGTGTATTAAAGTTTAAAGCTTTATGGAGATATGAATCCATGAAAGTTGATTTATGCTAAGACATTCTCTGTTATATAGAAGCTCAAATACAGTACCCACTGTCATTGGATAAGGTCATATACATAGCCGTTAAATTCAAAGTAAAAGAAATTAAGATCTCTCGTTATGATCTCCTGGATTACCCGCAATTCGGTGGCGGCAATTAAGCCATTACAGTGGTCTCTCAAACAACTTTCATTTTCTGGCATAATTGAAACATAATTTTTGTAGTGTAAAATCGCACCGGCCGGCACTCGAACACGCCAAGAAAATTTCACCCATTTCGCACGTTTCATCTCGATTCGAGCCGTTAGTTAATCATTTGATGCCATTGCGCAGCCTTTTTGTCAAGTCAGCACGCGAGGCGCACCCGACCAGTCGCCAGATATCGGCAATTATCGCCGGAGCCATCAGCTGGCGATAGCGATAGCAAGTACGGAGTATGGAGTACTCCCCACTCCACAATCCAAATCCCAGCTCCACTCCGGGCGCACCCAACTCCGCCCGGGATCCGCCCATCACTTGGAAGAATTGTGACATTTAGACACAACAAATCATAGCAGGCGGCATCATTAGATTGCACAGCTAAAAATAATTGTACAGGTAAATCAAATAAATTTTAGAGTGCGTAAATAGGATTATTTTGCTTTAATGTATTTTAAAAATACTATCAGCTCAAAGAAGAATATGTTTTATTAACATAAGCCCAAAAGGAATCTTAAAAGAATCCTTTTTTTAAATAGTAATGCAATCAAATTAAAATTGATATAAATAATGTGCAAATAATAATAATGTGTTTGCAATTTTAATTTAGAATTTCTGGTTCTTGACAATTCTCTATCAATTTTAAATATTTAAACAAGCAAGTCTAAAGCTTGTAAGCTTTTTCAATACAATTTAGATCAGTTAATGTTATGCTAATGATGATCCATATTTTCTTTCAGTGGGGTTGTGGTGTCTCGTTTTATATGTCAATGGGTGTATAGAAATCGAAAGTTTCACACTTGTCAATTAAGTGTACCGAGTGGTGGCTCTTGTTGTTGCTGTTTCCACACTTCATCATGCGAGTTGGGCGGCATTGCACCGCTGTGGAACTGCAGTTGAAAAGCGGCTGTCAATGAAAATGAAATTTTATTGAGATTTTTTTTCCGATCCCCCCTTTCGCGGTCCGAAATTAATTAGAAAAGTGCCTGCATTTGTATAGCCGGCCGTGTGAGTTTTGGTAGCTTAATTGCTTTGACGTCTCGAATGCGTGTGTGTGGTTATATAAGTCGTAAAATACTTAAGCCATAATAATCTCCAATTGGAAACGACTATCACTTTTACTATCGCCCCCCAATCGCCACAGACTGATCCAACTCACGTGGCTAACAAGCGAAAACCGCTGACTCTTCTAAGCGATTCTCTGGTGTGGGGGGCAGTGGTGAAAGTAAACGCTCCACGGGAGCGGGTGACAATGTTGCAACCGGCAGTTGGCCTTATGCAATCAATCTCATCCGTCAGCGGCATGACCGGCAACTCCTCCGGCCTACCGAGCGATCGATCTGCTCCCGCTGCCTCATTAAACGCACATAATTGTTATATCGATGCAGTCACCTACTCTCGACCGGTCGCATTCAATGGCCAAATTTGGTTAAATAATGCACGAACCGCGGAGCCACTTTTACCTGGCCAAAAAGACCGCAACGAAAGCGAAAGTTCTTTTGTCTTGCATTGCCCAAAAAAGCAGCTTCGATTCGATTCTTATCGCCCCGCTTTTTACGCTGCACTCCGCTGCCAGATCGGCAGATTTATGCACTTTTCATTTCACTTACCGGCCAACACAACAACTGCAGCGAAACAACCTCAACTACATGAAACGATGCCGAGGAGCCGGCAACTTTCTTCGGCACTCGACTCGCACCGAAATTATAATGCGCATATGGGGGCGCCAACATTGGGACACTGGGACACCCGATTCATCGTTCCACCAGCCTCCTCACCCGATTCTTTAAATTGCCACTTGCACTTGACCGAGCAGATGCCGCAGGGCAGGCGGAATTGGGCAGAGGTCCAGGAAGACCACAACTAAATACGGATGCACAGTGCGTTGACCATGGTCCAATGGGATTTTTGCAAAAGTTATATTTTTTTGATTAGAACATCTATATTACTAGATAACGTGTCATTTTGAATACAGCCATAAACACACATAGCATTAACTAATATTATAAATAAGAGAACAATATGCGTGTTCACTTCTATTCTCATGCCATTTGATAGGGTAAACAGGCTTTTAGGACTACAACCAAAATAGAGGCACATAAGATTCCAAAGTGTTACTAAATTATTTTAGTTTAAAGCATTTATTTAGATCTTAAACAAATATATGAAGAAACAAAATCAAAAAGGTATTTAATGCAGTGTGAACAAGATCAGAGCTAAAAGATTTGTGTATTAATGGAAATTATAAAATCAAATGACATAAGTAAATTAAGCAAGAGCTTTGACCAAATAAATAAAATGACAGTCTAAAGGGAATTTTATTCGATATTAATACAAGTTTTAGCTTCTTTATTATTTCCACAACAAGTAACATTTACCACTGGCATCGACTCCTTTTAATAGTTTCAAGAAAAGGTAATTCGATGACGACCACTGTGCAGTGGCCACCCAGAATGTGCGACAAACTGGGCCCCAATTAAGTTTGCAGCATTTTAATCGAGTCGATGCGTTTTCGGGCATTAAGTTTTGAGTTTTTCAGTTCACAGGTTGGGTTAATTTGTGAAAGTTTTGTGTAAACAAAGCCCCAAAGCCCCTCGAGGGCCTCGATCTGCAGTTGGCCAGTCCCAGTCCGCAGTTCGCAGTCCGCAGTTCGGCCATAAATTCAATCAGGCGTGGCCACTGCGATCGGGATCGGATGGGCAGACGATGCCAATATAT